AACAAGCAAGAATTTCGCCACGGAATCTGTAGATAACACTCTTTAAAACCGTTTATGTAAAATACAGACGCACGCTTGCATAGGTAGTCGAAATCGTTCAATACAATATAAAAGTAGCATTGATATTTACAATGAATTTATTTAGCACACTGATAACAATTGAACAAAACACATTTCTTTTACATACATACACATTTTGAGTAAAACGGTTACTTATTAGTCCGCCGTCTTTTCTCTTTTTAGTTGAGACAAAACCATAGAAAGAAAAAAAAAAAGAAAAAAAAAGGCAGTTATTTCATTTGAACGTTCCTCCGGTAACAAGACGTTACAAGTGTTGTTTGGCTCATTTCCAATTGCATTTCATTAAAGGCGATTGCAACTTCACATTAATTGCAACCTTTTTCTTTTTTTTTTTTTCAATTTTTTTTTTCAATTTTTATTCACCATAGAATAATAATAATTGAACTGTAAATATTGGTATATAACGCCCGAGTATGGCAATCATAATTAATACATAATAAATTCTTGTTTTAAATAATGTTTTAAAAATTATTCGAACCACAATAAAAAGTTGGTGGTGCACGATAACGTTTACTAATCAGTTAACCAACATACAAAAAATTAGTGATTTGTGCGTAGGGGCAAGTTTTCAATAAAAAAAAATATATATATAACTAATAATAATAATAATAATAATAATAATAATAATAATGGTAGCAATAAAAAGTTAAAAAAAAAATCCCAAAAAAAGAGCTTAAGATCAAATTTATTATCTAATCGCCAGCAATATACAATAGTGACTATAAACAGCTATTGCCATGAGATAAGAGAGCAACAAGCAAAAAAAAAAAAGCAAAAAAAAAGCAAAAGCAAAAGCTAAATAATTAAACATTTTTATGTCATTAGCCAATTCATATAGTTCGATCCGTTGCAATTTGACGCTTGCACACAAAAAAACGCAAAATATATTTGCAAGTGAACGTGAACGATCGCAATTACTTTATATCCTCAATAAATTCTTAACAACAACAACAACAGGATCTCATACAACATGCCAAGGTACCCATAACCGAAAGGAAATTTGATTTGCTAGAGCAAAGTTTTGAACTCGAATCACAAAAACAAAAACAAATGAGATAAATGAAAAACTTTAACTACAGTGATAATATGAGAGAGAAAAAAAAAAAAGAAGTCCACTTTGCATTCAATTTGCATTAAATGAAAATGAACGGAAAATATGAAATGTGAAGCATATGTGAATGTGAAAAAAAAAAAAAAAACATTATATTAGGATAATCAGCAATTATGCTTGTCATGTCTGTGATACGACCACATTCGATCATTCGATCAGTTTGTGATATCGATATGCAGAGGATGTGGTATCCATGCAAAGAAGAATGCATTACAGCTTCTTGAAAATTGCCCAAACAAATAATAGTTTGAATAATAAAATAAGCAATCGGTTGTTATTCTTTTTATTTTTATTTTGTTTCTGCTCTGAAAATGGGCGTGGTTCACTTGTAATTGTAACTGTATATAAATTCAAGCTGCATGTCAATCTTGTATTGATAGCTACCATTATTCATTCCAAGCCTCTCTAGTGTAGAAATCATCCAATTCGTAAGTCAGTGCGGTGCAGCACGCGCCCTAGAAAATTTTGTGTTGCGAAGGGCGACATTGAACACCATGAACACATATGCAATATATATATATATATATATATATATATATATAAAAGAAAAAGAAAAAAAATACATCATTAAAATTGATAAGCATTTATTTCAAAAATAGTTAGTTAGATAACATCAAATCGTTATTTTGCTTTCAATTATGAACAACAGAATGTAATAAAAAGAAAATTCATAAGAAAAAAAAAAAAAAATTAAAAAAATTATTAAGTAATTGTATAATGGGCGGGTGAGACGTTTTCCTAAACATAAACGAGAATTTCCGAGACATATCTTTATCCCTCAAATCCGGCTGCATATTCATTTTCGTTCGCTTTACATTCACTTGCTATGCATAATAGATTGCATCCTATGCATCATCTAGGAATTCAATGTTCATGCTCATGTTTTGCTACTTTTCCATATACTCATCACTCATCGACTAATAACAAAACTTTGTTCGATTCTTCTTTCTATTTCCTGCAAGCGTGAAATCATCATCCAACTAATTGCTACCTGAATTCCTAATTTCTCTGCCTTAGGTTCTGCCATTTTTGGGGACTAAGATAAAATAAAAGACAAAATTTTGCTTTTTTCTCCACACTGCACAGACATTTGTACTTTCAAATAATTGCTCATCATTACCTTTGCAGGCACGGTCCAAGGACATCTACCGCATTTACAATGTACAATCGATCTCGTATAGGTTAAGGAACTAAAAAAGGTGTGCACTTCAACTTATAATCTTTTGGTTATCGAAATCCTCTTTACAAGAGAAAAAACCAAATTAAAAAAAAGTTATTTATGAGGACCCTTATATAGAATCAGATCCAGAAAGTAGATCCTTCTATTCATGGGTCTCATTCGAATTTGATTCAGTTAAAGTTTATGTAAAATTACATCAATAACTTGCCATATAAAGGCCTATTCTACAATAGACCTTCATAGTCTATATTCGATAACATTAATTACTATGTTGGACTCGCTCGCACTATGAAATACTAAAAATTGATCATTTCTGCCATAGGAAGAAGGTTCATAACATCGACGCATCCGATTTCTAATATCAAAATACTATTAATCAGTAAATTTTGTTGAGAAATCCTAAAAATTGCAAACGGACCGATCGAATTAATTTTTAATAGACTTTGTCCCTTGGGCCAAAACCGTTCAGTCTGTCAAATTAGGCCCAAGTATCTCAAAAATTGTGACCTGTAGACTGAACACAAGCACAGACATTAGACTGGCAGACAAACAGACAGACAGACAGACAGACAGAGAGACACACAAACAAACTTAGTATGTCAGTATGACAAAAGGTGACTCTGTATTGATATCTTCTAGATTTTACATATATTCGCATAAACTTAATGCATTTAAGTCACTATTTGTATCTGTAAACATCGCAACAATATGCACTATTAGGGGCCATATGAAATTTTCGTTGGAAAATTTTGTCATTTTTGACCCCAACCTAAATTAAAGGATTTTCTAATTTGAACGCAATTTGTTATGTTTACAAAATTATCCCGCGGCAAAGTACATGCAATGATTTTTTATGCCTTTCGTGGTGGATTATCAACACTTGATAGTGACTTGGAAGTGAAGAGCTGGTATGACAACTTAAATCGTTAACACCGTTCGTTCATTCGCCAAGATTATCGAAAATCAGGTATTGTCCCAGAAAACATTGACGCAGTGCCAAAACTAATAATGCAAGGCTGACGTCTAATATTATGTAAGATTGAGACGAGCTCACGCATTAGTTTCACTGACGTGTATGCAAGATGATCGTTGCATGATCGTTTAGCCGTTTAGCAAAAGGTATTTTTCGTCTATAAATCGTTACAGCTGACAAATCATTGGTCTACGCGTATGAAACAGACAATTAAAAACATTTGACTGTACGGTTGTTTCAAGATGAAGCTAACTCAACAAAAGTCAGTCAGATTCGAAGCAGTTTGAAACAAATGATCGGTTATTTTTCCGAAAAGAAATGGTCGTACGATCATAGTGCGTTTAGAGAAATGGTGAAATAAAGATAACAATGAAATACCGTTCGATCATTCCTCGTCATGACTATGCAATCTCTTAACCATCTCTTCCAGCAACCAACTAATTCAAGACGCAAAACATACGGCAAAACGTAAGGCCGCCAGTCGTACTGCTCCCATTTGTGCATGAGTTTACAACCCATGTTTTAGCAACGTCTGAACCGAAAAGAAAAACAATTGTATAACGAACGTGCTTCATACGAACATGTGCTTCCAATCATAAAGGGGAACATTTCGAAAAACAATTAGTACAATTTTTAATGACAAGTTCCTCTTTTTTCATTATTAGACTGAAAGTATAAAGAAATAGGGCACGTTTACCCTACACCTACATTTTATGGTTGTTTCACTGACGTTCCATGACTCATGATGGATCGATTTAGATAGACAAGCAAGACTGCATCGATATAGATGCTCTCTCTCTCTCTCTCTCTCTCTCTCTCTCTCTCTCTCTCTCTCTCTTTTTTTTTTACACTTAAGCTTACACTTGAGCTTAAATCCATTTACCTATGAAAATTTAAATTTTGCAAAAATCAATTATATAATAGTTTGTTATATCCTCTGTGCAATGCTTTTCGGGAGAATAAGTTATGTTACGGTTATTACGAGTTAAGACGACTTCACTTTCAGCTAGCTATAGAATCTACCAGTCACTACAGCAAAATATATCACGAATCTTAATATCTCAGTTGTATTCACCTCGCCAGTCTTTTTGCTTGCATTCGATTACTTTCTTATGGCGCTTTCATGGCAAGCGACCAACTGCTTTTGGAGAAGCCTACAGAAACAGCTAAATTTTATTAGATTCAGTCTTATACTATCTTCGTATACCATATACTCGTATTTTGTTTTTCAGCTAATATTGAATCTAATCTTTTTGGATACGAAATCAAGCCCATTTACGATTACTGGAAAGTAATCTATCTTCTAACAATTGAAGAAAATCAATCGAAATAATGCAAATAAAAATCTGTTTTAAGTAATTTAAGTATTTTGTAACTCTCTGTATTATTTTCAATATCTTTTCCTCGATATTAGTATTTCTGAGGGAAAAATAAAAAAAAAAAATTGTTGGAAAAACCCGTATTGGACGAAATTTAAGAAAAAGATTAAATGCATTATTGAATTGAATTGAAAATTACTCTGAATTCGTAAACAGAAAAATCAAAAAGCAAAAGAAAACCATGGTATTAGAACAAATTGAATATTACCTGCAACAATCATGTGGAACAGATTTTCTGGATGAAGTCTCTTATTGTCCAAACTATGTTTTTTACAGTCCATCCAAATCAGCAATGGAGCATGGTCTTCACGAGCGCGATCGTGTTGGGTTACAGGATTTTATACTGCTTGAAGATTATAAAAGTGAACATGCATTCATCGATAATTTGCGCAAAAGATTCCAGGAAAACATTATTTATGTAAGTAATTTAAGAATAAATATTCAATTGTCCAAATTGTTGATAATTTCATTTACTCTTCTCTCGGTCTCATTCTCTCTCTCTCTCTCTCTCTCTCTCGCTCTCACTCTTTAGACGTACATAGGGCAAGTCTTAATATCGGTAAATCCGTATAAGGAATTACCGATATATACGGAAAATGACATTAAAGAATACAAGAATAAACATTTCTATGAAATACCACCGCATATGTAAGTACATATGTCCATGAGCTTATATGTATAATGACTATGTGGAAATGATTTGCAAAAATGAACATAAATGGGTCAATGCTTTCAATTGCACCTTTTTTTTTTTTGTTTTCTAATTTTTTTATTTTATCCACATATGCATACTGCGTTTCTTAGTTTTGCGATAACTGATAACGCTTTCCGATCATTGATACAAGAAAATAGAGGGCAATGTGTTCTAATATCAGGTAAGTTTGTATTAATGCAAAAATTTTCAACGCCCACACAAATCAATCTATAACTCTTTCACGGTATATATATTTTATTTTTTTTTTCATTTTTTACATATTATTTCCCCACATTTTGTGTAAAATACATCAAATTGCAATATCTTTACATTTTATTTCATTACGTTCTCGTACACAATTGAATCTATATCGTAAGTGTATGCGGAAACACTTGTTATTCGGTATTCGGTTTTCGATTTTCGAAAAATGTTGATTCGAGTCTTCTTTGCTTCGACTTATAAGCGCATATAAGAAATAGATAGAATAAGGTTAAGAACGAAGAAACTCTTAGTGGGATCTTAGTTTGAAAAGCTGGTAGACGCAATAATAATATGCCATGGAAATCCCTGCCATAACTCTTAGCTTAAATCAACAGTTCGCAAAGATGATGAAAAAAATAAATTAAAAATTGGGGAAATCGATCGAAAGAAGTCGTATAATGCTTGCATTGGTGAGAATGACGTAGAGAATAGGATTTTTTTGTCCCCATTGTGCTTATTAGTCATATTCATATTAAGATCAGCTATAAAGTCGATCATTTACGTGCTCACGCCTCCGATGTCATACTTACGATCTGAAAAACGGCTCGTGAACGATAATAGGAAAAAAAGCTAAAGACAAAACGTTTATAATAAATCCAAGAAAACCAAGCACATACGCTACTACATACTATAAAACAGGTCAGAGAAATGCTTCATTCGATTGCGAGGATGATCGCGCCACATTCATCGTATTCCGTACTGTTCAATAATGTTTGCTTAGTTATACGTATTAAAAATAACGAAACGATCGCCGTAAGGATATGACAGGGAAAGGAAGTAACGTATATTTTGCCGCAAGTTTCGAGCATATTTTAACTATAATCAACACATGTATATATGCATCTATCTATATATGCAGATATATAAATATATGTACATAAGATTATTTATTATAAATATTGGAATGCATTTAAAAAAAAAACGCAATGTATCGTCGTAAGCGGCATAAGAGAGAAAGTTGACGCTCTTCAATTTATAGGTGAAAGCGGTTCTGGGAAAACTGAGGCATCGAAAAAAGTTCTACAATATATTGCGGCTTGTTCGGGTCATCAGCGTACCGTCGAGGGCGTTAAAGATAAACTATTAAAATCGAATCCAGTATTGGAGGCATTCGGTAATGCCAAGACAAATCGCAATGACAATTCTTCGCGATTTGGCAAATATATGGATATACAATTTGATTTTAACGGCACGCCTATCGGTGGTAATATATTAAACTATTTATTGGAAAAATCACGTGTAGTCAATCAAAATGTTGGCGAAAGAAATTTTCATATATTCTATCAACTTTTGGCTGGAGCCAGTGACGAACAATTAAATGACTTAAAGCTTCAGAGAACACTGAGTAAATATGTTTATCTCAGCGATGGGGTGAGTTTTATGCAAATTATTTTAAATTACAACTATTTTCATATTAAAGGTTCGCTTTACATTTATTGAAGGAGAAAGGGCGTGTAAAGACAATTGATGACGCCAATAATTTTCGAATTGTTCAGCAAGCCATGAGTGTTATCGACTTTTCCGCTGGGGAGCAGAACGATATAATAAATATAATCGGTAGTATTTTACATTTAGGAAATGTACAATTTGTTGAAGAGGATGGCATGGCTAAAATTGTTGCAACGGATGCTATAGAAGCTGCTGCGAAACTCACTGCCGTCCATTTAGAAGATTTAAAGGCTGCTCTAACAAACCGTACTATAGATGCTCGTGGCGATGTCGTTACATCACCATTGAGTCGCGAATTGGCTATATACGCTCGGGATGCTTTAGCGAAAGCTATCTACGATCGTTTATTCTCGTGGTTGGTGATGCGTCTTAACGTCTCTTTGCAAGCGAAAGATTTGCATAAAGCTCGTAACACCGTTATGGGTATTTTGGATATTTACGGTTTTGAAATTTTCAAAACCAATAGATTTGAACAATTTTGCATAAATTTCTGCAACGAAAAATTGCAACAATTATTTATTGAGTTAACGCTCAAGTCCGAACAAGAGGAATATCGACGTGAGGGTATTGAATGGATACCTGTCGAATATTTCGATAATAAAGTTATATGCAATTTGATTGAAGAGAAACATAAGGGTATAATTTCCATATTGGATGAGGAATGTTTAAGACCAGGCGATCCTACCGACTTGACTTTTCTGGCCAAGCTGACCGATCAACTGGCTAATCATGCTCACTATTTGTGCCATCAAAAAGCGCCTATACAAATTCAAAAAACTATGGGCCGTGACGAATTTCGTTTAGTTCACTATGCTGGTGATGTGACTTACAACGTAACCGGCTTCTTAGATAAGAACAACGATCTATTATTCCGCGATTTAAAAGAATGCATGAGTAAATCTAATAATCAAGTTACGCGCGTTTGTTTTCCAGAGTCGGAATATTTAAGCAAAAAACGGCCTGAAACTGCCGTTAGTCAATTTAAAACTTCACTTAATAATCTAATGGACATTTTAATGTGTAAGGAACCTTCTTATATACGGTGTATCAAGCCCAACGATTTACAAACGCCCGGCGTGTTTGACGATAAATTAATTTCACATCAAGTTAAATATTTGGGTTTAATGGAAAACTTACGTGTGCGCAGGGCTGGCTTTGCTTACCGCCGAACATATGAAATGTTCTTGCATCGGTATAAGTGTTTAAGCAAACAGACTTGGCCCAACTTTAGAGGACCCGCTAAAGAGGGGGTTCGAATTCTTATTAACGAACTTGACTATAATAGCGAAGATTATCGTTTCGGGGAAACTAAATTGTTTATACGTTTCCCGAAAACCCTATTTAAAACTGAGGATGCATTTCAAGAAAAAAAACATGAAATTGCAGCCATTTTGCAGTCGCGTTGGAAGGGACGCGAGCAACGAAAAAAATATCTAAAGCTACGTGAAAAGATTATCATATTGCAATCGCATTGTCGTCGCTATTTGGCCCAGCAGAAGGCTAAGAAGAAGCGTGAAGCTTCGAATAAAATCCGAGCATTTATAAAGGGTTTCATAACGCGGCACGAACCTTTAAATTGTTACAATGAAAATTTCATTGCTAATGCAAAGCGTATGTGGCTTCTCAGACTTGCTAAGTCTTTACCCACTGATGTCCTAGATATGAGTTGGCCTTCTGCACCATCTCACTGCCAAAAGGCTTCGACTTACTTGCATCGGTTGCATCGTTTGCATTTAGCACGTAAATACCGTCTCAAATTATCTGCCGCAAAGAAACGTCAATTCGAGCTAAAAATATTAGCTGAAAAAATCTTTAAAGGTAAATAAATATCTTATTACTTTGCCCGCTGGATCGATTTACGTAAGAAAAATACCATTTTATTAATATTATTCTACGAATTATAGGTAAAAAGAGTAACTATTTTGCCAGTGTGCCGTTTTGGTTCAAAAATGATCGAATACCAAGTGAACATCAAGTGCATATTAATAATTTTATTACTACATCCTTAAGGAGCGAATCCCTTAAATACGCTTCCAGTTGCATTAAGTATGATCGTCATGGTTATAAATCACGTGATCGGTTCATATTGCTAACGAATAACGCAATCTATATACTCGATGGGAAAACTTATAAGCAAAAGCATCGTTTACCGTTGGAAAAAATTGATTTTCTTTTAACTAATCATAGCGACGATTTGATGGTTATACGCATACCATTGGAATTGAAGAAAGACAAGGGTGACTTAATATTGGTCATTCCCTATGTTATCGAGTTCTGCTCCTTTATCATTGATACTGTCGGAACAGCAAACATTCTTAATATAGTCGGAAGAGATTCGTAAGTTATACATACATACATACATACATACATACATACATACATACATACATACATATAGAGATATAAAATAATATAAGAAAGCACATTCATGATCTCGCCATTGTGCACAAACATTTTTCAGCTTGGAGCATAATGTTGTTAAGGGCAAATCTGGTGTTATTGATATACAAACGGGAGATGAGCCGGGAATTATACGCGATAAAAGCGGTCATCTTGTTGTCGTAAGTACACATTCCTTTCATTATTAATATTATTGATATTAATTCAATTTGCTTTTATCTAGATTGCTGGTCAGTAAAAGTGGGAATATTCAAACTTGTTACCATGGTTTTAAACTAAATTTGTTAAACATATTAGTAAATTGAACGTACAACACAAAGAAGAGGAGATTACAAATTTTCTGATAATATTTTTGAAGAAGAAAAGAATAAATTTTCAATAAAATATATGAATTAAGGACACTCAATGTAACTAAGAGATGTTTATTCACTTGAAATGGATCAGGATGCATAAAGAAACTGTTAAATAAATTATAACGGCTTTCGATCAACCATTTGCTGCCATAGCTAAGACTTATTTATATGAAAATTTCGTTTAGATATCTATTACGTAATCACTTTTTCCTTACGCATTCGAGTTTTCGAGATGCCGACAAAATATACAACTATTTCTACGAAAAGGGATCATTTTTATCCCCTAGATTTGTCGACTTGTTATAGTCGTAACAAAGAAGGTAGAAAACTGAAATTCGACATAGACAGTTCTTGATCGATTAAGAACGTGAGGTTAAAAATTGAAACAATCTCGGAAAAGGTCCGACACTTTTTTCATATCTTTATCCATAACTTTCGAACCCGTGAAGATATTGTTGAAAACCTGTGATCCTTCACGTTCATCCCGTAAGCCGTCTTGATCGGTGCACTAATATGGCCACAGTTTTCTTTCTCACGTAATTGCAATTAAATTAGAAGTATGTTGAAAAAAAATTTGGAATCAATATTTCATCGTATTAGTACACCAACCGTGCCCACTATGGGATCAAACATATTTTTTTTGAATGTAGTTTTAGTATCTCATTTAAATGGGCGTGTATGTAGACAGACCGTAATCATTTTTTTTAGCATTGGATTCTTAATCGACCAAGGAATATTTGTGCCAAATTTCACTTTCCTACCTTCACTTTTACAACTGTGACAAGTCGAAACAAATAGGGGATCAAAATGATACCTTTCTGGTAGAGATTGCTAGCTATATGCAAAATATTGATAGTTCTGATGTTAACATGAAAAACGGTTCGCAGCGAGGGTATTTGTAAAAGAATTTGTTGTTTTTTTTTTGTTTCTCTTTATTGGTTCTTTTTCATTTCTTACAAACCAAATAAGGCAAATTTGCAAATTTCATAATATAAAAAAAATGTACATTAGTGTAAGACAAAGAGTTTCTCCTATCCATTACTAGACATAGGTGATCACATTTTTTTTACACAATATTATTGCCTAAGTTGTACTATTAAATAAAGCCTGAAAGTTGAATTCCTGAAGTTCCAATCTCTGTCCAATTTCGAATATTACGCAGTCATATTGGTTTTCTGCCCAAGCCTCTCCGCGTTTCGATACGGACTTTCACTATTGAATCTGGGAGTCGAACGTAGGCAGTTTCTCCGTTTATTTTTTTCAGGACTTCAACATTCGACATGATATTTTTAGAATTCCACGGTAACACCATATCTAAAAGGCTTCCAGTTCCCTTTTCCTAGTTTGCTAGAATTTTCTGATTTTTCGTGTACGCTGATCTAGCCAATTCTATCCTTCTTTTTATTTTCACGTTGCAGTCTTCGTGTACTAAGGATCTCATACATACAAACTTGGAGACACTTTCCACCTTTTGGTTGTCAATTGATAGAGTGGCATTTCTATATGACGCTTTCACTCGACTTGCGCCAATCACCAATTTGGTTGTTCTGATATTTAGGTTTAACCCAAAGCTATTACTTTTGTCATTGGCAGCTTGAACTATCGTGTCAAAATAGTCCACCTTATCTACTAGGATAGTTGCATCGTTCAGATATCGAATGTTATTGAGGAATTGCCCATTGACCTTAATGCCTGCTTCGAACGTCTGAACAGTTTTTTTGAAAGACTAAACGTGGAAAAGAGGAGAAGACAAAATGCACTCTGGGCTAACGCTCCTGTTTATAAAAATATAATTTGTCCTGACATCATTCCCACTGCCTTCAGCTGTTTGTCACCAACACAAATTTCTGATGCAGCGTATGTCTTTTCCTTCAATACCAAGACATTTCGGGTCTATTAATTTATCATGTTCTATTTTGTCAAACCCCTTTTTATCATCTATAAAACAAAGAAGAACACCTTCATGCATATCTCTTCAGTTGTGGACTAGAGCCTGAATGCAGAATAAAGTTTCTGTGGTTCCCAAGCCCCTCCGGAAACCAAACTTAGTACGGCCACAGGATGCTTCACTTTCACCATAGAGCCTTTGCTAAATTATTTCTAAGAATATTTTTAGCATATGGTTCATTAGAGATATCATTCTATACTTCTGTCCCATCCATCAGGATAAATACCTATGTCGTAACATATCATTTATCAATTTTAAAATCTATAAGTCTTGTTGTCTCCGGCATTTTTTATAGCTTTTCTTATTTCATCCTTCGTAATGGGTGACCCCGTAAACTGTTGATCATCGTTTGGGATATCTACATATTTCGTACCATCTGCAAATAAATGACGACTATAATCTTATATTGCACATAATTTTCCTAAGGATAAATACTTCAATGGTCTTCTGCTACCTTCTAAAAAGTGTCTGTGCTCCTGACGCGTACGCCGTTAATCAATTGCAGTGGTTTATCCACCATCTAGGGACAAAAATGCACGCTAGCAAATTCGCTACTTTCAGTGACCCACTTTATCCTTCATTGTCATCTAATTATCTGAGACGCAGCGACATTTGCATTTGCTTCAATGATTACCTAAGAATTTACCGGCATGGGTGAGCCCTACCTGTAGTTACCTCTTGGGGTCCTTGCGCTTGCCAAACGTCACCATCGCGACAATATGACAATCTGTCGAGAACGATTAGACAAATAACCTTCAAATTCAAAAGAAAGATCATTAGTTGTTCTTGTACTTTCTTTTTGTCTTTGTTTTGTTTGTATGTGTACATGCAAAACCATATGATTTGTCAATTCCCAAACCAAAAATAGGAATAACGTCTCATCGTGTGGTTGTCCCCGTAAGGCTTTTGATCAATTGCCATCTTCCAAAACAAACGTAAGATCTCAAGTCCACTTGTATCGAATAGGTTGAAAAAAACAGCTGTTATTCCATTAAAAAAAGAAATATTATTTAGCAGAGAAAATTTGCCTATAAAATATAAAACTTTACAAAAAGATTATAAATGCAAATATATCACTATAATTATCTAAAATACTAATTTTTACAATATTGTAGAATGCTTTTTTTCGGCCGTCTTAAGTCTTCATTAGACTACCTTTTAATCAGCCTAAGCCGGCAGCTCTCTACTCTCTACTGCTTGTTTGCCTCCAAATTCCAAACCGTTTAACGAGTATAATTTGATATTATACAAATTAATATCCTGCTGCATATGTAAGCTGTATATAGCTTTCCTTTGATTCACGCATATGACACGTCCCCCCAAAAAGAAAGAAAACCCTTATGTGTACGTAAAATTTTCGGGATAAAATTAAAGCAGACTTTTGAAGTCACAATAGCAAAGTAAAACTTTTAAAAACTTCAATAATGTGAAAAAAGTCTGAAAATCTAAAATCCATTTCGATATTAATGGTTTCGACTAATAACACCAAAGATTCCGTTCTATTTGGGTTTAAGTAAACACGTGCAAACATCCCTTGTCTTAACGACACGTATGTATAGCGAATAATTTTAATTTTGAGGGTAAGTTTAAACAACGAAAATGTAAATTAAAAAAAAAAAAACATTCTTTAATTGCATATTTTATTCATCTATTCATTCTACGTTTTGTTTTGAAAAGAAGCAGAAGTCGAAAACAACTTATTTGTACAACAACATAAAGTTGCAAAAATCTGTGCAAAGCTGATCATTCCTCCTCTTGTATATCAAGAAAATAAAAAACCTTAAAAAAAAATTTATAAACATACTAAGGAAAAACCAATCCATTTAGAAACTTTAAAGGTAAAGAAGCAAATTTTGAGATGCAAAGTTTTTTGGCAACAACATATATACAACAAAGTATATAATTTTCTTATTATTATCTAAAATACGAGAAAAGAAAAGAAAAAAGTCCTGGAAAAGCGGAGTGATGGCGGATGTAGTATAGAAAAAGCTCACCATTAGAGAAATAACAAACGGAATTTATTGCAGTAAATTTTAATCAGCGTCGTAGTAAAAAAATTTTTCCTTTAAAATAGTAAAGGATATGGAGGAGATGGCGTCCTCTATGTTGTCCGCAGAAGCGGTTAACAACGTGTACAATATACCTACAGTTACGACTCAGGATGATGCATTGGCTTCGAATTCACGCTTACGTGGTAATAAACAATTTCCTATTGCCGGTAATAAGTCAAATGATAAGAACACTAGTCGAAAGTTTTATGAAGCACATGCTAAGAATTTAGAAGCTGCTAAAAAATTGGTGGATAAATACATTTCCTCATCTGAAGAGGAAGATGAATTGGATGAAACGAAAATCTTAAGTAAGTAGAATAACGTGGTCTCAAGAAGAAAAGTGTTTAATCAATACTAAAATCTTAATAGAAGCGCTATATAAGAATTATAGTGATCGTAAGGAAGACGAGCACTTATTAGCCAAGACTGCGAGTTTCTTAGAAAACATATTGCATTCCGGTTCAGCTACTTGCCTTATATGTATAGCTAGTGTAAAGAGGACGGACGCGATATGGTCGTGTAAACATTGTTATTGTTTTTTTCACTTAAATTGTATACGTCGTTGGGCTAATGATAGCATGGCTCAGCGTAAAGCACAGGAACGCAACATTCAGGGCTATTACAATCACTTGGGTGAATATGTATCTCCCAAAAAAGAGAAAGCTTTACATTGGTGCTGCCCACAATGTAGGCGAGAATTTCAACCAAACGAAAAGCCTGCAACATACGAGTGCTTTTGCGGTAGAGAAACTGATCCGTTACCACAGCCATGGTTATTACCCCATTCTTGTGGCGAAATATGCGGTAAACTTTTACAGCCTAATTGCAGTCATAAATGCAATATACTCTGCCATCCAGGACCATGTCCACCATGCGCTCAATATGCAATAACATCCTGCAAATGCGGAAAATCTAAGCCAAAGTCGATGCGCTGCTTAGAAAAAGATTGGGAATGTCAAGAAAAGGTCTGACATGTTTGTTACGATTTCGAAACCAATGTTCTATTATTATATTAAATTTTAGTGCAATTCATTGTTGCCCTGCGGCCGACACAAGTGCCGTCAACTTTGCCATAAACCACAGCAGTGTCCACCATGTAGTCAAAAAAGTATTCAAGCTTGTGAATGTGGAGCAGAATCGATGAGACGGCAATGCTGCGAACGGAAGTGGCAATGTCAACAGGTCAGTGCATTCGATATTTTATGGAAAGTACAAAATTTCATAAGTTTTAAATAGGTGTGTAGCAAATTGTATGCATGCGGTATACACATGTGTAAGAAAGTTTGTCATTCTGGGGACTGTGGTGAATGTCCACTCAGTTTGCCGCGTTCTTGTCCTTGTGGCAAAACTGTGAGTATTTAAAAAGAAAAATAAGACGAATTCTATTTAATACTGAATGCAACTTAGAAAAAAGTTGGACCTTGCACAGAAATTATTGATACTTGCGGAGACACTTGCCAAAAAATTCTTGCTTGCGGTCAACACACTTGCACCCAAAGGTGTCACAAGGGCAACTGTAATTTGGTAAGGTTTTTCTAGTAAAAATGTTTTGTGAGAATTTTCCTAATTTTTATTCTGTTAAGTGTCTAGTTATTACTAAGAAAAAATGTCGATGTGGTTTACATGAAAAGGAGCTGCCGTGTTCAAAGGAATTTACTTGTGAAACCAAATGCAAACAAAGCAGAGATTGCGGCATACATTCTTGCAACCGCAAGGTATGCAAAATGAGAATATTATGCCCTTGAAAATGAAAATTTTATTTATTTTCATTAAAGTGTTGCGATCGTAATTGTCCACCCTGTACTAAATTGTGCGGCCAACCATTATCCTGCGGTAAACATAAATGCCAATCGGTCTGTCATAAAGGTCCTTGTTATCCCTGTGGACAACAATCTCAAGTCAATTGCCGTTGTGGAAAGACGCGTAAAAGTGTACCGTGCGGAAGGGAACGTACCGTACGCATAGCATGCTTAGAGCATTGCAAGTGAGTTAATATTTAAAATATTCTGTGCAACGAAAAGCAAAAACCTTCTGCTTTCAGAATACCTTCGAAATGTCATCACGTAAATCAGCACCGTTGCCATAAAAATGAGTGTCCATCTTGTTCGCAAATTTGTGGGTTACCAAATAATACTACAGGTTGTGGTCATATCTGCAAGGCCAAATGCCATAGCTATGTGAAGGTATCGAGTAAATCAAACTCGGAGACTGGCCATATTTGGGAGCCCAGCAAAAGGGTAAATTCTACATATTAGACGTAAAGGTTAATATTGCGAATTTCGTCCAAAATAAGTTATCAAAGGGACTATTTATTTCCTTCCAAATAATTTGGGAATAATTTCATTTAAGGATTTCCCTTAGCTTGAGATATTGTCTGGCGCAATTGAAGAGCAAACTCGGATGAGTGCGAGAGTTGGGTCCATTTCAACAACTTTTAAATAGGTACAAAGGCACTGATGGTTCCTAGTTTTTCTTCCTTCGCACAGTTTATCATCGAAGCGTAATTCAGTCTGACACTATTTTACCATCATCGAATACTGTCAATAATACAAAGTAGCATACATGCCAACTCAATATATTTTTAATACTCTCCTGTCTATCTATCTAAAAGAGATTCGCTTTATTAACTATGATTCCATTTCTTAGAGATAATTGTTTACTCTCCCCATTTAGATCGAATATAAATCACTACCTCATCCTCGTTGCGAAGAGAAAGTATTAGTTGCTTGTATAGGAGGTCATGAAGTAGAAGAACGACCGTGCTGGAACTCAAATCCGAAGTCTTGTCAGCGTTTATGTAATCGTCAGCTGCCCTGCGGAAATCATAAATGCACATTGATCTGTCATTCTGTATCCCATCCCGATAATATGGAGGTGAAATTTTCTTTCTCTCTTTCTTTCTTTGTCTAATCATTCCTTAAATGAATCTGTGGTCTGTGTGTGTTTGTCTCCTAGGCTCAACAAGGTTGTATGTCCTGCGAAAACGGTTGTAATATACCGCGACCTAATGGTTGCATCCATAATTGTCCTCGACCGTGTCATTTGCCACCTTGTAATCCCTGCAATGTAGCCATTAAAACAAAATGTCATTGTGGTCTGATGCAAATTATTTATAAATGCTGTGATTATTATAACAATCAAGGCGCTGTAACTGATATCGCTGAGCGGCAGGAACGTTTAAAAAGTTGCGGTAATCGTTGCTTAAAAAATGTAAGTCTGCATCGAACTAAACAAGAACTTACATAATAATAATATTGCATTATATTTCATTTGTACAGTATTCTTGTGGCCATCGGTGCGCGGCACAATGCCACGCAGGGCCTTGCCCGGAAACTAATAATTGTCGCAAAAGATTACGCATTTACTGTGAGTGCAAACGTTTAAAACAAGAGATTTCTTGCGATAAACATCGCTCAGGGCTCACTAAATTGAAGTGTGATGCGAATTGTCTGGATATCATCAAGAAGTCTGAAATGTCTCGTCATATGGCAGAGGAATCATTGCGTAAGCAAGAAGAAGAACGTAATCGATTAGAAGTGGAGCAATTTGAGAAACGATTTAATAAACGCAAACATAAAGAACGCAAATCAGTTGAACTAAAAGAAAAACGAGAGATCAACTGGAAATTGCTGTTCATGTACGCGGGCATCTTTTCAGCGATACTCTTGGCCGTTGGTCTCGCATTTTACGAAGATCATTAAAATCGTTTGCCGTTTGCTCTTAAAAATTGAGAAAATTCTTCATATTTTCTTTACATAATATTTTCGTAATTAATAAAATTTTCATAAATAAAGGAAAAAAAAAATCACATTTATTTCCGGGCAAGCGGAATATTCTCCACATTCTTTCTTTAAAGAATTAATTATTTATTGAATATTATTGCATGCAGTAATGACTGGCTACACTGCATTTATTTTAAAAACAATTTCATAAGAACATTTTGTATCTGACATCCAAGGAAACTTTATTTACTCCAAAAATCTGATTCTGAACACCCACCCACCACCTTATTAAATGGATGCTGTTTTTTTGACTCGTCGACATAAGCAGAGATACATCGCTAATTTGAAAATGTAATCCATGGAAATTTAGCGCAAGCAAGCAAGGCTAAGGCTACATCTCTAAATTAAGCGTTGCAACCTGAAGAATCCTTCATTGCGGACAGACGTGAGTAATTAAATCAACTGAAAAGCGTGTGACAATGACGAATTCGTAAAACCATCACAAGTCGACACGCATTTCTGGATGTTACAAGAAATAGGTAAATAGTATTATAACCATTTTCCGGTGGTGGATATGAAATATATTGAATTACGAATTTAAAATCTGCGACCGGCTCCATCGCCCCAATGGCTGCTACGACCATAATTTCCGCCGCGAGCGCCAAAGCGATTACCTTCACCGTAGCCACCACTTCCATAACCACTGCCGCTTCCTCTATAGGCACCACTTCCGTATCGTCCACTACCGCTCCTATAGCCACCAAAACTGCTACCACCGGCGAAATCATTTTCGATCCGACCCCGCTTATAAGGTGGTCCGCTCGAGGAACTTTGGAAAGGCATAACTCCTTTCTCACGCTCAATTTGATAATCGCCAGCATTTCTTATGCACAAATCCTTTATAGTTTTGACTAATTTCGCTTGCTTTTCCTCCAACTTTAATACCTCGGATGGCTCTGTGCAAGCTATTGTTACTAAATCTTCGATAGCAATCTTCAACGCAGCTATCATAGCAGCAAGCTGCGGTTCAATTTCAAAGTTTAACCAATTATCCAGACGTATTACATTCTTCCTAACCAAATCAATTTTACGGCAACCAAAGAGCATCAAATGTAATGGGGTAACCATAGTCATTTGTTTGCAAGATACCGCTCTAGTACGTATTTTTTCGCCAAATATAAAAAACGGATATGGAAATGTAACCGTCAAATTGCTGCAATTTACTGAGGTTTTGTGAATTAATGCAGCCTTCGCCTCCGTAGTTAGAACTTTTCGTTTTTCTTTATGATAGCACACATTTGGATATAAGCCCATACATAGCAAAGCTGTAGCGATATCTAAATGCTGATTTTCCAAATGAGCATCTATGCGCTCAGTTATCATTGAATCTTCCGGGAAACCTGCCTGTTGGAGAAGATCTATTAATTGATTTTTGGACTCTGCCATTACGCGCATAGTAGATAATTGCAATCCTTTCCATTCACAAAACCGTATCTCTTCATCTTCGCTTTTTCGACGAGCATTCTCCCACATTTGAGTGGCGATAATCATGGCCACGTGATCCGAACATTTTGTACCGCTTAAAACTTTTTGATGATTTTGCAAACGTCTCTGACCCAAATCTAAAGCAAATACTTCAGAGAAAGTACTAGAATACGCCGCCATGCTAGCGACAACATCACCACAACCAAAAACTGTACTCAATATCATCATTTTACCAAGTCTCGGTTCAATTGGTAAACGCGCTAAAATTCGACCCAGGTGTGTGAGTTCATCGTTAGCATCCAGGCAACGCATATCGCGCAGCAATACCTCGGCTTCAATAACGGCATCCAGAGGTGGTGGTTCTAATGCTTTCGACAAGAACTGATGTATAGACCCGAGTTTTAATAATTTAATAGTTAAAGCCATTTCATGCAAAGGCGTACGAAACATTTCCGGCGTTAAATGATTTTCCAAAGCCTGGAAACGCGCTTTTGAGCAAAGAGTAAAACAGAAACCCGGTCTAACGCGACCAGCCCGACCTTTCCGTTGCTCTAAATTAGTTTTACTGGCCCAAACTGTAGCATAACTTGTTAAATTGTTATGAGAAGTAAACATTTTCATGCGAGCTTTACAAAGATCCACAACAAATACGATATCATCTATTGTGATCGAAGTTTCAGCGATATTGGTGGAAAGAATAATCTGAAATGGTATACAGAAAATAGAGAAATTGTTTATTATTTTCATTGTTTTGCTAACCTTAGTAACGCCATTTGGAACTGGTTCAAACACTCTGCGTTGATCTTCTCTCGGAATTTGCGAATGGCATGGCAAAATTCTATATTGTGGGCTACCGAACTGGGAGTTTTGTAAATATTTCATTAAAGCAAATATTAGATTCCAGCCGGGCAAGAAAACCAATATAGCTCCAGGTATATTCTTCGATTTTATATGAATTAACAAGGCTTCAATTAATTCAAAAGAACATTCCGATTCAGAAAGAAGGGCCATGGCATTCTTCGTCTGTTGCGAATACGGATCGGCACAAACTTTGTTCAAATTCTGTTCACCGCCATCCTCACCGTTCTCTTTAATCACTGCGTTCTCTTCGTCATCTCGATCTTTGTTCTTTTTACGAGACTCCAATGTAGGGACGAATTTCGTCATTTCCAAACAGTCTTCCAAGAAATACTGCTGAACTGGAAATGCACGTCCCGGTACTTCAAGAACAGGAGCTTGACCGAAATATTGCGAAAATAATGTCGTATCTATGGTTGCTGACATAAGAATGATCCGCAAATCTGTATAAGTGTGAATCATATCTCGTAAAATAATCAAAAGGAAATCACTGTTAACATCCCGTTCGTGGATTTCGTCGACAATAATATGAGAAATACCACGTAAGCCCATCTCTAATTTACGCAATAAAACACCCACAGTACAAAAAAGTATAGCGCCATACGGACGCGGCAAAATAGTTTCAAAGCGTACTGAATAACCGACAGATTCGCCAAGATTCTCGCAACGTTCATTGGCTACACGTTCAGCTACCGAAATAGCTGATATACGTCTAGGTTGAGTAACGTAAATATCACAAAAGGCCCCTTGACCAGACTGTATATAATCTTCTAATATGTATTGCGCGATTTGCGTAGTTTTGCCACAGCCAGTGTTACCGCGAATAATAACCACAGGATTTTCATTAACTGCCTCCATAATTGCTCTGCGCATAGCGGCTATTGGTAATTTCTCGCGAAAATCTAAAAATTGCTGATATTCAGAATTATTGAGCCGTTTATCCTTTGCGCCATTTTCTAAATCGGCGCATAAATCTTCTAAAGATGCTGTAGCCAAATAACCTTCATCAAAATTGCAAGCATTCCAAGCGTTCCAATTGCGTTGCGGCGGTGTCCAAGGGATAATTGAAGTCATAGTTTGTTGTTGGTTTTCATTACGCTGTCTTTGGATATCTTTATTTGGATTAATCTAAAAAAAAAGATGTTACTTCGTTAAAATGTTAACGTCTATAAATTTTCTCCTTTGCGTCCTCACCTGCAAGCTAAAAAGCTCATTTTCAGACTCTACTTTAATATTAGAAGTCTCCACCATGGGTAAATTTAATTCTTTAATACATTGCTCTAATGCTTCTTTTAACTCAGGCGCTATTTTAACCGGATATGGTTTCAATTCTTGCTCGTCCTTTTTCTGCTTAAGGGTGCCAGTAAAGGCTTCGATAACACCCAAGTGATACAGCTGTCGTACAAGCGAAAGAGCACATGATTTGCTGGCTGATTGTTTATTAGAGCCAGTTTCGCGTGCCGTAATAGTACGCTTCAGGTCACGTACGAAAATTTGCATTTCAGCCATGAAACTCCTGTAAATTTGTTTTTTTTTTTTTTTGTTATGATGTTTAACACGTCAGTTAGCGGGAAATTTTCACATGACATAACACACATTTTCACAATACATAATATGAAAATATTAAGTCTTTTGAGCGAGTACAATGAGCTTACCGACAGTTATAATTGATTTTGAAATACTCACCATCCTTACAGTAGTGGAAAATTTTGTTTTACTGTCTTGCCGTTAAAAATTGAAAGCATGTGGCTTTAATAGTAAAACTGCAGCAGTTTACAGGGTAGAACTAAAAACGTAAAATATTTAGTATTAATCTCCGAAATTATTCTAATGACTATTTAACGAATTTTAGAACTCATCTTAAATATTCCATTAGTGTTCCTTCAAGCGCAAAGAACACAAACGGAACAAGTTCATAACAGAATTTTTCAGTTACTCTTATATGCGTCACTAGTAATAATTTCAAGAGCTTAAAATTTATACAACCTATAAAACCACATGCTTTCCTCAGGTCATTTAAATCGATATTTTCTGATACAACTCTATAGACGATTCTTAACTTAAAAAAATTGTACCTTGCATGATCAGGACCCACGGGAGTATATTTATAATCAGCTGTAATTTTGTTCATTTGCATAAACTGATGCAATTTAGCTTTGGCGTTCTCAATCGTCCAATTCCCGTGGATGGCGGCGTTAACATCAATGGACTCGGCCTCTTTCATTTCCATCTGTTCTTGAGCTCGATCTATAAAATTAAAATTTCCGTACTCGTTACCGCGATCCATTGGTCGATATGCTTGACCCAGATCCTGGGGGCCGGTACCACCGTCGAAAAAACGTCTTTCAGAGCCGAATGAAGCACCACTGCCCAAAATAACAGTAGACTCATTCGGTGCAGAAGATGCCATACCAGCCTCAGCAGGAACATCCTGAGAAGCTAAATTACTCGACCGCACCAAGAAATTTACAAAATCTCTTGAGGCATTGCGCTCTGCATCTTTCTTATTCGTTGAATTTCCTACCGCCACATAAGGATACCCGGAAACACGCACTTCACATAAGAATCGTTGGCGATGTTTTGGACCTTAAAATGTAACAACAAAATTCAAGGCAACGTTTTTAGAATGTAAACAATTAGTGTGTGCACAAACACGCGTAAAGGCGCAATATAAACAAAAATTGAATAAATCAAGACGAATCCGGCCAGTTGGCTAAAATGGAGTTGATGTCAACATTAAAGAGGTCATACATGTCCTTACTAAACTTTGTTTTGCCTTAAATACCGTCCTGGAAGATCTAAGTGGTCTACCGGCTAAATAAACCAACGATTAATCCTGCGTTTGACAAACCCCAGTTAAAACTGATCCGAGCTGTCGACAATAATCAGTTGATTTGACCGAACATGGTATTTTCAAGTACAGAGGATTTGAAATTTGATTTTAGCTTTTCCGACACTTATTGTAACCCTTACGATGATTTTGGTGCACACAATTGTTGACTGCTTATTCTCAGTCTAATAAATCTACTTTCATACGCTTTTTCCTATATTAATATTCCTCACTGATCTCAGGAAAAGATTGCCATCATATTTCTGATTTTTTATGTCGACTATATACTCATTACTATTTTTCAACCTGATGCTTTTATAAATAATCGTTCATTCGGTAAAGGCCTTCCTCTAGATATCTTCAAAAAGCAAAAAAAACATATCAAGTTGAATGAATTTTAGCAAAATATGTATATCTTCTTATTTAAGAAATAAAACTCATATGTAAAATTCACGTCAACTGATCGAACATTTGCAACCACAAAGTGAACTAGGATAGCACCATAACACTTTTACCAAAAACAAATTCATATGGAATATGTTAACACATACCGGTAGGCCGGACTTCAAATTTCGGTTCAACTTTTTTTTTGCACACCATTCATGAAAAAATGATTTTATGTCAGCCATTTTAACGATTTCTCGCCCAGAGTGCTTCTCTGTATAGCAAGGAAATTAATTTACAAGTAATCGTTGTCTTATAACCAGCGATAAGTTATACATTGTTATCGCTTAGAGGTTATTTTTTAGCAAGAAAAATCATCAGCGTAATGGTAACGATGGTAATGCAATCAGGTGGGTATTTACATATCTTTAGGGGGCTGACACAATGAACCATATGATTTGTCAATTCCCGCAAAGTCTCATAAAAAGTCAGGATAGTTAAACTCCCATCCGGAAAATTAGGATGACGTGTCATTGTATCGTGCTGTTTAGTGCACAAACACTAGTGTACTAATACTTATAACTGGTTCTAGGTAGCTGCGTCGTAATAGTTCGCTTGAGAAATTGAAATTATATTTGTAATGAAGATTGCTTTTCCTTTCAAATAATAAAACAGTTAATAATAGTAAAGGGCTTCCGATGACGTCATAAATTTTTTTTATATCTTTTGTCGTTAACCAATAGCAAAATAGTTATTTGTTTTCACATTAACTTCGCGATCGTAATTTTTCTGCTGATTTAATTTATTTTCCAAAGGAAACGTTATGTTGGGGATTATATATACTGATAGGCTATTCCATTTTTCAGGTTGGTTTCGTCCCGAAAATAGATATAACGCATCATTATCTTTGGCGCTTAAAGGTTTGATACAATGATGCGTTATTTTTTATTATCATGCCGGAACTGAATAATCATTTGTTTTTTTTTTTTTTAGTACGTATGCATACAAATAAAGCAAAACAAAAACAACGCATAAGATGAAATAAGAGTAATTTAATTTGAATTTAGAAATTATTTATTTAATTTACAGTAATATGCAATATGTAATGTACAGTTTTAATTTATATGAATTATGGATCAATTAATACACAAAAACATACCTAATATATATCTACCTATTCTATCTACCTAGTCAATCTACTTTACCACTAATCAATTAAAAAGCTTGTTTACCTTTATAATAACTTAATTATTATTGTAAATCTTTTGCTTATGTTTACGTTGTTTTCTTTATTTTTGATATTATAACCATAGGTTTTTTTATTTTTATTCTAAAACCATATGTATGTGGCTGCGTTCTATGTTTGCCATTCGGAAGTTTTTAACCCAAAAACGGAAATGACGCCTGATTATGTCAGCACTTAATCGTTAACGATACATAGGTTTGTTTACTTTTCTTACGAAATGATATGGTAAGGCAGGCGAGCGAGGCCTTAAATATGTCAACTGCTTGCTTAATTCATTTGCGAGATATAAGACATCGCTATCGATCTCACTGCAATAAATAAGAACCGAAATTATGTTTGCCTGAATATGAAGTAAAATTATGCATGTTATGGATGCAAATAATAAAACTTGGTAATGATTTTTAATGATCAAATTTATTTCCATTGTTTTGTCAGTCGACGGCATAAGCTAAAGAAGCATTATACACTTGAGTACTAACAAATGTTCCATGAATATTCCATTGAAAAAAATTAAAACGAAAAGCTAGCATGTAACCAAAACGAGCAGACTTTTATTTTTTTAGGATTTTATAACTAAATGTAAGTTGTATCTGTATATTTGAAACAAATTTTTATTTTCAAAGTTTCCAACCTTATAGCGTATTACGAAACGCCGCGCTATCATTTACGAGAGTTGCAATTCTTATCAGATTATATTCGCTCCTTTACTTTTCTATTAAAATTTGGAAGTGATCTTGAAAAACGGTTGTTTTCATAAATGTTAGTCAGTGCAAATGAAATTGGATTGTTAAAGATCCTTTAAATGCTCTCAAATCAAGTTCCCTTCATATACGTATTTTGTCTACGTCGTATGTAAATTATTTTTTAATCTTTAAAGCCCTTTACGCACTTTGTTTTACTTCAATAAGATCCCGAACGAGCACCATTTATTCGCGATTTCGTCTCTCATTACTGGTCTTAAGCAGGCGTTACAATTTAATTCATTACGGATGTATGCATTAACTTCGCAATTAGCGAAGGTGATAGGTGTTGCAGTAACTAAATAATTTAAAATAATCCGTCATTATGTATATGGAATATATGTCTCGCATTCCAATTGTCTATGTAAACTGCTTCAGATTCTTCAGCAATGTGGAATTGTTTCAATAATGCATTCATATTTTCAAAGAATTTAAAGATGAAATGTGTCAGGTCTATTGCGTTATTGGGTATTTTTAAACGTAATTATGCCATAATAGCAGCGGTTATCTCATCGCTGGATAGCTTGACGGCGTTAATTGGAAACTGGGATGCATACGAAGAAGAGCTCTTTAAGTTAGATTGTCGAATTGAAATCAAATATTTATATTTTTGACACGTATTACTTATAAACTCTTAAATTTTCAAATAATTATTGTATAATTATATTTGCTATGTCTTGCTATGTGCAGCTTTAAGCGCTTCAAATTTCGGAATATTATAGTTTCCGTTAATGATGAAGATGTACAAGAAAATTATGGTACCGACAAGAACAGAATTGTCCTGCAGATTGGTAATGGGAATTGCCATACAATTTTAACTTGATTAATTAATTTTATTCATTACTATTATTTACGATCAGTGACAAGAAAGCTGTAATGTTTATCTCTCCACGTATACTAAAAAAATCCTCTACAAGACTTACCATGGATGATAGTGTCATCACAGAACGTTCAAGTGTTTTTACTCCGCTATGAAGAAATTCCAGAGATGTGATGGAAATGACAGAAATATGTCAAATGTTAATAAATACATAAATAATAAGTCAATTAGATAAGGACGTATTATACCTACAACACAAATTTTGTAGTAATGAAATTTTCTTCATGTTTGTTGATATGAAGATTTTTAATGAAATTTGTCAAAGAATTTGGCGAACATAGAATACAGAATTCTTCAATTCTTGAAAATAAACAATGAAAGGAAAACATATTGTATTTGCTATGTACACATACCTGATGTTTGGTCTTTTTTCGTCCATACACATTTATATGTATACCATAGGCCATATTCACTTAAAAACGTACATTCTTGTTTTGCAAAGGTTTGATAGAATGCGACATCATGTGAAGAAACTCTTGATATCAGGCTCTTTGTCGACATAAATAATGAGAGTGAAAGAGCAAGCATACAAATGGCCGCTAATTAACAGCATTACTACTTTTATTATTAAGAGATACACAAAAAGTCCTCAAGAGCCCACTAATGTCAATTGTTGGAACTATGGACATGTTAATCCATGTATTTCGTTATCTTCTTAATAATGGTTTAATAAAAATGAAACAATTAAAGCGATATTATACAACAGAAATTTAAATTGGTGAAAACTATCAAAAATTCATTTTTTTCTCACATTATACCTACATATGTGAATACGTTCCATAATGCTTCAAAACAAAGATGATAACCGAATCTGATAAAAGTCCAAGTAGAAATGACTGCGAAATTGAAATAAATCATCATTTAGTGATAATTTTAAAAAAGCTTAAAAACGCTCCTAACTCATTCTGTTGTGTTAAGTTCCTTTTAATTTTCTACTAAAATTCATTTTAATATTCTTCCTAAGCCTATTAATTTCGCTGATTTGGCGGATCTCTCTCTCTCTCGCTCTCTCACACACACACTCAAAATTCAAAGTTTCCGGAAAATGGCGGATAGCATAAAATGCATAATGTTTACAGAGCTGTTATCTTATGTACAGTAATTTGGTTACGCGGATCATAACCGAAGAATATAACGGAATGAAGCCAATGCACCCGCTTCTTCTACGTTTTTTGAACGAAAATGAAGCAATTTGCTAATAAACAACAACAACTTCTGTTATAGCAATAAATTCAAATCTAAACATTCTCTAAACATTCAGGTAACGTGCCCATACCTATATGAACAAAGTGATAGTTAACGAGAAAAAAAGTGAGGAAATAGAAACGGCTGTAGTCGCTGCCTGGACGTCATATGTCCGATCGGTAAGTGTTACGCCTTTGTCGATCGAGCATTTAGAACAGTGGCGACTGCATATGAATCGTGAAAATCAATCGTGCTCTACAGCGCTGGAAAATCAAAATCTGAGCTCGTCGACTTGATAGCCACGCGTCATCTCTCTACTTGTGGGCTGCAATACGTTTAAAGGAACATTGTAAACAATAAATCCGTGCAATTCTGGATAATATTCTAAAGGAACAATTAAAATTTCTCGTGGATATATTTCCTGAGACGAAAGAAAATAGTTTTATCAACTGCTGAACAAAAAAGTATATGAATAAGTCGGAATATTTGACTTCGGCTATTATTTAAAAATGAACAAATAATTCGGCTTAGTCTTTAACCGTGTTAACGATATATACGTTTGAAAACTTAACTCGCTTATGAAGATCTACGATGATATCCCTCTTAATATCCAACAAGCAAATATAACTGGACTCTAAGACTGAATGAAAAATAATTGAATATAATATTTATGAATTGATTATGATGATAATCAGTGAATTAGTTCAAGTGGTAGAAGTATCATTTATTATTTTACAATATTGCTTAATTTTATGTTTCCTTTGGCTTCTTTTTGAAAACCCAAGCCGCAATAAATACTGAGGAACTTAAAAAAGTTGAAATAATAAAATTTGACAATAGCATCCAATCGTGAGACTGCACGTAAACAGTATAGATGCGAGCTAAAACGAGACGTTCGGAGGATTCGAACTTTTATGAACTTTTTAAAACTAAATCATCAAAAACTTACTCATATTGGTGAAAGCTGATAAAGCCCATGTCGTACGGCTAACGGATCTAGCATCTTTAGTCCTTAAAATTGTTATTAACTGTAAAATTTTACTCGTAGCGCCAATCGGTGTGCAAAATGGCTATAAATAGAATGAGGCAACAATATTAAAATAAATAGGAAAATGAGCTAAGAATTTTGTTTTGCCAACATATACCACAACCGGTACGTTTGAAAGGCACGGAATTGCTTGGAATTTTGTAAACAATATGTTTTGCAGCAGCGTTAATAAAAGCGGCATTGGTTTAGTTACATTCGTTTACCTCCATGTACACTGAAACTCAATAAGTTTTTGTTGGGACGTAACATTTGCCAATCACCAGAACTCTCTTCATTGGAAGTTTTTCAAATTTGTGTTACTTTTTTCTCCTAAGATCACAGCTTACATACATATGTATGTTATGTTAAACTTTTGTTTGAATGCCGTACTGACATTCGTTGCTTTTGCATATTTTTAAATGCAAACACGTTTGCGAAGCTGAGTAAAACATTCTTTAAAAAACTAACGAACGATTCAATTGGTTAGTTTAGAATACATAATTCCGTCAAAGTCTAATTGTTTTTAGCATCGTTAATACATTAACTTATCTAAAATGTTTAAAAAGTCTACTAATAGTTGTATATCACTAATCCCATGCTCATTAGTTTAAGTTAATTAAATGAAATAAATGTTTTTTTTTTTTTTTTAATTTCTATGGTTTCGACATTGGATTTCACATTATCTATTAAGAAAATGATTTACATATATGCCGATTGTCGTAGGCCAATGGAATCAAAATGAGAAATTTACGTAAAAAAAAATGCATCTGATAAAACAAACTTTTTTAAAGTACTATATGATATATTTATTGATTAACGAAAGTTATAACTACTTACCACCAAGAAGGTTAAAATCACTATTGGAAATATTTTTAAATAAATCAATGTGCAGGTAATGACATATAACCCGGCTATTATTTGTGTTTTACGACCTAAAATGTCTTGGTACTTGAAAACGAAGTAAATCAAAACATACTCTTGCAACAACAATATCGGATATTCCATGTATGATAAAAATGCGTAATCATTTGAATAATTGTATGACATCATAACGGTATAACTGAAAAGCTCCAAACATAAGCCCGCCACACTAATACCTAAAAAGGGCATCAAAAGCGATTTAATATATACTAAAAGACTAGAAGAGAAGGTATGACAAAAAGGAAAGGAAATGACCCACTAACCTTTAGATGATTTATTTGTGCATATGGTATTAATTTGTGGTACTTTGATTATCAAACAAGATGACACCGTAATTAAGCTTAATAAATCCGCAACTATTAGAACTAATCCTTTATCCAAATAATCACTTATTACTTCTGTAAAATCCTCAAGCTTCGCCATCATAAAACCTATTCAAAGTAATACGATTAGGACAGTATATTTAGGACATATATATATATATATATACATATATATATATATATATTTTTTCGGTATTTATATCTTCTTGTTTAAATAATTGTACCTGATGCCAAATTTATGAAACGGCCGAAGAAAAAAAGTTTTAGGTAAATTTAATCTGCACGTATATATGTGTATATGTAGACTATATATGCACTTAACATTATCTAAACATTATTTATAATAGATGCTAGCTCCAAGGCACTTGTTTTATTGTTCGATCCCGTGTATATAATTTGCAACATGTCATATTAAAGTGCTTACTAAAAAATAATACATAAACACATAGGCAAACATATATTATATTTATAGATATGTAGATAGATTCACATAAATACACAATTTTTCCATGTTGCCAAGTTGATATTTATTTCTATGATTGTGGTAATAACAATCTACGGGGTATTTGCTGGGATGATTAATCACATAAATAATTTCTTTCAAATGACTGTACTTTATAAACGTAATATAATATAACTATTTATAATATTTTTCTTTTTTATGTTAATTAGAATTTCGATTTTATTTAACACCAGGAAATTCGAATTAGCAGAGTTGCTTCAGTTAAGTTCCATTAAGCGGCATAACTGCTATCTAGAGAAAACGATAAACAATTAATATATTTTATGTTAGAAAAAATAAGCAATTTTCGTATAATATTGCTGGAAAAAAGTACTTTGGTCAAATGTATTTTGCGTGCCTCCAATAATTAATGAAAAAAAAAAACTTCGATCAATTCTTTATTGCTACTTTTACCTACTACTTGTCTACTTTTTTTATTTGTTATTATCGATAACAAATAGAACTCCACCTTGAAAATAAGTTCCATAAATTTTTAGTACAATTTTTAAGCAACTCTTTTGACAATTGAAAATTTTCTTTTTTTTCGTGCGAAGCGAAATTTGTCAGAGAAGTTTTTTAAGGCTGGCGATTTTTGTGAAAATTTTTAGAAAATAGTTAAACACACAAAATCAATTCCCACGCGTTGGAAAATTCATTTGAAGAAATAAATACCGATGAATAACAAAAAATCATTTGTAAAAAAACGTGACTTTTCGTAAAAATTGTGGCTTAAGAAATTGACAAAAAAGTTAATTAACTGAGGTAAGGAAGAGTAGTTGCTTACTTTGCATTAAATATATATATATATATATATATTTATATATATCTTTATATATGCATACATAATATATGTGTATATAATATATATGTATATGTGTGTGTGTGTGCGTGAGAGACTTTTAAGAAAAAAAATTGTTCATTAAAAAACAATATATTTTGAAGAGGTGTCGAGGAAATTGAAAACTAAATGAAATAAGGAATAAAAATAGTAAAGAATTTCGCATATAATGCATAAACTTTACGAGTGGAAAGAAGAACTAATTGCGGGATGGGAAAAAGGATATGTATGACAATTAAAATTCTAAAAAATATTGGGTGTCGTGATGTTTGGCACATACGTATGTCGTATGTATTTATATATATACAGTCGTATGCAGAGGCTTAGGCGCAGTTGCTGCGAGGTTTCAGATAGATTGTTGCTGTTGCGTAGTCTCTGTTTAGATGCAGTTAAAGCTGCAGAAAGTTTTAATGAAATTTCTTTACATTTAAGCGTAAAATTGCTTACTAGCGTTAAAATATTCGAATGTTTTGTGTAAGTTGGATTGCTGCACTATTTGGCACATAGATACTTTCGTATGTATGTATATATATATGTAATCGTGGCGGAGGTTAGAGCGCCGTTGCTGCGATGTCTTGGATTGTCACCGCTGTCTACTCTTTAGGTGCAATCAGGGCTGCCAACGGGTCTTGCTAAAACATCAATATCGTATGTCAACAAAAAGAAAAGCGTGGACTTCTTGTGCATTTAGTTAGTTATAAGTGATCGTTTTCCTCACGCAGTATATCTCAATTTTCTGCTAATCCGCAAACATTGAAAACGAAAAGAAAAAAATATGAAGGGTCTTCACTGCTAGACTAAATTGTCTCTTTGCGCTTTCAAAGTAGTACAAAATTTAGAAATTACATTATTACATTATTAAATATGCGAAAACAGATCCAGTGACAAAAACAATCATACATGCATAACAGCCATGCCAAATGTTGTATTAAGATTCGATGCTGTAACCTATTTTCTTTAAATGAAAGTAAAGTTAATGAACAATGATAACATCATAACAGGACGTAACTCTGGTTTCTTGTACAAAATATTCTTTCCTCTCTTTTTTTTTTTTTTTTTTTTTGTTGTATAATAATAATATTTCGAGTTAGGTTGCGTGTTGTGGGTAGAAGGTGTAGTTTGTTCTAACTTATGAAAAGTCGGTTATGAAAAGTTTACCATCTAATGTTGGACTCGCAATAAAAAAAATGATGTAATTACAGCTACTTACTTGTTATAACGTGCATAGCATCACGCTTGAAGTTACTTAATAAAGTGTATAGATACGCTCTTTGCTTCTAAATTTCATCATTCATACATTATCAACATGAATAAATGTATAAGTGCTTGTGAAGATTTATAAATGCGAATTAATGAAATTGCCATCAATGTGCTTATAGTTAAAGTACATGAGTTATTTTCATTAATAATTGACTTTACATAACTTTCAAAAATACTTTTAGCTTAATAGCGAATAAGGATGGAGAATGTGAAAATCGGCGGTTATAATTAACGACCTATATAATAACTTCCAAATAGCATAGCGGGATGATTTGTCTCCATTTATATATGTGTGTGTGTATGCAAAGGTATAATAAATAAGACAATTTGAATTGGAATTGAAATGCGGTGAGACGGATAAATATCAATTTATATAAATAAGTATTTCGCGAATTATATGCTTAGTTGCATCCAAAACAGCTTTTGTCTGAATTATTTGTTTCAAGTTTTAAGTCATTATTCAATCAAAATGAAATAAGTTGGAAGTTTCAATAGATTTGAGATGTGTTCTTCTTAGATGGTGCTCATCAATGCTAGCTTTGTGTATATTTGATTGCAAGATGGAATTTAACGTCCATCCAAATATCGATAACAGATCTGCTAATATAGCAGAGATATAGAAATACTGGAATTATCTGCAAGTTTGCTATTCTAGGTGGTGAGGTTGCAGTGAATTCTTGCTGAAAAACCAATAGATTACTCAGCAGTACGTTTTAAAATTTCAAATCAATAAACAAACAAAATAACGAAGAAAAAATTGGAAAATTACTTCATAATATTTAAGTTTCAAGGTTAAATTGAGCGGCATCTAAAAAGTTCACATGCAAATGTTCTTCTACCGATTTGCTCATCAATCTCAGAGACGATTCAACGAACTGTATGTGTATGTAACACTATGTAATACGTTTGCACAACTTTTTGAGTAAACTTATTTTGAAAACATCTGCAAACAACCAAGAGTGTGACTATCCTCTATCTAACTATCTAACATAACAACATATATTGTCATAAATTCTAGCGATGATATTGTTCGATTCTTGACCGGGAGCCTGTTCTCAATGATTTCATTTTAAGAAATTGGCTATAGAAGTGACGGGAGGGCGATATACTTTAATGGTCAGCAAGCTAGTGCTGTTTGCACACACTTCACTAACGCTTTTAATGGAGTACACTGTCAGTTGCATTTTTTTTAAACTTGATTTATATGGGTTTTCAAATGGTTGTCACTTATCTAAAAGGCCGTATGCGACATATTACTTACCATGGCTAAGTGGTATGGAGTAACTTATGTATCTTAATCTAAGTAAATAGAATTTTGTAGAAAGTCGGCTATACACACTACATATAATATGCGTGGGCAGACCATTAAACATATCCCATATATCACAGATATGGTGCTTTCGTCTGTAGACACATTCAGTTGTACTCTGAGATTTATCGAAAGGTAGACTTGTAAATTTGAAGATCCTTACAAACAAAAGATCTATTCATTTAGTCGATTATACTAATACTACAATACGCCTCAGTAGTACGGTCTCCATGTTATGAATGTAATGTTGATATTATTCCAATCCCAATTAACAATGTGGTTCTACCGCTTTAACGATGAACCATTTAATCCATTTTATGTCACTTTTATCATTCATTCGCCTTCTCTGATTCGGTTAGATCGGAATCAAAATGTTAATAATCCATCATAATCATAATTTGAATGTAAGCTCATTTACCATAAAGTGATCATATGAATAGGCATCGAATATATGTGAAGGCATAATATAAATAACTATAAGTTTATCGCTGCTTATTATTGTTCTTAATAAAGTCGAGATTACGAATTTAATAAAATTGAGTTAAAAAAATCAGTAACTTTAACATTAAGTAAGTGGCTATCTTGCGTCAGTCGAATAAATAAAAATATGAATAAATAATGAATAGGGTGTGGTCGGTGGTGTTTTAATAAGCACTTTCATAAAGCTTTTCATATCTCAAATATACTTTCTATGATGTTTTTTGGATTTTTCAAATTAAATAATTATTGCGCCGAGTTTGTGTACTTTGTGAAACCGGTGTCGTCAATCAAAGCTTAACGGGATAAGCAGCACTATCTTCAGTTATCCAAGATTTTTGGTTGAAAACGATTTGCTTACTATCTTTCCGATATAGTCAAATTGACTAATATACTACATATCCATTTTCTTTTTTAATTAGGACGTACAGTTACGAAATGACGCGAAGGCTATCATCTTAGGTATGAACTTTGTATGCAAGTACGAGAATAGTGAAGAACGTTGTGGAAAAATTCCGCTATAAGTCTCTCCAGTCAGAATCAGAATCTATTATCAGTCTACAGAATTGAATTCGTTTGTCTTTAAATCATAGCAGAACAACTCTTACTATCCCGACCATCAATTTATAGTGTGAAAAGTTTTTTTCTCATATTCGGATTGCTTTCTACTATCGTACCACATTTATATAAATTGAACCCTCTTAGTTGCATATATATATATATATATATTTCAAAATCTTATCCTTATCTAATTTGGCAGTACCTTGTTGTGCAATATAAATTCTTGTACAAATTGAACACATATTGATTGTGCATACTCGGGCTTATTTACATATGGTTTTTTTGTTAATACAAGCGAATTTGACATGGGAATTCTAGTACGGAGTTACGTCGAGTCACACTTAAACACCACACTTTTTAACAAAAATATCATAAATAAGAAAAAAGAATTTATAGCACCAAAGCACCGAAACATAGGGGAGATTCATTTTGTCAAAGCGTTTGCAACACTCGGAAGGAAACTTCGTAGACTCAATAAAATATATAGATTCTTGATCAGCATCAAACTCTGAATCGATCTAAGCCCGTCCGTCTGTTTAATGAAGCGTGATTGCAAAAATAAAGTCCATCTCGGCTTCAAATTTTACGAAAAAGTTTCGAAGGCTGTTAGGAAGATGAGCGGAATCGGTTGCAGGATACCATCCATAGTATCATGTAAACTGGGAACAAATCTGCCGTTTGCGTTTTTTCATTTACATTAATCGTAAACTGCAATGGACCCACGACAAAGGTTTTCACGTGTATTCTACGATAATGGAAAAAGGCTGACAACAGCGCTCACTCGAAAGAGTACGAAAGTGAATTAAGTAATAATAATGCGTACACGTGAACATTACAAGTACTCGTAGCAGCCAATGGATGTGTGGTCTCTTTTCAATTTAATAATCTGTGGCTTTATTCCTATGAAGGACACTATGCCGTAACTTTGCATTTCAGTTGTGACAAAAAAAAAAAAAAAAATTGCCCAAGATGTAAGAAAGTATACAAATTGTCGCAATCTTTATCAAGTAAGGATATAACGCGTTTGCGAGATTCTATCATTGCGCTGGCATTATATTCCTTTAAATAAAATTGAATTTCAATACAAAGTAAATAAAATGTATATGAATGTGAATGTGAATGTGAATGTGAATGTGAATGTGTCTTTATTGTCACCACTAAACATTTTGAATACTCTTCATACATATATATATATATACATTGGATTTCGTTAACATTCTTTGGAAAAGTGAAACGAAAGAAGAAACACGAAAAGATTGGTCTGGGAAAAAATATATGAGTTTGTGTTTCTTCATGTACCGAAGGAGAGGAAGAAACTGAATAAAAAAAAAAAAAAAAAAAAAAAAAAAAATTGAACGGGTAAAAAAAACGCCAAAAATAAAATGAGCTGTTGTTTATATATTATAACTGCTTTTATTAGTGAACGCTTGGCTTAGTTCAACTATCTTGTCTCTTGTCCGTGTATAACTGCCCTGGTTATCGCTTTTACACTGTGTTGCTGTATGTCGTGTTGTCTTCTCTTGTGAAACCTCACAGGAAACTGTAGAAACAGCAGGCTATTATTTAATTTTTTTTTTTATGTATTTTATTTTTCATTTATTTTTTATAATTACGTATGTATATATATACATATTACCTATACATATATATGCATAGAGAATCATTCATCCACTAAACCATGTGTTATTCCAGTAGTTCTTTTCACGAGAGAATAAAAAATATACGTAAAACATACGTAAATATTCAACGATACAATAAAGTAAAGAAAGCGAGCAAATGAATTTTTTTTTTTTTTTTTTTTTTTTACCCACTACCAGAAGATAATGTAAGCTGATTGCATTATGCCTTTTGTTACATCCCAGAATATACTTTGGCGAACACCATTTATATATATACATATATATATATATATATGTATGTATGTATGTATGTATGTATTCGCGCCTGCTTTCCTCATTAAAGTTAAAAATAAAAGAAGTAAGAGAGAGAGAGAGAGAGGCGTTAGATGATCATCAAATTTGACGGCAGGATGAATTTGATCAAAGATAAAAGAAAATTGTAAAGAGGACGACGAAGAAAATTCTAACGGATGGATACTATGCTGACTATGGTTTTACTACAACACATTTTACCGAATCGTCAAATTCTCGATTTACAACAAAAGCGGCGGGAGTGGGTTTAAGATTCCTCAAAAACCGATCAAATTTTCCCATCTTGGTTTTTTGCCTCTTCGCATACCAACACGCATGTTAGAGGCGAAGAGGAAGAAAAACTGAAAACAGATTTTAAAATGAGTAGAGTAATAATTTAAACTTCATGGATAAATGTTTACGAGGATACCCAAGCAAAATGCGGTTGGTAACTAACTACCTCATCTTATACATATTCACATGAAGATATTTTATATTTTGGTAAATAAAACTGCCATCCTCATGGATTTGGAATTGATCTCTCAAACATACTAAGTACGTTCTTCTGTCCTTGGTTCGAGTTTCATCAATCTAATCCACGACCATTAAAAAACCAAATACATTATGTTGTTTCAAATTTTTATCTCAATTTCTATAACAAATAGACTTAGACTTGAAGGGGATGGGGAGGGGAGAGTATGAAGGAAGTATGAATATATTTGGTATCACAAAAATTCGAATGGCCAATGCGAACTTTAATTGTTGAATTCTCCGGTCTTGTGGAAGCAGCAAATAGGTTCGAACTTGTGTCTCGTGATTTTTTTTTGAATACCGACCACCATCGGGTATTTGATATATGCTTACTAGATAGAGCAAAGATCCATTTATTCTTTCGAGCACACATATCGTTCCATCAAATATTTTCATAAGATTTTGCAGCCCTTTCTACGTGAGATTGCGGCAATTTTACAAATCATGTTCGCACACTACTCCGTCTTATATTTTATTATTATTCCCTAATAATTATGGATGAATTTTTTTTTTTTTTTTTTTTCCCCGATATAGTGCATTTTCGGTTACTCGGCGATACACGAGATTTAAAGGGTCCACAATCAAGATTAACAGCAATAGATATTTGTGATCCTTTTCAAACTGCATTTTGATGATAGCGATAAGAAGCTAACAATTTTAAATATCATTTGTGCCCTATACTCAAGAATGTACACACACACGCACATTTCTACAAATATTTTATTAAATGATTATATTATGTAATGTAGTTTGTGATTTATAGTTTCAATAGGGTAGACTGTAAGTACGATTTCCTTCCGATTCCAATTTCAAGTTATTATAAATGCCTTTGCACTCGACTCCTAAACTTTCCCATCGATCCTATCATCAAAATTCTTGCCCTTAATTTGAAATTGATTCAGCAATTTCTCTTAATTAAGGAAATATATTTTTAGATGGAATAAACAAAACTGACGAAAGTACTCTCTAATGGGCACAATAATGAAAGTGAAAAAAAAAAAAAAACCAATAGATTTTTTGTCCATTGCTGAAGATTTCAAGTCGTATTTATACGTGTGACGAGAAATTTTACTCTTTATGTGGAGAAACGGAAAACGGTAAAAGGCAAGACATTATTGCGAAACGCCTAAACCCGTACAATGCAAATCGGACGAGGAGCACGTAGAGTTCTTTAGCGATTTACTAGAAATATACACAGTCAGCTAAATTGAAATCGATCTCAAATGTGCCAGTAGCTTTACTTAGATTTGAATACCGTGCATATAAAGCTAGTCGCGTATATGCACATTTTATGTAAAGTCACGCGGTGTAGTGTACTGTACGCTAATGCGAATGAAACGTGATGATTATGGGTAAATAGTGAATAAAATGAAGGGGATTTCAAGCGAAATATTGAATAAAACTAAACATTATGACTTCCATGGCAGGTAGGAGGCAGGAGGGAGGAAGAAGGAGTGAGTAAAAGATCGCTCACAAAATGGATTTTGAGCAGAAGCAAAGCAATTATCAATCGATATTAGAGACAATATTAACAATAGCGATTTAAATATGAAGTTGAAATTTTACAAATTGAACGAGTGCAAGTCAGTGTATCATGGAGAATGTAAGCAAATCGCTTATTGACTTATGCTAAAAATTATCCAATAGTTGTGAAATATCTCCTCCGGTGTCATAAGTTTCTTCTATTATTATAGTATAGGAATAATTGTATAGAATGACTCATAAGTTCAGTCAAAAACTTTTAAGAACCATATGCATCTCTATTTGTGAACTATCGAGGGGCCCGTAATTAGAAAAGTAAACCTAATCTATCTGAGCAAATTATAACTGATAAGTTTTTATAATCAGCCATTATTTTAGTAATGTCAGCATGTATATATGGTATAGTCATGTTTATACGTAGCACACACGCATATACACTTATTACATATATATATATATATATATATATATATATATATATATATATATACGTGTGTATATGTATAGATGTTTACATATTGTGTATCAATTCGCTCATCTGCTTCACTTGTATGTAGACATAGATATATACATACATACATACATATATACATTCATTTTGCACTTTTGTGATTTCTTTTCATTGAGCTTATAGCGAAAGAGACGATCATGTTTTTTAGATTTTTTTTCCATTTTTTGTTTTTATAGGGTCTGGGAATGCAATATGTGTGCATAGGCTTGTAGATAGGTACGCTGACTCCGAGCGGCTTGTTTTCGCTGCGATAGCTTAACAACAACAGTCAAAGTGAATCGAACAGCAACGCTTGCAGCAGCATTTTGTAATAGTGTGGGTATTTTCCCATCGTTTGCTCTTAAGTTTACACTTTTTCTTTGTCTGTCCGTACATCTGTCTTTTTGTCTGTCTGTATGCCTACTACCATTTCTACGTGAGAATAACACAACTGCCGTTTGTGATCTTACTTCATCATCGTAGCTGTTCAACTGCTTTATTATTATTGTTGTTGTTATTTTTGTAGTAATGTTCTGTTGTAATAGCACCACCACCATCATCATCATCATCATCGTCGTCGTCGTCGTCGTCGTCGTCGTCGTCATTGTGTCATCATCTTTATTATCATTTTCTTCCACTCGTTTGAACGAATTTTTTTCGGTCGTTTATTTTCTACATTCTTTATGTTTGCGTATATGCATGCATTGTTCAATTTTGCTTGGTTCTGCTCTGTTCTACTCTATGTGTAAGTGTGTATCCGTATACTTTGCTGCTGCTGTTGGTGCTGCTGCTGCTGCTGTTGTTGCTATTGCTATTGTTGCTGCTGCTTTGCTTCTACTCTCTGTAGCCATTAATATGTGTATGGGAATTTTTGCCATTTTTTCCTCATTGCGGAATGTGGCAGCTTGCTGCATAGTCGATTGTAGTTACTTACCAGTCGTAGCAGCATTAGTGGTGGGTAGAGCACCTCGATTGTGCGAAGAGAGTGAATAAAGTGTGGTGTGCGGTGCTTAGTATATTAGGAGGATTCTGTTACTGTAATTAAAAATATCATGTGTTTGAGTGGTTAATTATATAAAAATATATTATGGATGGATTACAGTCAATTAATTATATCAAAAAAAGTTAATAAATTTATTTTATAGTTAAATAAAAATGAAATATACAATTAACACGAAATTAGATATTAAATAACAGGTGTTTTTTAAAACTTTTTTTGTTTTTTTACTATTCAAGGATAAAATTATACACATATATGTGCAGTAAGTGTGAGAGGAAGGTAGTGTGTTGTTCATGTTTTGCATTTTACGGAAAATTATTTTGATTTAATAATGGAAAGTATTGCTGGGTTTTTTATGGTTTTTTTTTTATTTATTTTTTTTTATTAGCTTCTTTTCTTTGCTCAAGAATTGTGCAAAAATGCTTTATTATTGAAGTGATGTTGCAAATGAACGATGGTCATTTGCCCTTGAACTCATTGATATTGAATTTCTTCTGTTGCTTCATTTAGCAAGCAAACAAGCAAGCAAGCAAGCAAAGAAGAAGAAAGGAGGACGTGTATTAACTGTTAATTAAATTCTGTTTCTCTCACTTCCAATTTCAGCAAAGTCGACCAAGTAATTGGAACTGCGTGCTTATAATAAATCTGCTCAACACTCTGAGGTATATACCTTATTATGGAAGAAAAATGTGTCGATGAATTTCAAAGTATTACTGCTAATCTAAATAAGCCCACTTCAATCCCAACATCAATTTTAACGATACCAAATAAGACCTCAGAGTATTCAAATAGTAAACGAAAGGAAAATAATATACATTTATTTAATCTTCGTCGTCGTCGTCAGTTCATTATACAAACTGAAGAAGGTATCGATAATATACATAAACCGTCGACAAGTCGTAACTCCATGTCGTCGCTTTTGCAAGAAGAATTTAGTACAAATTCGCCGCATAATTTTGCTGAAGTTTTAGATGATGATACAACGACTTCCGGTGTTTTGGAAGCATTTGAAATAAGCTCATCGAATTCGTTGCCCACCTGTACAACGACAAATGCATCTGCCGATTCGGTTGCGGTTCACGATGATAGTTCATCTACGGACACTACTATACATATGATGAAAGTCACCTCAGACGGTTCGACATCAAATGCGGCGCAATGTATTAAGGGATTTTTTAATTCCACCAAAGTGTATGTAATAAATGATGACGATGACGATGATGATGACGATGATGGCAATGGTGACGAAGACGATGACATCGTCAGTAGTCATGGCGATGCGTTACAAAAAGATGATCAAGATGTAGATGAGCACGCTTTAGGGAATAGTGGAAGTCATTCCAACGATAACAATAACAACAATAATGAATTATCACTTAGAGATACACAAGAGAATTCAGAATCGATGAATGGCGTTATAGTGAGTTCGAATGGCGGTGTAATTTATTTAGAAACGCCAGTTGTAGAGGAACAACATCATTTGCAAATCGCCATCACTAATTCTGCCGCTTCGAACGAATTCAACGACCAAAGTGTCAAACCGAAACGTCTGAGTGATGAGTTTTCTAAAACTGGTGATACCGAAGAAGGTCCCTCATCTTCCGGATTAGCCACCGCGAATATCTTGTTTTGTACTAATGGCAAGAATATAGAATCTAATGAGACGGTATTCAATTTTACAGAATCTCAAACCTGTTCTGTGTCCCAAGCTCACGAACGTTTAAAGAATATGAATTTAAATAATTGTGTTACATCTCAGGAGTTACCTTCCAGCAGTTCAAAAATATTATCTATGTCCTCCATATTGGATATTAAGTCAATGGACTTGATTGAGCGTCGAGATTTTGAAAGTGAACAACGTTTAACAGGCGGCGTGATACTGAAATCGAGCTCTTTAATTAACAACGATATGTTGAACTTGGGTTTCGTTAAATCCTGTCTCGATCAACAGAGTAAATATCTAGCAACCGAAGCAGAGGAATGGCCGAGCAGTAGCAATAACAGCAGTGTCAGACCATACTCTTCGGATAGTAAGGTAGTTAATTAAATTTGAAAATATTAAGCATGCATTCATAAACGGCCAGCATTTTATTAAAGTTTCTGCATTTTCAACTAAATAAAATGCATTTTATATCAAGCGATTAATAATCGATTCAATTTCCATATAACATTATATAATATCTTTTAATTTTTAAACAGATAGTTTCTAAAAGTCCAAGACGTACACATGTAGAGATGAAACGTAGTTAAATATCATTGCAAACCATATAATGTTTTCTTTCTCATATATACATATATATATATATATATATATATTTTATCTTAAATAATAAATTAATTAATTGTTATTCTTTTCTCCCCACAGTGTACATATAAAGATTTGTCCGCCACCCCAACAAGTAGTCGAAAGTGTAACAGTCGTCTAACCAAATCAACTGCCAAAATAAATTTGAGCACCACTCTAAGTCATAATAATGTGCAGCAGCAGCAGCAGCAGCAGCGTTCGAATGTGTTAATTACAAAGGCAAGCACTTTGAATACCATTGCTGGATCCACTGCTGCAGCTGACCCATCTTCATCTAATCTCAGTTCGAACCCCACATCCGTTATCGTCGAGGCTCCCGTTTCAACGGCTCCCACAATGGCTCCGGATATGTACTCAAATTCGAATTCAAATGATAGTTTTTTAGGCAGCTCATCTACAGCATCGTCTACCGCCTCTACATCTTCAGTGGTTGTGGCATCGTCTACAAAACAACAATCTACATGTCACCAGGAAATGCCACAAGAACAGCAAGCGGCTTCATCGTCTTCTACAGTGGTAGTACGTGTACTGGAAAGTGGCTGTAGCCGCACCAGTGCTATACAGCCCATTATTGCCGCAAACGCTTCAACTCATGGCAAAATGGATGTTTCATCAATTGAAATTCAAGATGATGATGTGCAACCATCAACATCGTCAGCTCGTTGTCAATACGCTCCGCCACCCAAAACTCAACGACAAGTACATGCTAGCGCCCAAACTAATGAGCGTTACTTATCTCGAGTAGGCGCGATTGGCAGCAGTACTGCGTCAGTTGGTGTTAGTACAACGCCTATTGGAGTAAATCTTACCATGACAGCACGTAATCGGAATCGCCGCGTAGATATATTTGGTAATCAGCAGCAACCACATCAAAGAAATAGTTCACAAGATGTTTTAGAAGGATTTCGTGTGGTCAGCGATCATTCACAATTAGAGCACCATCTCGACTTCAGTGAAGAACCTCCCTGGGTGGACTGTGAAGAGAATTCAGATGTCGAGGAAATTTGCACATGCCAACAGAGTAGCAGTGGAAGCAGTCATGGCGGTAGTTTAAGCAGTCTCAACGATATGGATGAGACTGATAGTCCAAACATTTGCGGCAAAGATGGTGGTGATCTCTCTAATTACATTATGCACAATCTTTCCATATCGGAAGAATCAACTGTTTCATCTGAATATCTGGGTGCGCGTAAACGCAAATATAACGACAGTCGTCTGATGGATCACGATTATAATTCGTCCGTTGCATTAGGTGGAAATAGCAATGGGGGAGTTGATAGCAATAGTCGCAAACGTATTGCCTATGATTTCACTGCTACGCCACGTTCCTCGCAGAGTAGTAGTAGTAGCATCTTAATTCAGGTTCAATCGACCCCACAACTGCATTTTTCCAATGCGACAATTGGATCTCCTTTAGGTCGACGAACCCCACGTTCTTTGATACCCAGTCGAGATAACCCGCAGCCAGAATTACAACAATGGATAGCACAGTTCAAGAGTTGGTCGCATGCGGAACGCTTGATAGCCGTCGATCGTCTTATCGAACATTGCGAACCTACTCAGGTGCGTCATATGATGAAAGTGATTGAGCCACAATTTCAACGCGATTTTATATCATTACTGCCTCGCGAATTGGCATTACAAGTATTGTCTTATTTGGATCCTAAGGACCTGTTGAAAGCTGCTCAAACTTGCCGCAGTTGGCGTTTCCTTTGCGACGACAATCTGCTATGGAAGGAAAAATGTCGCCAAGTACAAATTCTCACCGAACCTCGTTCAGATCGTCCTAAACGTGGTCGAGCGGGTAACATGCCACCGATAGCTTCACCTTGGAAGGCGGCCTACATGCGCCAACACATTATTGAAATGAATTGGCGTTCGCGACCTATTCGTGAACCGAAAATATTAAAGGGTCACGACGAACACGTTATAACCTGTCTACAGTTCTCGGGAAATCGTATCGTATCCGGTTCTGATGACAACACACTTAAAGTTTGGTCAGCCGTTACAGGAAGAGTAAGTGCGCATTGAAAGGTGTATAGCGCATTTGTCTTTAATTTAGTAAATTTATTTTCTAGTGTCTGCGTACACTAGTGGGTCATACGGGGGGTGTTTGGTCATCGCAAATGTCTGGTAATATTATTATCTCAGGGAGTACGGATCGTACTTTAAAAGTATGGGACATGGAAACAGGTCAGTGTGTACATACTTTACTGGGCCATACTTCCACAGTGCGTTGCATGCACCTGCATGGTAATAAGTAAGTCTCAATCGAACTTATTCTTGTTTTCTTATCAATTTATTAATTATACGTTCGTTGTTTGTGTATCTGTCTTATCGTATTTCCTTAGAGTTGTTAGCGGTTCTCGTGATGCTACTTTACGCGTATGGGATATTGAGCAAGGCAGTTGTTTACGTGTTTTAGTTGGCCACTTGGCGGCTGTGCGTTGTGTGCAATACGATGGTAAATTAATTGTTTCAGGAGCTTATGATTACATGGTGAAAATTTGGCATCCAGACAAACCCGAATGCTTACACACCTTACAAGGTCACACCAATCGCGTTTACTCTCTCCAGGTATATATAATTATTATTTAATCAATATTTTAAATAAAAATAATATTTAATTATCTAACTACTTCGTTACAGTTTGACGGTACTCATGTTGTTAGTGGCTCCTTAGATACATCCATACGTGTTTGGGATGTGGAGACGGGTAATTGTAAACATACATTAATGGGTCATCAGAGTTTAACATCCGGTATGGAGTTACGTGAAAATATTTTAGTATCCGGTAATGCCGATTCTACAGTCAAAGTGTGGGACATTACGACTGGTCAATGCTTACAGACTTTATCCGGTATGTATGGGTAAATCAAGTATTTTTCTCTTGAATTCATGTGGATTTATATTAGTGGGTAGCAGTAGCAGTAGTAGTAACAATTTAAAATTCTCAATAAGTGCCTTGAGTAGCTAGATAGACTAAGACAATTATTGTTATATATAAGGTATTATTATTATTAACTTAAGAATTATTGTTAAATTCTTTGGTTTTGTAATAATTAGTGGGTAAAGGATCTATGACCGTAGAATCGATTCGTAATAGCATTAAACCACTAAACTAAAATTAATTTGTGGTAATGCCTGAATTCTTGTATATGGGAATCATTCCCGTGATTGAGAATTGATAGTGGTCGTGATGTCACTTTAAAATTGTTTCGGTTATTTTAAATTCATCGGGATTATGGACAAATTTTTTTAACCTTCTGGCTGGCGCAAAGCTAATAAAAATAAAAAATATATAATAATTTGCTTTCGTCAACGAAAGGATGATGATAATATGTGTCATATTCTAGACATGTCAATTATTCTTCATAGTTCTTCATGTATAAACTGCATTATATTGTATACGCAATTGTATGCACACCTCCTAGTCTCGTAGATAGATGATTGAGTTGATTTTCGAAAAAAACATGATAGCAAAAATTTGGAATCAATTTTGTCGACTTTACAAGTGAAGTAGGGATTTCCATAGACGGACTTACCCTAAATTAGATCGTGATAAAGTAATAGACGTAGTTGTGGTGGGATTTCCGGGGGTCGTACTTTAATGTGTTCCAAATACGAGAAGTCTTCGATATACTGAATATAGTGAATATATGATAAACTGATTAAAGTTTAAAGCTTAAAAGCTCTAAAGGCAAGCTTAGTTAATTAATTTGTTGTTGTTGTTGTTGTTGTTGTTGTTTTTTTTTTTTTTTTTTTTAAGTTTTGAAAGTATTTGAAAAATAAAATGAGAGTGTGGGGGAAATTTAAGAAAATGTTTCAAGCAATATGTGTGTGTAAGCTTTCCTTTCAAATATTAAAAAGATCCTTGATGAATTTCTCGAAACGTATTTCTCGAAATGTATGAGTATTAGCATAGTTACATGGTTTGGTTTTATTACCCGAATAGGGCCGAATAAACATCAATCAGCGGTAACGTGTCTACAATTCAATTCACGTTTTGTGGTGACAAGCTCGGATGATGGCACAGTAAAATTGTGGGACGTTAAGACTGGTGAATTCATAAGAAATTTAGTATCCCTAGAATCTGGAGGTTCCGGCGGAGTAGTGTGGCGAATAAGGTATTTATTTTTATTTTAAATGAATGAAGAATGTGAGAAACGTAATTGTGTTTTCGATATTTAATTTTTTTTAGAGCAAATGACACAAAATTAATTTGTGCGGTGGGCTCGCGCAATGGCACCGAAGAGACAAAATTAATGGTACTTGATTTTGATGTTGAAGGAGCTTGTGTTAAATGTTCATAGGACAACAATAAAGCGAAATTTTGGCTTAATAAGTCGTCTCTGAAAAATTGCAATAACACGCAATTGCTCTTCTCAGCATTTCTGAAAGAAAGACAACTTTTGGTAAAATGTATGCTAAAATATGCCTAAGACTTGTTAAAAAAAAAAAAAAACAAAAAAAAAAAAAAACAAAAAGTAAAGGGCAACAACAATCCAACTTAGCACGTAAGTTCTGTTGATAGAAGCCATTATATTACTTTTAATTTAATCCATCATTATATCATGAAATGAAATAGTCTTTTAAATCAAATTTTTTTTGCAGCATTAGCGATTTTTTTTACGCCTGGAATATCTAAAAGAAAAATTTATTTAGAAAAATGCTAGTGCTGAACAAAAAGAAAATATTAAAATTTTCAAAATTTATCGTAAATTAATTATTATTTTTGTTTTGTTTTTTTTTTTTTTTTAATTTTCTTCTCTTTTTTTTTTTTTACTTTTATGTTTCAGAAGAACTGATATTATATGTATGTATGTTAGTAAAGTATGTTTTTATTAATACCAATATTTAGTAGCTTTATCTTATCTTTTTAATTAGATTTCTTTTTAGTAGTTTTTGTATGCTTTTCTGTAATGATAGATGACGCCTCCCTCACTCATCTTTCCTGCGTATTAAGCGTTCTGTTAAAACTTTTTGCCTATGTTTTGTTTCTTTGAGAAATTTGTTTTTTTTTTTTTTTTTTTTTTTTTTTTTTTTTTTTAAATTACACTTATTAAGAAGGCGTCGCCATTTATAAATATGAAATATAAATGTACGTATAATAATGGCAAATTACTTTGATAGTCGGCCAAGTCTTGTCGTTTGTGTCTACTGATTTATTCAGCTATTGTATTATGTATACTATAATTGCACAATTATGGAGATTTTTTTTTTTGTTGTTGTTGTTGAAAATTGTAAATTTCCTTTTAAGATTGTCCCCATTTTTTAGGGATGTTTGTGGGTGGATTGAATTCGCGGCATATTTCTAATGTGTTACATACCGAATATTATTGTGAATTAGTTGAAATAATAACAGTTAAGACGGCGTTAGTACGGCGAACGTTTTCAATAAAATTATGAACATCAAGTCTACCGTTACCGATGCTGTTATTTATGAGATAATAGGCGACCATTGAATTTATTAATTTGCAAATATTATTCATGTTTTCGTATGTATTGGTTAGTATTTGTTGCGATCGGGCGGTAATGAAAGTAAGACATTAGAAGAATATTTACTTTTTTGCGAGACTTCCTCACGTGCTTAGGGGCAATTGTGAGGGTAGTCTCTACCAGCCGGTAGTTGCGGCCGAACACTAATTTTAATTCTTTGGATTACTTAATTAACATTCACTATGTACAATTGTTTTTCTATGTGATTTTTATGTTGCGTTGCTATCTGTCCCCACCCTTTTAGTAATGAATTTTAATATAGTATTAGTAACACCCGCGTTAATTAGAAATTGGAAGCCTTAAATTAAAAAAAAAAAAAAATTAGAGTAAAAAATGATGTAACTTTATTATTCAAAATTACATTCTCTTATATTCGATACTATTAATTAATGCGGCCGTAATAATATGTTTAAACCTATGCAATCTGAACGACCTCCTTCTGTTAGTGCATACTGTATATGTTTTATTAGTGTGACTAGCGAAAGAAATGTGTAGTCAGTGATATCCGTTTGTTTGTTTATATTGCGATTACGCCTCAAGTATACGCTTTTTGCTGTGACCAAAATACGCGCGTGCGCGCGTGCCTTTAAACGGCTGCCAAACAGTTTCATCCCAATAATGAAAAACTTTAAATTTACTTACCCTATGTTATCAAATTTCGTTTGAATGATAAGTTAATTGTTCCACATTTTGTTCTCCGTTTATATATTAAGCGACATTGTTTGTTTGTTTGTTTATAATACTGCCACGTAAGACTACAATTATAGTAAAAGAATGAACAAGCAGTAGGTGCTGCTTACGGCACATTTATATCATTTTGTGAAAAATGTAATTAAAAAAAAAAAAAAAAAAAAAAAGAACAAAAAGCTATTTCAAGCCAGGTTGTGAATATCGAAAGGCTCGATCTTGTTTTGACTGTAAATTTTTTCTTTTTTTACTTTTTTTTTTTTTTTTTCTCTTTTCAAATTTTATAATAAAAAATATGGTTAATTTAGGAAAAAAAAAAAAGAAATCAGAAGACACAATGAGCAAAGCTTCGATTCTCATCGCCGATTGAAAAACAAGACTTTGCCGTATATAGTTTATTAATACTGTAATAAAATAATAAAAAAAAGAAAACTAAAAGTAAGAAAAATAAAAATTTGCCCAAAATATTGCCACTTGAAAACAAAACCACATAATTTACATATACATAAACTCATACAATTATAGACATTAAAGAGCAACGGTCAACATAATGAAGATTGATCGTATAGTAAAATGTTAGAAGAAGAAGAAGACATATTTAAAAAAAATATGCAATATTTACAGAATTGTGTTTATGAATTATTACGAAAACTATAAATATAATTTTCACCTTAAAAAGAAGAGAAAAGAAAAACAATTAAGTAAAATACAAAACAGTCTTAGTAATAGGATAAAGAGGAAAATGAAAATGAAAGTGAAAATAAGATATTTGAAAAGTGTATGTACGTGAGGGGTGTTTAATTAATATATATGAAGGAACACACATTAAGGCGCCTATAGCTTTCATTTATTTAAAAAATACGCGAATATAATAAAATCAATTATATAATCATTAAGTCAATAAATAAGTGCGTACAAAAATGTGTATAAATTCATTACATCCTCTCAAACTAAATTGTTACTGTAATAAGCCGGCCGTTCAATCGGTTAAAGCATATATGTATTGTATACCTTATTCTCTGTGCTAAGCCAAATACAGCAACAACAACGGCTAATTATAATTATTTGCAAAGCATACACACGCGAAAGTAAAACAACTAAAATAAGCTATAAAAGAATATTTACTAAACAGCAAAAAAAAAAAAACAAAAAAAAACAAAAAACATTTTTTAATTATAGACTGATTAATTAGAAATTATAACTAATTTACTATGCATACAAGCTCTTATATACATAAAAAAAAAGTAATACATTCGTATATATATATTTTATTAATAATAAAACCTTATCCAAAACAAAATAAAAAAACAAAAAAAAAAAAAAAAAAAAAAACCCAAGACAAAAAAAAAAAAAGAAAGAAACACTTACACACATACACAGAGCATAAATTTGAACAAATCCTTTTAATATTAATAAAGAATAAACATTAATACAATCATGATTTTACTCATTGTCTTTATATTTAAATACCATTAAATCATAAATGATCATCAATAGCCAAGTCATACTTTGTATTCTCGATTTTCATTATTCATGATACATATTTATTTGCCTGAAATTCCTCCACCAACAAACGTTTTGCCGCAGAACAAATCGCATGTAATGCTAGCCTATAGTATAAATGAATAACTTTTGGGTCGTTAGCCATACAGATTATAAGCATTATTACAACCGTATATACCTTTACTCCCCATATAGTTATGACATTACATTAATAAAGTACACAAAAAACAGCCAACAAACATACAAACTTACAATACACAGAGTATATTATTGAAGAAATGATACCATCTTACAAATATAAATAAAATCATGATAAAAAATTAATTTATAATAAATTGCATAAAAAAAAAAAAAACAAATAAATAAATAAAATGAAATAAAAGAATGCAGGAATTGTAAAGAACGTAAAATTACAAAAAAAAAAAAAAAAAAAAAAATGTGTTTTATTTAATTCTACTTTATAAGCCACATTTTTGAGGTCGATTTCTTACGAATCAATCAACTTGTAAGTACTACTTGGAGCGTTTTTTTTTTTCAAACAAATAGATTTAAAAAATAAATGTAAAAAATATAATAAAAATCAATAAAGAGAATGGTTTGGGAGTCGAATACCCATAGCCAACCAATAAACACCCTAATTCATACGTTTCATGAAAGCTCTTTATACGGTAGCTAGAATGAAAAGTCGACTAATACGGTGCAAATATAGCAAATTCTCTTTATTATTCTTCATCAATTTTGATTCTGCATGAAAAACTGTAAATTAGATTTTTGCTAGTGCTCAATGTCTTTTTTTTAGTCTAAGAATTCATTTCATTAGTCTAAAATTAAAATAATGATAATAATAATAATAATAGATTTTGTAACCATATTACACTTACGTGATCCTAATTTGGTAAAGTTCATTTTGATCATCATATATTATATGAGACGTGAGCGAAAGATACGATCTGATAAAATGTATTTTCGTCCTTCCGCCAGAGCACCTCAGCTTATCAAAATTCATGAAAATATCTTAAAAATCGCAGCCTGCAAGGCAAACATCAGAAGTTAGACGAACGGACATATATATTCAAAGCCATTTAGAAAATGATTCTGAAACAATCTGAAGGGGTGCAATGTGTTACATACGTCCCCACAAAGTTAATACACATTCTGTCACAAGTAAGGCTGAGAATACAGATAAATCTGTAATTTTTATAGTAAATCAAGGCCATTTGAAATTTGAATACGAAAATAGCTGGAGACCGCCTACAAAGAAGCTCAACAATCTCGTGTCTCAAGAACATGAATATTTTCATCTTATCACGTGCGAAGCAATATGCTAGCGCCGCCAATATGTTGCATACATGCAAGATATATATTCTGCTTATTCTCACTTACTTCGTTGCCATCTTTATACTCTCGTAACAGAATTTTGTTGCGGTTAAGTTACTATATTTAACAAATTTTTTTTTTATTTTTTTTTTTGTATTATATATATTATCTTCCGAATATTAGAAATCGTATGATTAGAGATTAACTCTGATTAAATTAAATTAAATAATACGGACATAAATAAAAAAATAATTAGGATCGCGTATATTATTGCGTGTACGTCGCTCGTACCGTTTACAGCATTTAAAGGAAAAAAATAATATTAATTAGAAACAAAAAAAGGAGTTAAATTATTTTAATTTGGACTCTAGGTGTAAGATTTTAATGGTAAGATTGATTGTCTTCATCAGGAAGTTCAAAATTTTTTCTAAGTTATGGTCAAGATTTTAAGATCCCATTGTCCACATTTTTATCTACCTGGAATGTTTTTCTCGACTTTACTTTGTATTCTAATATATTGCATTTACCCAAAACAATCATAAAAAGGCTTCTAAAGACGTCACGATATCGGCTGATGTAAGCCTTCCCGAAGATGGCAAGATTTAACATATTTTTGCGTCGTCATCTAATTCGGAAAAATTAAAGTATGCCTCCGAGTTTGGCGATACCGCAACATTAAATAACTTCATCAAATTTTGTTGTTTAGTAGGGCTTTATTTCAAAAATAACCATCAACATTTATAAAATAGTGTTCTGCTTTAAAATTATAATAAAAATAATTATAATAATATATATCGAAAACTAATTATAGTAACAAATTCCTGAAAAATTGTCAGGTGCATACAGGCATACACCAGAACACTTATATGCAAGAATATAAATTTAAAGAAAAAGAAAAAAAGTTAGAGTGGGTTAACAAGTGGTGTTTAAATTTTAGTACGTTTAACAATGTGACCTTCAATGCCAACATTACATCGCGAGGCTAACTCTACAGTATCTATGGTGTTAATCGTTGATAGAGCAGCTAATACGGTATTCATGTTGCTTGACGCCCCATTACCTCCAGCACTGGGTCTTTTACGGTTCGGTGAGGGTACAGGCGATTTTTGTTTAAGGCATTCGACATCATCAAATACGACTTGGGCACCACCACCACATGTAGGAATAATATTTCCTTTGAAGAGTTTTGTTTCAACATCGCCATCAGTGTCCGCTTCTTGTGAAACTAGCAGATATTTATTAGCTCTCTGGCCGGTAAGATCTTTCATATCTGTAAGTTTTGTTACAGATTTACGATTCTTTAAATATGGTTGTAAAACCGTCCCCAACGGCACAGGATTTGGTGCGCGATGTTCTATCCATTTCTCACCGGTAGAACGAGAGCGACGGTGACGTTTATTAGCAGCAGCCATACCCTAAAGAGAAACGAATTTTGGGAATAAAACAGCAAATAGGAGTATAGTCTGTGCAAAATTCCTATGCTATACTATACTACTACTCTGTTCCAAAATAATGAAGATGGTAAAACAAAATTTTGCTATTATAATAATTATTATATGCACAATGAAAGGATTGGTGTATTTGCTTTTTGTCAAAGTGCTTGCAACACTCGAAAGGAAGGAAGGAAGGAAGGAAGGAAGGGTTCACGAACATATGTATTCTTAATCAACACGAAAAGATAAATCGATTTAAGCATGTCGGTCTGTCCATCTGCCTAATGGCTATTGCAATGATTTTTCAGGTCGCGAAAGTTGAGATATTGGTTTTAAACTGGTATTTAAAATTAACGAAATCGGTCGGAAGATACGCCTATAGCATGAACCGAGAACAAATCTGCTTTTTTGAAACACGTGCGCAACCACGCGCAAATGATATTGTAGAGTATAGAAATTTACTTATATTCTTTTTTTTTTAGTGTTTTCTAAGATGAAGGTGGAGGGTACAAAACATTCGTTCATAGGCACACATAATTTTCATATCTGTTTTCATTATAGTTAATATTTAATTTATTGAATTCAACTGAATAATTAGTTAGATTAAAAGGGGAATAACATACAACACTGGCTACCATGATTAGCTGATCCATACTTTGTCATCGTTACATAGTTGAGGAGAATTGAAAAACTAATATCCAACGTTCATATTTTTACTATGAATTTTTCTCTATAATTGAGTATAATTTAAGATTAATTGTAACATGATGATTGTCCAAAAATATTTTTATGTTCATTAGTAATGTTTCTTTATATTGATTTAGTTGTTCGTTGAAGGATTTAAACGGGGTGATTATCTATATGTACAACAACAAGTTAAGATCCGTAATTGCATATAAGAATGAACTGATTAAATATCGTATCTTGTATTATTTTTGACTAATGTATCGTGCTTTAAAAATATAAAAAAAAAAAAACAAAATTTGTCCTAATAGATATTATAAAAAATTTCCTTCCCGTAACTATTATATAGTTGGATAGATAATTAGTCGGGACTACAATGATCTAAATGACAGAGATTCATCTGTCAGTGCAATGATGACCCTATTTTTCTTTCATACCGTCTCTTAGTCATATAGAGCATATAAGAAAATATGAAAGGAGTGGAATTCAGTTTTACGACTTACTCTGCCAACTCTGGGCGTAAAATACAATTCATTACGGGGTGTAGCTATTTCGGTTCTTGCTGGAGTGATTCGTACCGACTCAATAGCTGGCCGTTGTTCCTTACTGTTACTAGCATCGCTAAGATTATCTAAACTCTGAGATCGACGTAGTCGTTTTGGCAATTCGTCAGATTGTATAATATTTGAAAGCAAACGGAGCTTTTCATCCTTGACACGTATCTTATCCTGCAACTTTGCATGTTTCATTTCATGTAAACGGTTACGCTTATCCATCTCTACTGCTAGTTTTGAATCAAATTTTTTCTTTTGATGTTCTTTCTCTTGCTCCTTTCTATCCAAAAGGCTCTGTTGACCTCTAAGTTGACGCGTTAAATCATCAATTTGACGTTCGCGATTTTTTACCTTATTATTAAGAACGTCTATGGAGCTTTCATGTACACGTATTTTGTTTTCCAAAGCAGATGAACGGTCGCGCTCTTGTTTGTAAACAGCCTTCAGTGAGGCCAATTCACAACGCAACGACAAATTTTCTTTTTCCATTTGCATTAAATGTAGTCGAAAACGATCGCCTATAGTAAATAAATCGTATTCGCTTTAGTTTTACAATAAAGTAATTACGAGTACTTACATCGTGTCTCTAAATCGCTGCTGAGTACTTTTCTTTTTTCTATGCGTTGTAATAGATATTGCATTAGTTGTTGTATAGCTGACTCAGCCTGTGGACTATCGATTTTATATTGCGGAAAATCGGAACCTAGTGTATACACCAAGCCTATATCGACATCAAGCTTTTTGGCTTCGCTGTGACCCAATTCATTCAAATTATTAACAGCAATTTTGAACATTTTATTGGCCTTGCGACGACCCGGTGTCAAGCCAAGATCTGCTTTGATTGGTATTGCTCGTGCTATTTGTACCTCTTGTGTCATCTCCGCAAATTTCATAACTTGCTAAGGGGGTTAGTTTTCCATGTTTGTCAAAAATAATTTTAAATCACTTATTATTACTTACAGCATTCTCATCGTGATCCTCCGCTCTGGGGTTTATGCAGACAATCATTGACACTTGACCTTCACCATCGAAGTAATTTTTAAAAAGATGAGTTACCTTTGAATCGCGATATGGTATCTTTTTTGGAGCTGCATTTGTCTGCTGCTGATTCTCACGCAGATATTCCAAACACGTACGCAGAGTCATCAGTGAGTTGTTTATGTTGCCAGCTTCTCTTAAACGCAAACCAGTATTTTTTGTGCGTGAAGAACGTTCGCTGCCAGCTAAATCTACTAGAGACAATTGACCAATTGTAATAGTACGTTTGTCCTGTAAAACCTGCTCTCCTTGCGAATCGGTAGGAGCCTGAACCAAGCGTATATTAAACACTGAGTGACTACGACTAGATTCAGCATTTAAAACCGTATGACCCATGCGTTTACGTTTTTGCCCAGTTTGAAAAGCTTCAATCGCTTCTTCAACAGATTTAATTTCAATTTCTGTTACGCCGTGTACGAACATATTATGATTGGCATCCTCTCTTATAATCTTACTTTGCAAAGTTCTGCGTGCATTTTTGAAGATTAAAAAAGAAACGTTTCATTAAACTTTTAAAACATTTTAAATTATTACATCTTCTTACTTCTGGATGTTTCCTTCCTCTAGCAAATCATAAACACTGTTGTTGTACACCTCTATATATGTAACAAATACCGCATACATATTATCCTCGTCAATACCTGGCAAGGGTGTTAGATCGCAAGAGGCCTGAGAAGCAATTTCTGGGTCTGAATCTTTTCGTTTTAGTGCACCTTTAAAACGCTGATTCATTTCGTGTTGCCGCTCTAACAAAGCATCAGCTTCAGAGAGAATCTCAAAGCCATTCAAACGATCTGGCTTAAATACGTACTTTTTCGCTTGATAATCTGAAATAGTGCGAAACAAAACGTCCAAACAACGTGGCATAATGCCTCGATGCCTGGTATCTCCAGTCATTGTATAGGTTTTACCACTGCCCGTTACACCATAAGTGAAAAGTAAACTATTGCGACCCTTTATTAAATTTTCCACCAATGGTTGGGCCACGGCGGAGAAAATATCCTGTTGCGATGTTTGTGGTTCAAATACATGTCTAAATATATATTGGGTCTCTTTTTGGGCTCCTTGTTTAGTACCCAAAACTTGTTCAGGTGTTGCTAGGATAACTGTGGTAGAGTTTCTCACACGAATGCAAGATAGATCGCCATCTGAAGGCAATGGTCTAATACGGCAAAAAACCAGCACTGGATCCCTGGCTTTGGCCACAACATTTGTTTCTTCGGATTGTTCGGAAGAAGACGATGATTGCGTTCGCAATTCCCTCTGATATGACGTTTTTGTTACCTTCATGGGGGTCTTGGCTCTGCGTAAAACCAAATAAATAATATTTTCAAATTATAAAAGAGCAAAACTCACGTTGGTTTCATTCTAGATTATTGAATAGCTCTGATTTCACAAAATTGTTAATTTTCTTTCGTATTAAAATTTAAATTCTCGACAGTGCTTACGAAAAATACAATTCAAAGCCTACTATTTCTCTTTCGTAAAATTGGCTTATGAGGTTATTTTATATTTGACAATGAAAAGACGCGGCAAAATGGCGATTCATCCATACATATTTTCATTGCTACCAATATTGATAATCTAAGTGAAATTGCGATAGAAAAAATCCGACAGACAATACATATACAATAAGTAATCAAAGAGTTGCATTTATTTGCACTTTGCTTTATATTGAGGAGAATTTTTTTTTTTTTAATTTTCAACTTGTCAAATAAATAATCTTTAATCCTTCATATAATTTCTAAATTAAGTTAAATACGTTGACTATAATTGGGTTCGAAACTTTTGCATATTTGCATGCATGTTTGGTAGTCCACTCCTAGTTCAGGTCCGCAACAGCCTGAGAGTGTACTTCTACGCTAGATGTTTACATGTTTTTGTTCTTGTTTATTTATACATCGATTTCGATCTTTTCAGCATATCTTTATTTTTGTCATTTATAAAAGTTAATCCTAATAATTTTCCTAAATACTTCCAATTATTCACTCCTCCTATTTCACCTCTGCAATTAATGCAGATTTTCCGCGGGTCCAATTGTGTATTCCTCAACGATGACCTTTTTTAAATATATATTGAATCGTACTCCTTTTCTGGCCAATCTCAATTTTGAAAGGATCGTTATATGAAAAAAGTATTTAGATGCAATATTCTTCGATAGAAATAGGTGAAAAAGAAGTAAAAAATTTGTACTCAGCGAAGGCCAACTTTCACATTCTACTCTCCAAGTTCTTTTATTTGATACCCATATCGCTGGTATTTAAAAAAAAAAAGAAGTTAATCGCAGTGTCTACTGCATTCATTTTAGAATTAGCCCAATAATATATCTTCATTTGAGGCACGTACAAAATCAATTTAAATATTCTATCTTGTTCGAGTTACGATAAATGACCTCATAAAAGTGAAAAAATAAAATTTAATCACTTGCAAGTTTGCGTGGGCACGGCTGATTTTTTCCCATGTTTATAATTTTTAGTTTACAAAAGCTTCCAATGTTTCTACCAAATTTTAAATCGATATCTTAATATTTGCGACCAGGAGGGTACTAACAACAAAGACCACATAGACACGCAGACGAATAAAAACGGCTTAATCAATTCAGAATTTCACGCTGATCAAGAATTTATATACTTTATAGTGTCTCTGAGGCCTCCTTCCGCCTGTTAAATACATTATGAAAAAAAAAAAAAGAAATGAGTATACCGAGTGATATACGACTAAGCCTAGAGAAAATATAAGCTAGTGGAACTAACTACCGTTTCCAGGCCATAAAGGATCTGTAGCATCAGAAGAGCATAAGATTGTCTGTACTTGACTAGTTGCGGCAGATAAGTATTATTGGTATAAATTAAGCGCAATGTCCATGGACAACTTTTCCATGGATGATCAATCAATCAATATGTTTCTCAACGGTGAGGTGATGATCAATAAATATACTTGGGCACTTATGTAGGTCAACAATCTCTACATTCAGTACAACCAATGACAATATTTAAGTGGGGTGAATACATTGTGGTAATGAATGTAACATTGAAGAAGTCCCTTTTTAATAACTTTACTCGAGTAGCAGACTAATGTGAATTTCTCTTTGCTTTTTTTTTTTTTGTTTATTATTTATTATGTTATCACTTAAGATAAACGCATTTCTATATAGTACAGAAAGCCTTCATCAATTACTTGGCAATACGACATTGTAAAAATTGTTTTATGAGATCTTTCAGGTTTGCGTAGTTTTTGGATGTTAAGCTACCGTCATCAGTAGCAGCAGCAACAATTGCAGAAGACATTTTGTGCTTTAGAGCAATGGTTTCCACCTGCTTGGATAGCTAATAGAATCAAAGCAAAGACATCAGTAAACAATAATGAAATCAGAAATCTGTATATACCGTATAAGCCCGTTTAATTATTGATCCCGGCATTCCAGCCAATTTTGCAGCATTAAAACCGTACGACTTAGGGCAAGCTCCCGATGTGTATTTGTAAAGGAAAGTTACGGTTTCTTTAGTCGGATCATCACTATCATCATTTTCAACCATGCACGCCTACGAGAATTGGAATGGAAATCATGTGTAGACAAAACATCATAGAAAACAAAAGAAAATAAAAACCAACCATATGCCCCAAAGTAATGCGTTTATCGTCATGAAAAAAATCGATTAAATTGTGATAATGCGTGGAGAACAATGTGCGGCACTGTCGATCGGCCAAAAAATTTACCACTGCAGCCGCTATAGCAGTTCCATCATATGTGGCAGTGCCACGACCTAATTTAAAAATTTCCTGTTCATAGATAGCGATACTCACTCTCAATACACTTACCTAATTCATCTAACAATACCAGACTGTTTCTGGTCGCATGCATCAAAATTAAAGAAGTTTCATTCAATTCAACCAAGAATGTACTTTGACCACTTAAGATGTCATCTTGAGCACCCAGGCGTGTGAATATACGATCTACCAAAGTCATTCGGCAACTTTGGGCGGGCACATGAGCACCAATTTGAGACATTACTGCCAAAAGTCCTACTTGTCTCATAAGCGTACTTTTACCGCCCATATTAGGTCCCGTTAATATAGACAAGGGTGGTGTGTCATCAGTGCCCAATATTAAACCATTCGGTATATAACTGTCAACTGCAATACAAGGATGGAAGCCACTTTCTATCTCTATAAACGATTGATCGGCCGTGCACTCTTCTATAATTGGAACACAAATAGTTACTTGCTGTCTGGCATATTCGGCTAAAGAAGCTATAACATCCAGTTGAGCTACGCAATCGACGCATTTCTGCCATAGCGTATACTGTTGTGAGAATTTCTCAAATATACGACGCGTTAAATCGTTAAGTACACCATTCCGTTCATCTTCAGCACTTATCATTTGTTTAAGTAAGTCCTTTGCGTTAACAATATTTAAAAAAAAATAAATAAAAAAAATAAATAAAATAAATCGAAAGAACTTTTAAAACAATAACCCTACCCTGGTTTCCTGTGTGCTAAAACGACGAACGGCCTTACTACCCTTTCTTTGCGTTTCTAATAAATATTCGCTGCCTGCTTTGCGAGCATGGCTTTCTGGAATTTCTATTTGGAAGCGTTTTTTATCGTTGCCGAAGTAACTTAATCGACATCCAAAATATTTCTCTTGTCTGATTAAATATTCCTGCAAATCTTTATTTATATTGGCAATCTTGAACTCAATAGCGTCATATTCTTCATCGATGCCTGATTCCGGAGCAATGACACCACTTTCGGTTGCTTTTTTATGATCAAAGGCTTGCTGAAAACAATTTTTATCCAATTTTGATAAACGTGTAATGAAAATATTTTGAAAAAATTGCACCTTAAAATAGTCCAGTTTTTCCTTCATATTTGGAAAAATACCACCTCCTTCAGTGTGCTGGCTCAACCTTCTTAATAAAGCCGATTCACAGTCTGCATATAGCGTAGGAACTTTCAGCAAGGTTTCGAAGCCTTTCAATATAGCCACAAAGCTCTGAAATGTAAACATTCGAAACTTTCAATATTAAGAGTTAAGTACTGGGGTAAATAAATAAGTGCCTGCATTTTTTTCTTGTTGTATAATTTTTCCTCGAATAGAATTGCTCGACCATCGGGATGAGCGTCCTGCACAATTTTGCTGCCAAAGTGATGAATCTGAGCTAGGTGACGTTCAAAGTCAGGCAACGGCGCCATTAAGGCTCTCGCGTCTTGTAACAATGTAGGTTTCTCAAGAAAATTCGTGATGGCCTCCTGGCGTTCGCGAATAATTTCCGCTATACATGAGGGGGCACATAGCCAATGATGCAACAAACGCTTGCCAAATTTTGTGCAACAATGATCTAAGGTTGATTGTAAGGAGTGCTCTTCACCAACGATGCGTAAATTCAACAAAGTGCTAGCATCCAATACCATATGGCTTCTCTTTGAGTGTATACGGTTTCCTCGCTTTGCTTTGTTCAATTCCTCAACGGTAATAGAATCTGGTGGCTGATATAGATGATAGCGTACCATTGGTAATACTTTTTCGATTATTTTACACTTTTTCATATACTCCATGCATAAGCCCATCGCCTTCAGGGCGAGTTTAGAATTGGGATGCGGGGTCAAACCCAAATGATCGGTTTCTGCTTGCATGCTACGCAAAACTAAAGGCCAATTATCATCACCTTGACTGTAATAATTTTCTGCTAATTCTTTTAAGGTGCGCTCAGCCGTGCATTTTAGTGCACCGTTAGCTGGCCAGCATTCACGCTTAACTCCACTTAACACAGTCCGCAATATGTCTTGCGTTTTGTTGCTCACATTTGACTTTTCAATCAACACCAACACAGGCGTATAATGAGAAATTAATGTGTGTAAGCGTGAGCAATTTCTGTCATCCTCAAATTCTCCCAAATAACAATCCCCTATGGAAGTGTCGAGGAAACATATTCCATAGCGGCTTAAGTCCCCTTGCTGGGTGCAATGAGTTTCCACAATAGCCAACATATAATTTGGTTGATAATGGGCTGTAACCTGACATTGGTTACCAAACACTTGTGTGCCCAAATTCAAAATTTGACAGATTTCCCGGCGCACTACCTTATCAAATTTGGTAGGTTTTATGCGTTTGCAACGCTCGATCATCATTTCAGGCGTTTCGGTCTGCTCCACGCGAGCGACTTTAAAACCTTTTTCAACCAAAATGGAAGACATTTTATCAAATGATACCTCTGGAAATCCGGAGTGGGCAAACTCTCCGCGCATATAGGTGAAACCAAGTTCTTTAACGCCAACATCGGCGTCCATGTGATATAATTCGTAAAACTTTCCAACTTTAAAGAACAGAACGCAATCGTAATTATCAGATTTAAGAATCCACCATTGACGCACACCCTGAAATCAGAATATATTTTAATAATAATAAGCTGCATTTAATTAAAGTCGTCCTTTTAGTTACGGGTGAAAGAGAATCGAGAAACTTTTGTGGCACATATAAGGTGGAACAATCATATTCGGGATGATCAGGCCGCCTTCCGTTTTTGTCTTTAATTTTATCAGGTTGAAGAAATTCTAATTTTTGATGCGGCCATATAACAGGCTCATCAAGATTAGATGGAAGTAATTCACTCGCTGTGCTTTCTCGTTTTATAGAGAAATTTTCATCTTCCTTCGTAGATTGTAAATGTTGCAATTTCTCCATGAAACTGACACCTGAAAGAACCTTATCTACTTTCTTATTTTCACGCTAAATAGAAAATGAAAAGATTCAAGGATATATACATTCTTGCTTCGCATTTAAACTTTATAAAACTAACCTTTGCAATATCTGGAGATGATCCCCTATCGGAATCTTTGTCGTCCGATGCAGGTGAAGATATTTCCTTATTTGGACTTTCCGATTTAGAATTGTCATCTTCTCGAGATTGACCTTTATTATATGGTTTAACGATGTTCTCTTCCTCGCCATCAGAATCCGATAATATAAACCGTCGTCTTTTCTTACTTGCGGTGACAACTTCTTCATCGCTCTCTTCAAGTTGGAAATTATTCTCAAACTTTCTTTTATATTCATTAACATTCCGATTGTTTCCTACATTTTCCTTTCTATGTTGTTCTTGTCCCTCATGTTGTTCTAAGGAAGGTTTTGGGATTTTTTTCTTTCCCGATGGCGCCGGTGATTTGGAAAAATATTTAAATAGAGTATTTCCTTGAGAAGAGACGGCACTGTTGCTGGATTTGTTAATACTGTTATTTAATTTTTTCGACATTTTGCGGGCGATTTTTATTTCAGTGTTCAATAAAATTCATTTCGATTACGCGTGCAAAGTTGGCGCCACAAAGCACCTACAGAAGTTTAGCTGAATTGCTTTATCCGGTTTTATAATATGGCGATAATATTTTTACTTGCACTTAACGAATCGATTGCACATTACGCAAATAGCAAAGTAATATTCGGCTTTGACCGAATCTGTTGTACTCTGCCTTTTTTGTCGTAAAATTAAGAAAGCAATTAAATTTTGTTACTCCATAATGTTGGCTGGGCGTGACCGATTTTTTTTCATGTTCCAACAGGATCGCCCGCATTATATACGTGGCTATTTTTCGCCTTATCGCCTTATTTACTACAACTTATGAATAATTACCATGTTTTGTGTTTGTAAGCGTATGTTATACGTTAGTCGGGTTTTTCGCGGAATGATTACAACTGAAAATTCAACGGACGGAAAGACGAAAGAGCTGAGATTGTGATGCTAAACGAAGCTTTGGAGTGCCCCTGACGCTTCCTTTTAGATGTTTCGAACATTTTGGACCGAAAGAATTGACCCGCGCTCTTTGGCGGTTGATGTAAAAGTGACCGAGCAATTAAAGCAACATTTTTTTCATGGAAAATTTTACAGAAGAAAGTAGAGAAAATTGCATCCTTCCTACTTTAAAAAGTTTTCAAATATATTTATGTTACTTATTTAAAGTGTATTATATTTGATTTGGTCGCATCTAAACAGATCCGTTAGTTTTCTAAAATTAACCTATATCGTCAATGCTATAAGGTTATAGATTAATATGACAAGCAACAAAGTTTTGATATAAATCAGATCGTGGGGAATAAATGGTCTTATAATAGAAGCCATATTTTAATTTTTAAATGGCAAAAATAGGAAAATATGTGGGACAAGACTTACATAAAATATGTTAAAAAAAGAATATGGTAACCACAAACACAAACAGCTGAAGTCAAAACGTTTTATTTATTGAATAAATTCCTGTATTTTGGCGAATTACTTAGTAAATTGGAAAAAAGTACGAAGTATTTACAATGTCTTTAGCGGATGAGCTTTTGGCCGATCTTGAGGAAGACAATGAAAATGAGGATGAATTAACTATAGAAGAGCCAGCCGAGGAGACGACTGAAGAGGTTTCAGAAAAATTTCTGAAACCTAGTATTAATTTAATGGAAGTGGATGTGAAGGTGCAATCTATACGAGAATTATGCAAATTACGTGATTCCGAGCGTTTGCAATACGTACTTAAACAAATTGAATTTTATGCTCAAAGGCAACGGAGTTCTGCGGAAATGCTGGGCAGTGTAGAATCGGACCCTGAATATTGTTTGATTGTGGAAGCAAATGCTATAGCGGTGGATATTGATAACGAAATCTGTGAGTAACAGGTTTTTTGGTTCTTACAATTTTGATTAAATTTTAATTTTTTTTTAATTTGCAGCTATTATTCATAAGTTCACTAAAGAGAAATATCAAAAAAGATTTCCGGAATTGGATTCGTTGATTGTAGGCGAAATGGAATATCTCTTAGCAGTAAAAGAATTAGGAAATGACTTAAATCAAGTCAAAAACAATGAAAAACTGCAGGCCATCCTTACCCAAGCTACTATTATGATTGTTTCAGTAACCGCGTCAACGACTCAAGGGTAAAAACAAAAACAAAAGAGATGAACATCTTTTATTATTATTATTTTTTTTTTTTCTATAGAAATCTTCTAACACCCTCGGAGAAAGCACAAATAGATGAGGCTTGTGAAATGGCTATAGAACTAAACAATTTCAAATCGCGTATATATGAATATGTAGAAAGCCGGATGACTTTTATAGCTCCTAATCTTTCCATGATTGTGGGTAGGTTTAAAGTGTGTTTTAAGTTAAAAGTAAAATTATTCAGACGAGGATCGATTTCAGGAGCTTCCACCGCTGCCAAATTATTAGGTATAGCTGGCGGCCTTACGAAACTTTCGAAAATGCCCGCGTGTAATGTGCAAGTTTTGGGTTCGCAAAAGAAAACGTTGGCTGGTTTCTCTAAAACTCAAATGTTGCCGCACACTGGTTATGTATATTACGCACAAATTGTACAAGATACCCCACCGGTACGCCTTTTTAATTTCAAAATAAAATTAATATTTGACTTTTGTACGTTTTTTTTCTTCCACGAAAGGATTTGCGGCGTAAAGCTACACGTTTAGTTGCCGCCAAAGCAGTATTGGCGGCTAGAGTGGATGCTTGTCATGAGAGCGTTCATGGCGAAATCGGCTTAAAATTTAAGGAAGACATTGAAAAGAAATTGGACAAATTGCAAGAGCCTCCTCCGGTAAAATTTGTCAAGCCTTTACCGAAGCCAATAGAAGGAAGCAAAAAGAAGCGAGGTGGCAAACGTGTACGTAAAATGAAGGAGCGTTACGCTTTAACGGAATTTCGTAAACAAGCCAATCGCATGAATTTTGGCGATGTAAGATTTTAAAATGAAACTTCGCAAATGTAATGCAAACAAACTAATTACTATTTTATTAGATCGAAGAAGACGCCTATCAAGACGATTTGGGTTATTCTCGAGGAACTATTGGTAAAACCGGCGCGGGCCGTATACGATTGCCCCAAGTGGACGAAAAAACAAAAGTTCGAATTAGCAAAACTTTGCAAAAAAATTTACAAAAACAGCAAGTCTATGGAGGAAGCACTACGGTTAAACGTCAGATTTCCGGAACAGCCTCCAGCGTTGCCTTCACCCCCCTACAAGGACTCGAAATAGTTAATCCCCAGGCAGCTGAAAAAACCCAAAGCGAAATAAATGCTAAATATTTTTCAAATACCTCAGGCTTTCTATCGGTCGGCAGACGCGCGATTTGAACACAATCATTTCATATGAGTTGTACAAGTAAATTTTATTAAACACATGATAAAATTATAAGGAAATTAAAATTTGCAATCTTAAATAAGAATTAAATTTTCTTTAAAAAAAAATAGAAATAAAATATCAAAGGGATACATGATCGAGATTATTGAATTAGTAGTTATTTTCTTAAAAAGGAATGCTTTCCAGAAGCCAAACTAAATGTAATGACAGACTTTTTATTTTTCGAACAGCAGCAGCACCAATCTGTGCGCGTCCAATTAGTGCGTCTGAGTTTATGCGAGATGTTAACTTAGTTTCCCGATTTCCAACTTCCGTTGCAGGGCTTCCCAAGAATTGTTAAGGAAAACCGCAACAATACCAGCCACCGTGAATACCCCGCCAATAATCGAACAGCAATTGGTAGCAAAATGGCCAAACGATCTTGAAATAGATTAGTTGGCTAAAACCAATGCAAATGTTTACATATATTTTCAAGTTAGACAAATACCTTTGCTTCTCTTCATATTTTACCATAAGTGGTGACAATTCGTATGAAAAAAATACCCCTGGCATGCCTCGCTCTTTGTTACTCAAATCTTTTTTATAACGCGTTACTGAGAACTGATTGGTGTAAGTTGGTGCCCCATCGTTGGCCTTTACGTAAACGGTGGGCACAATTTTTAGATAATAATTATACATTTCACTTTTAGGATCTGTAAACGAATTTTATAAATATAGAGCAGAGTAATTCTTATCGACGATTTATCCGGAAAATATTAATATAGATAGATTGGTAACGCAACACAAATTTATTACTCTTTTCAAATATTTATAGCCATTAGGTAAATATGCGGGAAAACGTAATTAGGAACAATTAAGCCAAAAATTGTTGCTTAACAAAATCAAAAGCATTTGAATGAATACATTCAACAAATTCGCAACGTACTAAAATATCAAATTTTAAATTTTGATCGACATCGATTAACATGAATCTATAATCTTTAAAAAGTTAAAGTCCAAAATCACGACCTAATTTACTTTATGGCTTTTCTGCGAGATTTTTTGAAAAAAAGACTATTTAGTTGAACTATTAGCCCACATTATTCTCTGCAAGTGATACAATTTCATAGCTATAGACTTCAAAAATTTCCGGATAGATTTCTGCATTTAATCATAAGGTCTTTACTGCAATAGCCCTTGACAAGGCGTGAAAGCTTTTACAATCGTAGAAAGGCATTATAAAATGAGAAAGCAAGGGTATATACGGGTAAATAAAACCGAGTAATATCTTTTAAATATCTCCTATGGTAGACATTGGAATGTATTGTAATAGGCCTTAACGGCTTAGAGATTACCTAAGCGTCAATAAATAAATAAAAATAGTAAATAAATATTTTGTTAGAAGCGTTTGTTCGGCTAAGTCCACGACCTTCAATAAACAGCAACGTCCAATACCTAATTTGCCTATATTTTACTTGGGAAATTGTATCTAAAATATTGAAAAAACTATTTCAAACTTGGCAACTCTACTTTTAGTTTGACATTTTATAATTTTAACACAGACAAAATAATACAAGAATTAGCACATTTGCAGAAAAAATTCTAGTAAATTACCAAGAACTTTAAAAATTTTTAATTTTTTTTTTGATAAACTCGATTGCTTGAAATTTTTACTTGATTGCGGATAATTATTATATAAGTCAGCAATATGCCTATGCCCAGCAGTGCATTTGGTCAACAAGGACCCTCATGCTTTGATAAAATAAAGACTGGATTTACTATTGGTTTCTGTGTTGGGATGGCCAGTGGCGCTTTGTTTGGAGGATTTTCTGCATTGAGGTATAATTCTACAATTCAACTCCTAAAAAAGTCGGGTTATGTAATTGGATTTTCTATTGTGCATATGCTATTTTATTTTTAGGTATGGTTTGAGAGGACGAGAATTAATCAACAATGTGGGCAAGGTTATGTTGCAAGGTGGAGGAACTTTTGGCACTTTTATGGCCATAGGAACGGGCATACGTTGTTAAATTTCGCTTTCTAGCGTGAGACTATCTTTAATTTTTTTTCTTTTCGCATATTAGATTTACTTATAAACTTCCATAAAATAATAAACAAAAAAAAAAAAAAAAACTATCTGTGATTACCACAACTTACCACCTTCACTAATTACTTCTAAGCCATCCAGTGGATGGGTTTTCGCAAATTCAATTTTGTCGCCAAAGGACAAGTGATTTATTGTATGTGACAGTTTAACGTCCGCAAATTGGAAGTCGTGTATGTGAAATTGCCGCAATGAAAAGCTACTACCCGGAGCTATGTGAAAACTGCCAGCCATCTGCAAAAGTTTCATATTATAGAAATTATTGAATATGCGGAAAATTTTAAATTACTCGGTTCACTTCCAAATGTCCCTGAATACGACATCCCTCTTTAAAGGCATCTAAATCAGATCTTTTGTACTGATCTTTACACTGTTCAATTTTGTCCAATTGTACGTTCCATTTTTTAGTCCGATATGCGTCTAGCACAGCCTCGCAATTATTACAACAACTAAAAATATACACAAATGTGTTCATACAAATATATCGCATTCGATATTAAAAGCTGTTGATACATACTGTGTGCTATTGTACTCAGCTCCATAGCAACTGCCACATGAATTATTTTTATTAGATGGTGACACGACTACAATTTCTTTGATAGGTTCAGTTTTTTTTAAAGGGTTTCCTTGCAAATCTAAACGATGTTTGAAAACGTTGTGGTCCACTCGCAAATGCTGATCACCTGAAGAATCCATGGCATCTAATGATAGATAATTACATGCTAGATTGTGCATAGTTATATCCAAATTAATTCTTAATTTGTGTCCTCTAGTTGTATCTACAAACAACTCTTCGGTTAAATGAGGTGTTACGTAGGCCCAAAATTCCAAAATTATTAAAATCAACACTATACTACTACTAATAAGGGTAACTGAAATTATTAAAGGAAATTGAACACATTCACTTTTCATTATTTTTGTCAATCTCTTACCAGCAGCTCCAGACACTGTCCGGACACTAAAATCTTCCAAAGTTCTTGGATAAGCATCTAAGCGTCTTAAGGCATCCGCAATTTTCATCTTGTTTTTAAATAACGCTCCTATTTTTGCAAACAGTTTTTGAGATCTTTTAGTTAAACATTTTAATATTAATTTATAAAGAAAGGTAAATAAAATACGTGTTCTTTGTTATTTTTTCAATTTTGCATACACGGCATGTATTAACAGCTGAGTAGAGAATGAAATAATGAATAAAGATATGTTATCGATATATGTGCAAAATTAGATACCGGTTAAGTTCGTTAAAATTAATAATTTTGAAACTTTTCTTTCAATTTATTTATTTCCTTTCTACTCTCTCTAATCACAATATGAATTGACGGAAGTTACTTCTCTTGAGATGAATGTCCGTGCGTAACTCATCAAAGGAGTAATTTTCAAATTTACGTGAGAGTCGTGAATGAATTTTTGTTAGTAAATTTAATGAAACCATGAAATAAAAAACTAAAAAGCAAATATAGAATTGCCATTTGCTCCAAAAAATTTACTTTTCAAAAGAACTTTTCACTTTATTAGTACTAGTTGTAGTAGTAACCAAGATCTAATCATACGATTAATTTTTTAAGTCGTATGATTTTGCCGCAAATGTGCAACGTGTAGGTTTTTCTATTTTGATTGGGGTAACAATGCAAGAGTCCAAAGATTCCAAATTTTCTCCGAATCGACAATGAAAGGTAATCTCAGGACTGTTGGTTTCATAAATTATGTCATTTATTTCTAATACAAATTTCAACAACAAATTCACGGTCACCTCTAATGCTATCAAACTGTAACGTCTATGAAATGTAAACAAAAAATTTACCCAATCACGACCACCTCTAATGTAGTACAGGTGTTCCTCATTTAATACGTTACTTGTAAAGCATCGTGGCACAAAATTTTGCGAATAGCATAGCACGGTTTCGAGACAACACTATTTCAAAAAGTCGAATACCGTTAATAATTTGTTATCGTTAACAAGAAAAGTTTCAACCAAATTTAAGAAAAAAATTAGATCAGCCGAAATTTTTGATGAAAATTAATTCTACGATCATTATTTTTTTTTTTTTTAATATATTTTTACTTTTTGTATTTCATCAATGTCGCGAGAGTGGCTCTCAGTTGCCATCGTTTGCCTTATGAACCCCGCGTTTTCTCACAATCCAATAACGTTTTTTATTTTAAAGTAATGGACTATTTTCGCAATCAAGCTTTATCATCACTTGATACGCTGAATTAGCTACGGCTGTTTCAGTTGGTGTGGCTAGTGGTACCACAACATACTTCTATATATATTAATTACTGTAATTATCTACGTATCTACGATAGGAGAAGATCATTTCGGTCCATATGGCTTGTGCCATGTGTTTGATTAAGTGAAAATAAAAAATTATCTTGAATTTTACTTTCTAATTTATATATAAATTTCGAACGAAATTTCGTAATGAAATTTTCATCATAAAGTTACGACACTTTAAGTTTTGGTTGTGATACACATTGCATTGATTTACATTATATCAATGTATCTTAAAACACGGGACACGCTCTAGACACCACGAATAAGGTTTTGATAGAGCATGGTAAAAATTTTTACAGTTTCTATTATAGGGGAATTTAAATTGTGTCATTCTATGTGATTTTTTAGTTTAAGTGAAAAAATAAAAACAGATTTCGTATGACACAATTTCGATAAAACACGGTACGAATTGACCGTGTTAGGTGAGGGACGCATACACTTGTCCAGCATTGCACAATACACTTGTGATTTACCCTCGCGACAAAAATATTAAATTTTTCTCTTACTTTTTTTCAAAGGTATCCAGGGGATAAGCAATAGATTATTCGGGACATCGTAATAGAGATAATAGAACTCATACAATTTTGCCTAAGCCTTAATACAATCAGCGATTAGTTTAGACTGTTCGTTAGGAGTTGATTCTTTTATTAATTTATTGACTTTAGTTGTTATTACTACTTTTAACTTGTTCTTATGGGATTCGCTAACTGAAAGCATTTTTTTAATGACTACACGTCTCAATAGGAGGTGCTTTTGTGTGCGTACTATAAAGTCCTGAGAAATTAAAAAATTCCCTTTGTGATACACTGTAGCCATTAATGTGAACTTGTGTGACAGTAGGATGCCTGCTGGATATTTTGTCATGGAAATAAATAGCGAGAGCTAATAAGACTCTTAAGCTGATTGCAATGATACCCAGATTGAATTGAGCTTGTCCAGAGGTAGCTAAACGCGAAAAGGTCTTCCTGTCCTGTACTTAGTACTTTGAGGGACACCCTTAGTGAATATCCTCTATGCAATGCCGTTCTTTGCTGTTAATTTGAATGCTTTTGTATTAAAAGGCTTTGTATTACGTACTGTAAAATTTGATTGCTAATATCATTGCGGGTACAAAGTATCTTAGAAGATGCATCTTGACTGAATCAAAAACTGTTGACTTATCTAGAAAACAGACGTTAAGAAATCTTTGATAAAAGCTGCTCGGCTTAAAACGAATAGAAAAGGATGGTGAGAATGTTTTGAGATTTTACATGCTACTCTATTCTATTAATATTCTTTCAAAAGGGTATACCGATGAGCGGAAGGGAACGCAATATTTCTGTAGAAATGAAGAATTAGCAGCAGACCATTTTGTAATTTTTAAACCTGTTATTGAAACCTTGTATAAATTTCATGGTATATGACATATATTGGCGATCTTTTTGAATCCTTCAAGAGGAGTGAGTTTGCTTTCGATGTCTAAATTCATAAGATGGCCGTTCCGGTGCCCACCTAAACCAGTGGAGGTGGCTTTCGGGACATTTATTGCATTATTCAGTTTAGAAAGGGTAATCTTCTGCAATAGAATTTGGTCGCGCCGTCCCATCAAATGACAGACAGGTCATTAATAAAACTGAAAAGATTATCAAAGTTCTTGCTTGTAACAATTCGCTTTATACTTGAAACTGACAGATCTCTGCTTATGTTATTGCGAAAATTTTCCACGCTCTGCCCCTTTCAAGTCTGTCTTTCTGTTCCTTTAATGAAAATGTCTTGGAAAAAATTAAAAAATTAATCAAGTTAGCAAAAGAATTTATTAACGAGTACCAAAAAATCAAAATTCAGCAAAGAAGAAGAAAACGCTGAACGGTTCAATCAATATTCCATCACTAACATGTGTATGATAATTTATGTCAATTTATAAAGAAGGTCAATTTACTCGACTTGTACGTTATATATCTCATCGTTTATAAATACTTTAAGCCGTAATGTTTTACAACTTGTTAGTAGCTTTTAGATAATTGATAATTGGCAAGAGATAATTTAGGTGCTCCATCTTGCGTGATACGATTTAAGTAATTTTTGTGACTGACGTTGATCTGACGAAAAATTTTCAAGTAAAAGTTTTATAATTTAGAGACGATAATTTTAATTGCTTATGCGATACTGCGAAATCGAACCATATGCTATATAAATCTGCTATTCTTCTTAGACGCAAATATCGTATATACCATGTTGTTCATACCCATACGTAATGCGTATATATGCGTGCTTGCTGTTCTCCTCTAAACAAATCTAATTGGAAAATTGTTTGAAAGCAATTGTAACAAAAATATTCTGATTTCAATTTGAAACATTTAGGTGAACTATTTATTGAATCCATTTAGAACTTGGCAACCCTGGTAATACGAACACGTAGGCCAGAAATTCTTTCTCATTTGTATGCAGGCAAAATTTATTTCAATCGTTTTATTGAAGTGACGAGTTCGCTGTAAATTAGTCTCGGTTCAGAAAATATCAATTGTGAAATTAGAAATTATATTTTGTTTTTAAATTCAAGACGGATATTTTTCTAAAATTATGGAAATTTATTAGCCATAAAGTATTAGCAAAAAATAAAAAAAAAAAGCATCTTGAAAAATTGTGCTAGGCAAACAGCTTTGAAACTTTGAAACGCAGTTTTGTTTTTAAAAAAGATATGAGATATTTGTTCTAAACACAACAAAAATATACGCGACAAAGAAAACGCATTTTCCTCAGTCATTTTTAGCAAGAGTTGTAAAGTCTGTAATAGCTCGTTGAGTCACAAAATGACTTCCACTCCACCAAAGATTGGTGAAGATTTGCTGGGCGGTAAGTAAAATTCTTATAAATTTGTTCCTTTGTTTAAAAGACAACATACAATTTTCGTACTTTTGAAAGGCGTCAGCCATATTTGCTTTTACGCTTGCCGAGTTTCTTTGTTTATAATATGGGTGGCTTTGTTTTTATTTCTTTTCGCACGCTTGGTTTACAAATCCTTTGTTGGTGTTGTTTTTCTGCCTTTGTCGTATTATCATTGTTACTGTTGTACATAAAGAGTAAAAATAATTCAATAAATGTTTCAGCAAGTAATTCTATTTAGGTTTTTAAGAATTGATGAAACCCTTCGAAATAGGAAAGATCTAGAAAAGTATATTCTCCAAAATTGAAAACTTTTGCCGATGCAAACAAGGCCCATACGACAAGGTATAAAAAAAATGCACTTTTTTTTGTTTTTTTTTTTTTCAATTTAAAAATGAGAAAGGTACACGAAGAATTCGCATTTTATGGAGTAATATAGAAGAAAACACGAAGAAATGAAGAAGCTTTTAGAGAGGCTCGAGTTTGCAAATACATTAAATTGTTTTCGATCACGTACGTATTGGAGACAATCGAAATTAAATAAAATTCTCATTTTGAAAACATTAGTTTTTTATGTCAATGATCCACCTACTAAATGCATGAAATTTACATTTCGCGCTAGAACTGTATTTGATATCAATTCTTAACAAATTGGGTATCTTCAAAATATGCACATATACATACACTCTGGTGTTTTCCTCTAAATCCAATACACGTAATCTAACTAACTAACTCCTGCTCCGTTAGCTGATATAAAAAATTTCAAATAAACTAATATCTAGTTATGGAACTGCATTTCTGTAATGTGTTCAATTTAAGAACAGAAATTAACGTAAATTTGCTTTCATATAAAAAACCGCGTGAGTATCATCGCACGTCGACGTTGCGTTGTTCCCATTTTCATTTACTCTTTCCAATTATTATAATTAATAAAATTTCTTGCGTAGCATAAATTATGTTGATATAAATTTCATGTGCATCAAACATTGTATATCAAAGTGTTAGTATGCCCAGTGTACCGCTGTTCAGCTGCTAACTATGCGAGATAATTCAGTATCACATTATAAAGAGGTGAAATGAAAGGCGGAAAGAATACGGTTTTTCCATCAACTTTTCTTGTTCGTTCATTTTTTAAATTTACTTTAACGTCACTGTATAGCAAAGAAGTATGCTTTAGTCTGCTTTTTTTACTCGACGGTTTCGTGTAATCATTACAAAATTGTTTTTTAAGTGATAGCGAAGTGAAGTATAAAAACACGGAACATTCTAGAGACGTGATTTAAACTAAAGTGCAGCAATGCAGCAGATTGGATAGAATTAGGTGACTCCTGTGGACACTCTATTTAAAAGATGGTTATTCAATAATCGTATGTAAATAATTCCTCGTAATTAAATCAAAATCGTTTACAAGTATATTTCATTCGGATAGAAACCATACTAAGGCAATGGAAATCAATGTTTTTTCTGGTAAACGCATTTGAATATTAGTTGAAATGAAGCGTTTACTTTTTGATGCATCAGGAACATGCTTGTCTTGCTATATACAATGATCGTGGTGGTTGAGAATTAATTGATCTTAAGCTAGAGACACTACTGACGTAAGCAATCGTTATCAAGAATAATTGTTTTTGTAATCAATCTATCAAACGTATGTTTATAGTGTTGATTGCTTCCCACATTTATTCACAATTGCCCGAGAATTTCATTCATCATTATCATTTTATTATCATCATATATTCTCAAAGGTCGTGAGATAAGTCGCCTTTTTTACTTTTAATACAAAAGTAATTATTTTTCTACGTCAAGGGGCAGGCAGAATGTATTAGAAATGCGCTATTATTTATCAAGAGCAACGGAGAATGCCTGAAGTGTGGCAATGAACTTGATCGCGTCCACAGTTGAATAACAACCCCTAACTCCATAACCTAAAGCCTGTCACTGCAATAACTTCAGTCGATATGAATACATTAATATGGACATATAAGTCATGTTTCTTTGTTCTAGTCTAAATACACTCCATATCAAAAAAAAAAAAAAAATATGAACAGAAGAATGCGTTTACCCATGTCCGTCCTTCTGCTTATCAGAGATAACATAATAATCCTGTACTCCTGGTTTCTTTCCACAGATTGAACTGTACTCGTTCTTATTCAATATATCTGAAAAGCTAAAAGGATTTTGAATAAAACATGACACTTGAATGACAAATTGCCACGCCCGCATAAATGTCGAATCGTCCTATGCGAATACAATTGTCTGTCTTGTTAAAGGCAATTTTACAACACCTTAATACGATTGGCAATAATACGTACCCTCTCTCCTATATGTGCGTGTGCAGATCTATAAGTTTATTAAGTAATTGCCGCTCTTTTCAACGTTTTCCACTTTTTTCGTATGCGCAGATGGAGACGGTTAACGCGTTTCTATTTTACCTACCTCTGTTGTAATTGTTACTAAATGAGAGAAACAAATCTATTTTTAAATTCTTTAATCAGAGTTTTGCTGCAGTTAATCTTGGCGCGCTTAGCCATAATTTAGTTAGCTAGTCGTTCTTTTAAGATCATTTATAATGTGATGTTAGTAAGTCATTTATAGTTTCAAGTTTCATGGGTAATTAAATAAAATTTCGAGTTCAATACTTAATTTGGAATTATCATTAAAATGGTCGCCTTGCACTATGCAATTAACATGAACTTTGAACTCATTAATTTTTCTCATTTCACGTTAATTTTTTTAAATTTTTTTAATTTTTTTTTTTTTTTTCTCACATAAAATTTATTTATACAAAAACATATTGTTTTTATGTTTCAATTAATTTTCTTATATTCATGAACGTTTCCATGCCTCTTTCTAATCATTTTTGCGATTATTACGTTACATATTTTAAATGTAATCTTATACTTTGAATGAATACAATTTCAACGATTTACCACAAAATAAATAATTAAATATATGATGGTTAGCATTGAGTTTGCATATAATGTTCTGTATAATATATGTATCAATGTGTGAAGTGTGATAAAATGTATACAATTTGTGCGCATTTTCAAAGGATGATGAGTAAATTAACTTTGACCTTATTTTACTAATTTAATAAAATGTTTACTTGTCTCATTTATGCTTTTTATGTATGCACGTACATGTGTCATGTGTAAGGAATCTCGGAAATCTATGGAATTTTGAAATAGCGGTAACATTAGTGAAGGAAAATGGTATGCTTTTAGATATTTGTATTTTTTTTTTGTTGATTTTCTTTAATTTTTTTTTTTTTTTTTTTTTTTTTTTTGAATAAAATTCAATGCATAGTAAGCGATACACACATTGTCTACAATATAATTATGCATATTTTATTAAAAATATTATCAATTCCTGGAAACATTGCCCATCTTCTTATAATGAATGTGAACATGGCCGAACATGGTATATTCTCTTAAGATTGGCACAGTTTATCACACGGATGGATAAAAGTGAACGATTTTTGCTTTTCCCTTTCCCTAGCAACAAGCATAAATGATTAGTAGATATGTCTTGTAGTAGATGATACATTAGATGGATTGATAAAGTTTTCCCTCAAATTAAAAAATCTTTATAGTTCTTAGGTAATTTGTTTATTTGCGATGATAGTGAATGGACAAGAAAATAATTTGTTTTAAACTGCATTTCTCCAAGATTCCAAATTTGATGTTAGGGCACAATTCATGTTCCATCTCCGACGCCATTAGCTAATTAAAATGCATTATTGAGCCACTCGATCTCATTACTGTTTAATTAATATCATAGGTTGCTCAGAGCAAAGCTCAAAATTTGGTTGTAAGTAATTCGGCAAATTCGGTGTCATAGCCAGGGTATTTCGTTCTCCAAAACGTAGTTATTATAGAATGTAAAGAACAGAACGTTGCACCAGTTTGCACTTGCAACTCCCCTTGCTATAGAATTGAGATATTATATTAGGTGCTTGCATGTATGGGTCTCTCCCATCGCGTGTACATGTTTTGAATCAATTGATTTATCAACTGTTAAGTTGTTCGAATGTTCTTTGGGAATTTGAGCTGAGTTTTTAGTTAGCATTTAAAGTTAAACATGTAAAGCATAACAAGATCGAATTTTATACATAATCTATTATTATTATTATTATTATAAATTTAGCCAGAGAATAAATTCTAAGACTAAAGTCTCTTAAAGCACTAGCATCTAGGGCTATCGGCTTTTTTATTAAAAAACTCTACCGCACTTGAGGTTTGAACCCACGACTATTGAGTTGCTAGTCGAGACTCTTGCCTACTCGGCCACTCAGGCGGATATACATAATCTAATCGGCCGATAATGGACAGAAAGCTCTTAAATTTCCTACACAAGTTATTTCAGAATTTTTATAATCAAACGGACAGATGCGAATAAATTGTTGATGGGTTCTCTGACGCTTAACTTTACAAATTTACAAAATATATTCATAAAATCTCTATTTTACTGCTTGATGAAGGTGTCTCCAATTCCCATAACACACTAACTTAATTTTCAGCAAACAAACTTAACTTTCATACCTTTTTATATAAATTTTATCGCACGTAATATTTACTGAAAACGAGATTAAGATTATTATTGCTGTTCGCGTATGAAAAATGCAAATGTGTGTTTATAAAAAATTTCAAAAATTTCCCCATTCCAAATTTTTGAGACCTTAATCACTACCATATCTGGCAATTACTTGAGCATATCGCATTTTTTTTTAAAGTCGTTTCGTTATAAAATAAAATAATAGGATAAATGGAAATGGTGGGTATCCATTCACACCAATATACCTATTCACATCTTTCTGTCCGCATGTGTGTATATACCAATAGAAAATTTATTTATTCTTTTTTATTTACTTCTTTTTTTTTTTTTTTTTAATTGTAAGAAATGAAAAATTCATTAAATTATTATCATATATATTATACAATATTTTCAATCTTCTCCTTAAGCGTAGCTCAATGTTTATATCAAAAAAAAAAAAAAAAAAACGCAAAATGTGTGCGCGTTGTTGTCTAGTCATACATACATTAAAGTAGAGCACAAAATCCGAAATTCGCATTTAAATTTCAAAAATACGTGAATTTTTCTGTTAATAACAAAATGAAATACGTATAAAAAATTATTGAGAACTTTACATACATGAGGTCAGTGAATGATTTTTGTGGATTGATTTGATTATTTCAGAAGAAAAAAAAATTTTTTTTTGATTTCGGATTAAAGCGAAATTTTTTTACAAATATTAATAAAAATAAAAAAATAGGGGATCGTCAAAGCATGTATGCTTGGTATGGTGGAATACGTGAATTCGCAAAGCGTCTAATTAAATAGCATCGATCGACTGACTGTTGGATTGTTTTTAAAGAATCTTTACCGCTTATAAACCAACCGTGATGAGGTAAAGTTATTTAAAAAAATTAACTAATTAATCGATAGGAACTACATTAGATGTCATGGAGAATTCATTATTAGCTTTTACAAGTTAAGTTAATCGCTCGAACAGTGTAATTTTTCAAGCATAACTCAGGATGCTAACATGTCCATGTGTACATGTGTACATGTGTACATTTTTCCTGTACAACGATGAGACCGCGATACCTACAACTTCCATATTTTCTTATTTCGGCTAATATTTCAACACAAAAAATATTTTCCAAAAATCTTTGTTGCAATTACAAGATTGTTCGGAAGTTCGGTAGCCAGCAATTACTGAATTCGGTTTAATTTGTAAGCAAATTGTCTCATTCGCTTCCGGAGACAAACAAATAAAAAAATTGCATTCTACTTACCGCGAACCCTCGCGAATTTCCTTCAACGTCACCTCAAACTGCTGACGTATAAATGAAATGACTAAGAAAGACTGCGAACTATTCTTACACGAACTATTCTTACACTAGCCTCTCATATGGGCATTACATATTCCAACTCTTATGTCGATATCGGTTGTTATCTTTTGTTAAGTGCGTAAAGCTTAGACGACCCTTATAAGGGTTTATATCGCTTTATCGGTTAATCGGATCTGCGGCTTGATGTTATAAAACATCAAGCGGGAGGGCAACTTTCATGGCAGACATAACAATGTAGTACACTACAACGTTACGTATAGCCGCTTGGTGGATGGACTAAAAGAACTATTTTTAAAGCAAAATTTTCGAAAATATTGTTCTCGGTTAACAAACGTTGCGAGTTGTAGTCTTTTTGTTTTAATTGTACGCGTATATATGTTTTGATTATATCGATTCTCGCACTACCCTTTTCAATATGTACATCGTTCCACTCTCGGAGAGAATTCCAATTTGCCGGCAGGAAGAAATTCATCGCTGCATGATCGCAGCTTAACCCCTTTTATGCGAAATGATCATGGAAAATGTCGATAAGAGAGTGCGTGCGTGCGTGCGTGCGTGCATGCATATGTGTCCATTCCAGACACGACCCTATCCCTCATGCTACATTATGATTCAATAAAAAAGAAAAAGTTTGTTTTTATTTAATTGCCTTTACACCCCTTTCCATTTTATATGCCAAAGTGACTGTATTTACAGGGTGGTCCATATATATATATATATATATATAAATCATACAAGGAGAGAAGTCATTCACACAAAATTACGAAAAATATTCACTGCAATGTGAACTTCTTCTAGTCTTCTTCTAGTTCTTCATAATTCTTCGTAACGCGTAAAGGTTTATGAGTTTGTTTTTACTTTAATGCAAATATAAATTGAACGCATTTTGTTTTTGTTTTTAAATCAGTCTCGTGTTAACTATGTTAACAAAAATATTTTTGTCAAAACAAAAATTAATAATAACTTGTTTGTCATGTTGTTGTTGTTGTTGTTGTTGTTGTTTGTTAATTTGTTTTTCAAAGCTGACCAATGCATAATTACTCAACGTTTTATATAGTAAATAATAACAATGAAAATATAAAAGTGTAACGGTATACAAAAATTTGATATTAATTACGTCTTTCGTTATAATTTTCGTGCAAATGTTCACAGAGGGAGGGATCTCTTCAGCGGCAATATAATCGCGAATAACTGAAATCGTATTTTGATTTTATTCTCTTATATCCAATATAAATACTCATAGAACGTGTTCTATATTAGATTTGCCCTATAGTTTGTTACACCGGATAATGTGGCCAGGGGGCCAGGAAACCAAAGATTTAAATAGAAACATTAGTTAATCCGAAATTTCTGGCGGTTTTCCTCGCACACATGCGTATAGCTATGTAAATAAATTTGCAAACTACGAATTTAAAGGCTGCCAGATAACTCAGATCATTATGCTCCCTTGTATTGAAAGCTTCCCTGCGTTTGAGATTTAAATCTACGACCATTGCTTTGTTAGTTGCGATCCTTTGTTCGCTAATGTGCTCATGCGAGAATGGTGAAAAGAGCTGTAGGGGAATGTAGAGAAATATGTCCCGTCTATGGAAGTAATGCTGTAGCAGAACGCACTTGCCAAAGTTGCTTTGTGAAATTACGTTGTGAAAATTTCCAATGAAACCTTTATCGCGTTTTGGTGGGCCAAATACTATTGATGACGACCAACTAAAGGTTACGATTAAAGCTAATCGACGCATGACGATTCGTGAGTTTGCGGGAAAACTTAATTCATCAAAGACAACATGTTTAATTTTTTTTTTTTTTTTATTGGGAAAAATTGATGCAAAATATATTAATTAAAATATATAAAAATAGTCTTCGATATCGGGTCGAAATAACTTGTATTGTTTTGGTAGCGATCCAATCATCGACTCATTTTCTTCGATTTCTTCAACATTTCGAAAACACGGGCAAGACAAGCTATGCTGAGGTAATGCTGGTTATGGGAAAACTTCCCATTCGAATTGCAACTATGTGGCCTTGTGACTGCTCTTGCAACAAGCGTACCCAAAAATTGCATTTTCAGTCAGATTGTATCATCACCTTTGTGCCGTCGAAAGCAAAACCAAAAAATTGGGTTTAATGGAGCAGCAGCAGCATCATCATCATCATTGGCTGCAAAATCATCGAATTTAACCGTTATGTCCATTGGTATTTTGCATTACTTTGTCATTTTTATATGCAAAAGTCGCTGATCAAAATTAATGCAAGCATCGAATACAAAAAAAAAAAAATAAAAATTTATCCTATATGATAGCGAAAGACCACACAAGAAATTTCCGGACTAGCTAATAGTAACGTTCGGCTAACTGACACCATGGTAACAATAAATAAATATATGATAATTGAAATATTTCGCCCTAAAACGAATATTGTAACACTTTTACTTGCATTATGCTTTCGTATATACCTCTCTTGCCTTCGATTCGATCCATTACGTGTCTCATGACATTTTATTTTGCTTGCGTTAATCAACACTATGACGGAGTGCTGCACGTATTAGGCAGACGTATAATTCTTATTGATGTGTGCGTGTCATTAACATATGCATATTTATTATTTGTAATGCATTCTATATTTATAAATTTGTATAAATTTATTGCAAATTCTTATTACCTATCTGAGCAATGTATAATGCAACGCAACGCAACGCAACGTAACGGAACGGAACGGAACGGAACGCACACATTTGTATGGCTTTGAACGGAAAGCCCCTGATCATTGCAAATAAGTTATTAATCTTTTATTCAGAAAATTGCTTGCACTTGTGATTGCAATACAAAAGAAAGAATGGTGGCAAAGCGTAGCCACAAATTTTGGCGCTTTAACTTAAATTTGCAAAAGTACAGTATGGGTCAGTGTTCGCTATATATATATATATATTCTTTTGTGGCTAATGGTCAATGTTCGAAAAATGAAAGACAGTAACAATGGTAGCGTGTTATTCAAAAATAGCTTTATTTACTTTCAGGCAGAGAAATAATGATTCAATTAAAATTAAATTCTTGCACTGCTCTTTCAAAGAAGGAATAAATATAGGAAGGAAAACGATCATATTTTTCATTAAATTTCATTTCATAATATTGTAACTAAAGTGTGATCAATCATATTTTTCTTTCATTTCGATCATTCTTTATTGTTGTTGTTGTTGTTGTATTGTTATTTTGCAGAATCTTGGATTGAGTTGAGTACAGCTGCTACAATGGCTGGTGTTAAGAGTCCGGAGCGAATAACACCATTGCCGTTTTCTAACGGTGAGGAATATTTGCGTTTGTTACGTGAAGCTCAACGTGAATCAAATCCGTCGAGTCATGTAGTTTCCTTAGCCAGCTCCACACATGATAGGTGAGAAATTGATTAAATTTCATTTCGTTTTTTTTTTTTTTTTATTCATACAATTTAAAAAAAAAATATTCCCTTTTTTTTTTTTTAACTTTTTCGCTTTTATATGCATTTTTCATTTCAGCCCCAAGTCGCCACCTAATAGTCCAAACACAGAATTGTGCGGTGAGGATGAGCTTAAACATGTATACATTAACTATTGGAGCAAAGTTCGTTTATAAAAATGCATCAAATATTTTTATATATAAAAAAATTTTTAAATAATTTTTTATTTTGCGATTATAGACGGCTGGTGAGACACAAAAGGACACTGATTGGTTAGATGAATGGAATAGTCGACCTGATCAACAACCACCAAAGTAAGTCCAATAAAATTTATTAAATATTATTAACAATATTTTACGCTTACGTTTCTGTACTCAATTATGCACGGATTGTTTCAAAGTATTAAGTATTTGCATGTATTTTGATCAGCGAAATTTATTACTCAAAAATTATAAAGTAATGCGAAGTATCAATGTATACAACCGTAGTTAAATTCGGTGATTTTCACCCTTTTCCCTACATGAATTACCAATTTTCCATTTAGCAGTACTGTAGAGTAGTCAGCGTCTGTGCACACCGACTTAAATTGCATTTTCAACATTCATCAGTTTCGTGGTTTAATTTGAAGAAATCTGCTGTCGAAGCCCACCAAACACTTTTAGCAGCTTATCGTGATAATGCTCCATCATATAGCGATTGGCCTGGAGTGACTAACAATGATAAGTGGATCTACTACGACAATCCGAAACGCAAAAAGTCATTGCTTATCTCAGGAGAGCTGTCCACATTGGCAACGAAAAATTTGGTATTCATGGCTATAAAGTTTTGCTGTGCACATGGTGGTGTCACCAACGTGTAGTGTATTATGAGCAGCTAAAGTCGAATGAAACTGTTACTGCAAACATCTACCAACATCAATTGAGCAAAGTGAACAATGTATTGTTGCAAAAAAAAAAAAAAAAAAAAAAAACAGCAATAGCGGTTAACAAGCGCAAAGTCAATCTTTTGCATGACAACGCTCGGTCACACGTTGCAACATTTGTCAACGACGTACGGTTGTAGCTTGAATGGGAAATTCTACCGCACCAGCGTACTCGCCAGACACGGCACGTTGTGATTATCACTTGTTTAGATCGACGCAGCATGCCTTGGCTTGCACGCGGGTTCGAAATGCTGAAGAAGTGCGAAAATAGATCCACGATTGGATCACTGTCAAACGTATTCTTTCGTCACGGTCCCGCCTTGTTGCTAGAAACGTGGGAAAAAATTATAGAAAATGATGGAAACTATTTTGATTAATATATATTGTGTCAATTTTTCTCAGCAAATGCCCTTTTTGAAATGAAAAAGTGATTAGAATACATGCACACACCTATTAATTTGTAATAATTCTAATTTAGTTATTATATTATTGTGATTATTAGTATTGTTATTATTGTTTTTAAACAGGGATTGGAAATTTGAACATCCCCAGAATCAGCAGAGGAAGAAAACGACTGGCTATTCTATACGCTTGACACGCGTCGGCAAAAATTCACTATTTTCACGCGAAATTTTGTATTCCCTCATCTTGTCGAATGTATTATCATTGCTCTTGGGAGCAGGCTTAGGGTAACTAAGACAATTTAATTTTGCGTTTTTATACCCACCACCACCACCGTAAGATGATTGTATACCCATTTTGTTTTTTTCCCAAAATATATGTAACACTCAAAAGGAAGCTTCGCTTCGGAGATCCTATAAAAAGTATATCTATGCTTGATTAGCGTGAAATTCTGAGTTGATTTAGCCATGTCCATCAGTCTGTGTGTTTGTGTGATGGGTGTTGATTGGCACACTCCTGGTGGCAAAAATGAAGATGTCAACTTCGAATTTCGTAAAAACATCCGAAGTTTATGCACGCAGATTGGAATTGAAAACGGGCCAAATTGGTCGGAGCAAAAGCGTGCAATGGAATATAAACTGAACGTAACTCAGTTTTTTATTGGAAATTGTTGAAGTTAGAACCTTAAAATTTTCCACATTTACTTTACGAAACTGTCTACTCGTTAGGCCCGAAAATGGAATCAATCGCCCATACCCACACAAAGTTACAAGCGATTAAATATTGTTTTTGTCACTTTTTTGAGGGTTTGTTTTTATTTAAACAAACAGAAACAAGACGGGATGTTTAAAGCTATTTTGTACACTCTTCAAATGAAGGTATATTAGATGGGTTAATTTTAAAATGAATATGGTGGACAACGCTATTAATTTTTTTCTTAATAATACCAGTGATATGAGTATCAAATAAAAGAACTTAGAGAATAGAATGCGAAAAGCATAGTGGTGGGTATATGAGATTCGGCCCACGCCGAATATAACTCTCTTACTTGTTTATATGTAAATTCAAAAATTTATTTAATTTTTTTTTTTACAGATTGTGGCTCAGTAAACGGGGCATATTGCTTACCCGTGTAGTCATTGACTGAAGTGCTCTACATTTATCTCTTTTTTCTTTTTTAATAAAGAAAGTGTGATTCTTTTATGCCTATAAACAAAACATTTTTATACATATATATACATATATATATATATATATTATTTTTTTTTTTTTAATGAATTTTAAATATTTAATTTTACTTACACGTCTACAGAAGTCGGCTTTTTCTATTTTTTAATCTGATAAAATTAAAAAAAAAAAAAATTTAAAACTTATTTTAAATCAATGAGAAAAAAAAAAACTATTTTATATTTTATCGTAAAAAAAATATTTCATAGCTTAACCGTGAGGAATTTCGATCTTTTTTTTTTTTTCCATATACTTCATTTTTATTATAACATCAATATATTAAATAAATCATCACACGACATCACTTCATGAAATAACCATTAGGCGGTATTTTTCTTATTTGTTTTTAATGTCTCTCATATATTACGCATTCATTTAAAAATATACTATTTTATGTTTTGTTAAATCGATTTCTAATTTTTCTTTATTTAAATATCTATAAATAACGATTTTATACTTACATAAATGTAATAAAACAATTGAAAATTTACACATAATATATATAATCCATTTTATAAAACATAATAAAATGTAAGAGATTTCTACTTTACCTTATCAAATGAGTGTAATTTTGAATTTAGAAAAATAGAAAAACAAAAATCGGCGGAAAATTATTAACCTTAAAATAAAATTGTTGTCAAGTAAGTTGCTAAAATTAACCATACTCTTCAATACCAACACCACTCTGTCACATGTCATGCCTTGCAATGCGATATTCTAAAGTAGTTAATGATCCATAATTTTGCAAACATTTTTTTCGTAGCCTATCTTGCGGATTCCTAATCCGAAAATTCTTTCTTTCATCCAAAGGAATGAATTAGCCAAAGAAAAAATGTAAATTTTATATATTTGCTTGGTGAAGAGTATCGATCCTAGACTACACACATCTCAAGACTAGTTTTAATAGAAGAAGACATTAGTTTTTTTTCTCTCTTCTGCTCATAAAGATGAGCAAATTATCAAAATCAATGATTCCGGCAGAGGTATAAGTAGAGCAGAATTGATTACCTACCTACTCTGTGTTTAATATTTGTGTGCTTACAATCCTGGAGCTATGCTTGAGGCAATTCTAACGTAAGCTTAGCATTAATATCGTCATTGGATTTATCACGTATAAGCTCGGCATTAGTTATTTTTTTATCGCGAACATCCAAAATTTATAAATAATAAAAACATAATAAAATGTTCTTTCAAAGCATAAATGCCAATCTGTTTACAATTGCTGGCAAGTTTTTCTCCAAAACATTGAATTTATGCAATACAATCACCCTGCCCCCTAAAACATTTCGAACAGTTTTGGGATGAATACTAATTGACAATATCGTTAAAGAAATGTAACTAAGTTTGTATAATTCGTATAACATTTACAGCGCAAGAGTAAGTTTCAGTGTGTTAAGGTTGAGTTGATTATAAGTAAAGAAAAAACCATTACAAAGGTTGCTTGAATTTATATTAGGATGCACAAACGATACGATTGTCTACCTCAGTCCACTAATACATTAACGCAACCTCTGAGCACTACAACAACAACCGCCCTCACTTCTTTATCGCGCCTTGAAATTTGAATTATTTGTCATGCACCAAATGCACGGGTCTTACTATAGGCAAATGAAGCCCGGTCGCCGTCTGGCCATCAACATGAGATGTTTAGCAGATTTGTTCGCATGGCAAACTTTACAAACATCGCTTGGTATAGCGCGAATCATTTTTATACATACTTTAGCATAAATGTGACCGCTCATGGGTCTACAAAGTATTTTGATCTCTCAGGAATTACAGGCCACTTCTAATAGGGGATTAACGTAAAAAGTGAGATTTATTCTACAGAAAAGGTGATTAGTTTTGGCACACGCAACTCCTTTATATTCATCGTTTAGTTGTTGAAAGATGTACTTTCGAGTTACCCGCATTGCTTCCATCAAATATGATAAAATTGTGCCATGAAATGGCGCCGACTTTGCATGAAAATCGTCTTTTTCATCTAAAAGAAGAAACCGCAGTGACCAGATAACCATACAAGATAACAATCTTCAATTTGCGATTTGGATATCATATTGATTATCTAAATCCCTTTTCTTTATTAAAAGCAGACCCGACTTGCTATTAGAAAAACCGCAAAATTTCTAGTACCATTCGTTACAGCTACCTTTACAGCATGCCGATGGTAAGCAATTCTCTCTGCATATCTATCTCTATGTTAAGATATCAAAGGATCGACTGTATTAGAAGTGCCTTCAACGTTTTCGATTTGTATGACGGCCGCGTCGATACTTCAACAGCAAAAAACGACTGTCATCTCGGGTAATTAAATTTCTTTATTAGAAAGTCGAATCTGTATTTTTGAGCTTTCGTTAATTTCGTACCATTCCTAACATTTATTTATGTGTAATCGAAGTCTTCCCTAATCCATTATTTTTCAGCTAAAGTTTGCAAAATTATTCTTACATCGCTCACTGTTGCACTTTTTGCTTATTTTGCACTTAACATATAATGGCCTTAGTTTGTTCATTATCTTAAAGAGGTACACGTGCACATATATTTTGCAAGTAATCATCGCTTTCTATTATTCGAACATATATTTCTCTGTTTTCATTGGCTTAGCCTTTCAAACTAATTATTCAAATAAATATAATAATAATAATGCATTGTTTTATTTAGTTAAAAAGTGGGCTGAATAATTTTCAGTTCTTTTCCGTTTACAAGTTTTTTTTAAAAGATCAATTCTTTATATTCAACTATCAGTGGGTAAATTCAATTAACATATATTTCCTGAGAAGTTGTCTCTTGGATACTTTGTTAAAAATATGCCGCATTCGCATTGAACCCTTTGTGCTCATCACATTGAATTATCTGGTGCTGATTTGCTAACTCGCAGAAGAAGAATATGCCAAATAAACAATTAGAATACGTTCCAATTAGATATAGTTTAAAGCAGTTAGTACTGCCTTCAGCTTAAAATTTTTATAGATACATTGCAACGGAAGGATAATCTGGATTGTCGTGCGCACCAAAACAAAATAAATTTATTAGTATATTGACATAAGCCCGCACGGAATTACACTATATGTACACAGAGATGTACGAAAACTATCGTGTTTTTAAAAATAATTCAAATGTCTCCATATCGCTTTTTGCGATGTTACGTACGAAATAATAATTACTTCCTTCTACTAACGATTTCGGAGATATATATAGATCCTTTTCTGGATCGTATTGGGCTCGGCCCAACTTTTTCAGAAATTCATGACGTTCACGTAAACGAAATTCTCGCGATGTCAAAACTTGGGGCACTTTCAGGATAAATTGATGGCTCAAATTCATTTCTTGATGCACGTATGCAAAACGCTCAACAAGATCATCAGGTTCTGATAAAAAAAAATACGTTATAATACAATGGTTTTTAAAAATCAAAGAAACAACATACTCAATATCCATAGACGAGGTTTGGCCAATAGTAAACATTTGATTTCATCTTTATCGAATCCCATTTCCTCACGAATACTAAAGGTGGCTTTTTGTATATGGCCCATGTTGTAGGTTATCAATTTAGGTAATTTACTAGCAAGAACACGTACGTCTGCACCAGCTAACCTGAATTCTTTTTGAAAGTATCCTAATCTGCAATCAATGCGTCGCGTCGAGAACATTAACCAGTAAGGATTTGAGGTTAAGATTCGTTCAATTTGTGCTTTTGAAAACCTTTTGGCGTCTAGGTAGTTAACTCTGGTCTGCAAATCATCCAAATTAACTTTAAAAATTAAAGGATTTTTGGTTATAAATTCTCCCAATCTTTCAGCCGGTACATTTTGGTCCTTAAGAAATAACAAATAAGGTTTTACATCGTCTTCAAAACTAAGCCGCAGTACAAATTCCGGTAAACCTTTCTTTCTTTCAATATGACTTAAATCGACTCCGAGCTTTAGAAATTGTTGCAAAGTGTCAGATTTATTTACGTAAGCTGCTAAATTGTAGGTAGGTAGCAAGCTCCCGGAATTGTCTTCTTCAGGTGCTTTTTGTAAATATTTTTCATTGCTTTGACATGGTAATGTAAGTTGCTTAGAATTTGTTTTATGGCTATGGGGTTCTAATGTTTGTTGCAATTGGTCCATGTTCATGCCACCCGTTAATTCCGCTAATTCTTTCTTGGCCATATCTATTTCGTCCCATTTCGGTCCATAGAGAGGTTCTGGCAGATATTTAAATTCAATTTTCCTGCTGGATAGTCGACGTAACGAGTTTTTTGTTGTCACATAGTTGTTAAATTTAGAATGAACTTGCGATGATTTTCTTATTAAAATTCTTGAATATTTTATAAACAACATATTTCCTTACACCAAATTGCACACATGCATAGATAACAAATTAACAATCAACTGTTCTTCGGGCGCTGACACAATTAAGCGTGACCTTCCTTAAGTGCTTCACACAATGCTTGTATTATACGTTTTGCGTGACGGATAAACTATCAAAATAAACTGGATATACATTTAGTTCAATATTTAGCTAGCGTTGCGTTCTGCGTAAGCGCGAATTTATGACATTTATGACAAACTCGAAAAATTTCTTTGTGCATCTTTCTTGACAGACAAAACAGCGAGATATTTAGGAAAGGAGAACAAAATCATATGGTTAATATTTCAGGCGTTAAAACGGTTATAGCGTTTTTATTACTTGGCAATTACTTGAAATCGTTTTTTTTTTTAACCGAGATCTATTCGAAATTTGAGATCAATCGTTGAGAAACGTTTTTCTTATGTCGATGAATATAATAATAACTTTCCAAATGCATGCCAGTGTACGCAAAGTTTTCTGTCATATCACGCAAAAAAAAGTAGAATTTGCCATACAACCAGATACGGCACCAACTTTACAAAAACAATCACATACGGTACCAGCTTTAAAGAAACAAAATAGATGTATAAAAATAGTAGTTTTTCTAAATGCAAATTTTGTAACATTTGTTTTATTGTGAAAATCGCTGAGAAACGCGCTTTGTTAGAGTTATTGGGATTGCTACCTAATATCGATACCTTCACATATATATGATTTGTTTAGTATCTAACATATTTGAAATAATCATACGTATATACGTACAGATTATTTAATTCGTCCCCTTTTAATTAATGTAGAGATATTGATATTATTTCTGCTATTGAAAGTAATGTGAATTAAAATAAAAAGAAAAAAAAAATATATATATATATATATAATTAATGTGCTACAGTTTTCTTTTTTGTGAGAGGAAAGTAGGTTAGAGAATCATTGGGCCCAATTTTGAGATCCCCCATTACAAATTATGAGCCAAAGTCGTTCATAGGTATGGTAGGGTACAAAATAACCCAGTCCTCCAGAGTTACCCCTTCGGTAAGTAGGTTTCGTTCTCCGTTTGCTTTTATAGGGATAAAGCAAGTGTGTTTCTTTTAGTAATAAACCCCTGTCTCATATAGCCTCGAATCCTCTTAAAAAGGAGTTTAAATGTGGCCGTAAAAACTGTAAACTACGTAGTTTGATATTTACACATGCAGTGAGGATATACAGATATAACGTTATACTTTGCGTATTCGCAATAATGGAATGAAATAAATATTTTGCTCATTGTAAAGCTTAATTTCTAATTTAATATATGGGCTCTAACACATGTTTTGTCATTTTTCCATTTTAGTCGTACAATCCAAAAGAACACTGCATTGGCTGCGTACTGCAATTTTATTTCATATGGTTTTTGTTTTCTACAAATAGAATCGCTTACCAACACTCATTACTTTTGTCGATTATCTGGCGTTTTAAATTTTGCTTGATTTTTTTTGTTTTTGATTTCTTTGTTTGGTTCTACTTTTATTACAAATTTTGTGCAAATTCAAAAACAAATAAAACTTGAGCTAATCGATTAGTGAGTACATCAAGTAAACAAACATTGATAAAATGGATAAATTGCGAAGGGTCTTGAGTGGCGACGATCGGACCTTGGAAGAGGAAAGTGGAATAATAACCCAGGTAAAGGATTGGGCACACATAATATGAACATTTCTTTAAACCAAGTATTAAAACATCTGAATAAAATATATAAATTTTTGTAATTTGATAAATACATGCTTAAGAACGAAGGGCGTTGATGTGAGTTACTTCTCAGGCATACTTGCTTATGTCATTTACATACATTTTAAAACGGCTGCAAAGTTAAAGCAATCTATTTTTTATTTATTGTCGTATTGATCTACTAAGTCATCATACGTTTAAATTCAAGTGGAAAGATTTCTACAATGTTTTTTGCTATGTTGCAGATTAATGACATGTCCACATTGAGTTGGTCGACACGCATAAAAGGATTCTGCATATGTTTTATTGTTGGTATTGTGTTTTCATTTCTTGGCGCTTTAGCCTTGTTTTTACACAGTGGAATTGTTGTCTTTGGGGTTTTCTACACCTTAGGCAATATAATTTCAATGGCTAGGTATAATTTTAATCTATTTATTTTTTTTACTCATCTTTTTAAATCTGCATTTTTTATCTCATAATAGTACTTGTTTCCTAATGGGTCCCTTTAATCAAATAAAGAAAATGTTTTCAAATACTCGTTTAATTGCTACTTGCTTAGTAATATTTTCTCTTGTTATGACATTAGTAGCAGCCTTAGTGGTAGGTTGTCGTTTATATTTTATGTTAAAAATATTTTAATTTTTTTAAAAATTTTTTAGTTAAAAAAACCCGGTGCAACTCTGATTTTCATTATCATTCAATCTTTGGCCATGACTTGGTATTCCCTCTCATATATACCTTATGCTCGAGATGCGGTTAAAAAAACCGTATCTGCTTGCTTGGATGTTTAGTCGTTTATCGTGCATTTGAATATTTTAGCAAAGCCGTCAAAATGTATTTGTTTTTACTAGTTTAGGATATACGTCTAAAATTATTGTTTTGCACCATCAATTTTTCTTTAATATTTAATAAATATTCCTATATCTTAATTTTTTTTCTTTTTTTTTGACATTTTTATATTGATATGAGTATTAATTAAAATATTTGTGTATTAATATATTTAATTTTAAATTTTTATCATATGACATATACTGTAGATTTTGTATTTAAAAATTTTATATTAAAAATGTTTCTCAAAAATGTATACACCATTTGTAGTTAATCCAAGAATATATTTACATTATTAACACTTCTGAGTTGTACATATGTACATATATGATTAGTCGGCATTGCAGACCATAAAAAACATGGAAGAATGTTGACTCGCTGAACTAAATATACATAATTTCGAATTTACTTGACAATAAAAACACGTAGTCGAACATTTCCTTTGATAGTTTTGTTACTTTCTCTTTCTTTTCCTTAAGGGAATTGTTAAAGTTAGAAGTTAATAGTACATGCAAAGACCGCATACTTGCATTGAATATGATTTTTTAAGTTCTATAAATTAAATGCTGAAAATGCCTTGGAACCATCATCACGCTTCTAGTTTATTCGCTACAAATAGGCCTACATCATTTTATCGTCATAAAAGGTGCCGATTGATTAAAAACTCAATTCGTTGTTTAGCATTGGATAGAATTCCGAACCATTAGTAGTGCGTTTGGAGTTTCGCGAGTGTCGCGAAGAATTTGTGCAGAAAGCAAATCCAGTGTTTCGAAATAAACACAGCAAAAATGAAAATAAACAAAAAAGAATATAAATAAATTTATATGAGATAAGCAAACGCATGTTCATACTTATCTAAGCAGTTTTATTTAACTAATGTGCTTCCATAATTCAGTAATTGTCTCCACCCCTTGTTTTTGCAAGGTATTTTGGACTTAAATAATTTTTCGCAGCATGCGCTCTTACGTTTTGAATTATTTGCTAGAATACTTGCCTTTCGAAGAGATGTTTTAGTTATACTTCCCTAAATTAACACCAATATGGAGAGAGCACAGAGTTGCTTCCAATAAATTGCATCGCTCCGATTCTGTTAAAGTGTGAGATAATTGGGAGAAATTCAGTCCAATACTCTGGGGAAAAGAAAAATCGAGCCTCACAAACCCAATTGTGTAAAATTCAAGTTCAATTCAAGTCGCTTCAAAAAATGATTCTGATCCCTTCGCATGATAAAAATGCTTCTATCCCAACTTCATACGGCTCTCGCATATATCCAAATTTAATATACCCTTACAATATAGAAATATAGAACGTAATTAAGCCTTTGAGAAGCCATTCAATTATAGACATGTTAATAATTGGACTTTCAATGTCACCAAACAATCAATCAATTGGTGACGCAACTAATCTCTATATTAATCCAATTAATCCTTGTGAAACCGATATGTGCGCGGTGTATGCGCGGGTAGAATTCTGATATTCTTCATGACGACATTTTAACTTGGACATACAAGACTCAAGTATCATGAAAGCGGAAAACATATTAATTGTTAACGTTACTCGAAACTGTGTGTCGTTAAAAGAATTCGAAAAGGATTAAATGTGCAGCTACATCAGCACCAGAAATATTTTAAGCAGCAAATCATTTTCACTTGTATGTGAGCGGTCGAATTAACGCTACAGCATAGTTTTCAACGATCGCATTGTTACTTACACACACTAATACTATGGATAGCATAGTTGAGCAAATGCGCAAAAAGAAAAAGCTTGCAGTTAAAAATCAAAGACAATTGATAAAAGGAAATCACCCCTCACACCACCAGTTTCATACGAATTTATCGGTTTATTTAATAAAATAACGTCGCCGCATTTTCTAAGATTAAAAACTTTTTAATTGATTTTCAGAACATCATTTAATTTATTTTTAGTTCTTTCTTTTTTTTTAAGGAAGGAAATTAACATGTAAAGAAAAAAATCTCATGAACATGTCGCTACATATCTATATTAAAAAAAAAAAAAAAAAATCATATTTAACAAAAAGCTTACAACATAAGAAAACATTTACTTTAAATCTTATTTCTATAACTTATATATACATATAAAGAAAGCTTAAAGTTTCTTTTTGTTTTCATATAACAGGCATTTGAAGATATTTCATAATATATGAAATATTCTTTTTATTTTTTTTTATTTTTTTTTATTTTATTATTATTATTTTTTTTTTAAAGAATAACTTTGCTTTTACCTTACAACGCTTAAAATATTCAATTTAATAATAAACTCATTTACTTCAACCTTTTAAAATGATATTAAATATATATATAAAAACCCTGAAAAAAAAAAAAAACACTTAAACTTCATTAATTGTAAGAAGGCATTAAGAAATTGAATCTTAAATGAATGTAAACTGATTTAAAGTACACACAGCACACAGTCATTTAAGAGTAGGACCAGTTTTATGACAAAAAAAAATCTTCATCGTCATTCAATGGAAGAGAGGTATATAACGGGTATAGGAAATGTGAAAAATAACGAACAGATAATGATGGATCGAGAGTAGAAGGAAAAAAACTCGAAAAATTACATTTTCGCGGAGAAGCGAATCTTAGCTACCCATCATCTAAGGTAAATGTACAAAAATGACTTAAGTTTTCAAATTACTTAGGACCGAGTCGATCAATATTTGTAGAAATATTTTATACATATAGCTCTGTTGATTATTCATTCGATTGTGTATTCGGTTTATATTTAATAAGTAGGTAGTTAAGAACTTATTATCGAAAATATATTGCAGTTTTCGGTATTTATGTAAAATACCTCAGACTTTTAGTGGGTAAAAGGCGATTTTCGAATAAATTTAAATCATAATTTGGAGCGAATGAATAAGTACTTATTAAAGCATGAATAGTAATTTTCATCAAAGCCTTTTGCAATATTGAAAATTGCATTTATCTCATCATTTCAACGCCCGATAGATTTAATGTAGATTAAGTCAAATATCTTGTGTTAATTATATATATATAAATACATGCATACATATATACATATACAATTTATAGAGTCCACAGTCCGTACGTTGTCGGTAAGTCAATTGACGTGGCGCAAAAAATCGATATATCTCCATTCTTTAGTGATGACTATGACTGTGAAGGTTCTTAAGTGTATTTCTGCATTGTTGCTGCATTTCTTAAAAGATATTTAAATAATTTATGTAGTTTTGTTTTCGGTAGAGTAGTATGTGTGTTTTTTTTTTTTTTTTTTTTTCTAAAATTACTTTTAAATTGTACATTTAAATTTCATTTAATGCTTTTTGTTTGTTTTGTTTTGTTGACTTTTAGTGTTTTGCTTTCGTTTACTTATAATCAGTACAGATTAGGTCTAAACACTATACATGTAATGTTTTGTTACTGATGACTTAAATACATTTTTATTTAAAAATAAGCTTTGTTGTTATTTTTGGTTTTTGGTTTTTTTTTTTTTTTTTTTGTTTGTTTGTTTTTGTTTTTATTTTTCTTTTTTTTTTCAATTTGAAAGTATGTGAAGGAGAGAGAATTAAAATTTATAAAATTTTATTCAATCTTCTTGTCGTTGCTTTTTGGGAATTTTTTGGGTGATATTTTGCCTAAAAGAAAAATAATAAAAGAAAAACGATTTAAAACAAAACGCATAAATTGATTTTTTTTTTTTTTTTTTTTTTTTAATAATTATAAAACAGAAAGCAGGATGGGGATAATAATTAAATAGTAGAATAGAAAATGAAACTTGTATATTTGAGAGAAAACTAAAAAGAAAGGAAAGCCGGATTATAATTCAACTGAAAGCTAAAATTAACGCTGCAAAGGTATTTTTCTCTTTTAACATAAATATGCATTTTTATTTATTAACTTGCATGACTATTACTAATAATTCATCTGAACGTTTATTTTACAGAAAATGTTAAACAATTTTAATTTTAATATCATACGGTGTGCTCTCAATGCCAACATGTTTGCTAATGGATTTATTTAGCTTTCCTCGTGCATGTGCAATGATTTTCGGATGTACATAATAAATGGGGCCTTTACAGATATCACATATTGATTTATTTTATTTTTTATTTTTATTTTTTTTTATTTTAGCAGACATGAAATATTTGATAAACAGAAAATAATAATGTTTGATGTTGAAAAGAACGCAAGAAGAAATTTTAACGAGAAAAGGAGAGAAAGAGAAACAGATAAAAGACATATAAAAGATCATAAAATGTATATAGCTACATGTAAAAATGAGTAATAAAGCTTAGCTTTGTATTCGATTTGATTCAAATTTTAAATATCCACCATCGATATTTAAGCCTAAAACAATTTCTCAAAATAATTATATACTATATATATTACATCTGTATTAAAATTTGCCAAATTTAACTTCCAAGCAATCCAAATAAAACAAAGTTTGAAAAAATGACAAAGCAAAACAAAGTAAACGAAGCATCGGTTATTTAATTCTTATGCCCTAATATTGATATTCATATGAAGGAGCGTCATATTTTATTTGACTAAAAATTAATTAAAATTTTTCCTAATACACCTTACACATCTGCGAATGCAAAACAGGAAAGGAATTAAAATTCAAAATTTTGTAGCATCAAGTCAGATATACATCTTTTAATTAACATTGCAATTGCAATCGGAATCAACTAATTCGCGGCTTCGTGGCTTGTCCTTTACTACTAAGGCCTATTACCTTTTCCTCACGCTAATGTTGTGTTTGTGTTCAGATCTAATCACGTACGTATTGTATCTTTCGCACACATAAATGAAAACGAAAAGTTGAAATATTTTCGCTGCAATGCATATGCACTTACGATTGCCGCGTAACAAAATATTACATACTCGTATATTTATTGCCTATTGTATACGAGTTTTGCAAACCACTTTAGGACAAACACATTTCTGAACGATAGGCAAAATGTTTGTTAAAAAGTGTTCAGTGTTCGGCTATCTTTCACTAGTCCTAATGTCATGGTGAGCAACAAATTACAATTTTCCAAAAGAAATAAATAAAATACAAAATTTCAAACGATGCAACGGTATTAGATTCGCTTATGCGAAGTTTTCAATCAATCCCACAAATATATCCCCCAATAACGGAAAGCTCTAAACTCTGACAGCAATGTTGGCCCAACAATGAGAACTATTTAGATTTCACAAAATTAGGCGAGAAACTCAATAAGGAGATAGTACTTTCTGGTCCTAATTTATTCAACGGTCTTAGAGCAGAAACTATAATTCATCTGCTGCCCCTATCTATAATGGAAAAGAAAATGTTTTTTTTTTTTTTTTTTATTAGTATGGATGAGAGTAATGAAGGTATGGAATAGTCCAGAGACTGCAAATACACACTCTCTACTCTAATAGGGTCATCGATAACCCCAGCAGGTAAAATTATTACAATAATAACAATAATAATTACAATACAAACAAACAATAGATAGGTTTAGTTACATGAGAAAAGGAAAACAAATTTATCAAAGATAATGATAATAAAAAAATGATTGTTTAATTATTTCTGAAACATCCGGAAGACTTTCAAATATGAATAATTTAGAAATGAATTTTCACAAGCTTTTCTAAACTTTTGAGCCAACTACGTTAAAATGTTAAAATGCTTGTAAAATATATATATTTTAAATTTTTAGAATATTTTTGGAAGTGGTGGATATTTATACATAACTACACATAAAATCGTGCTTAAAATTTGTGAGCCATAATATAAAAGTAAGGAACGTAAGAGAGTGGAAAACTCGAATTTACCAATTTGGTAAAAATTCCAAATTAGAAGTAAACAATTTCAGAATTTCTTTTGATTGAAAAAAAAAAAAAAAAGAATTGATTATCAAATTTAAACACAGAAAAGAAGAACTATTTGTTATTGTTGAAACGTACCTTTCGATTCTGCATTATCTAAAGTTTTAAATTTTTTCGTGGGTGACTGATTCGTAGAAGATGAAAGTAGCTTTTTCGCTTTACGTTTATCCATCATACGCTGAAATGTTTCATAACGATAACGATAACGATAACGAAATCATCTTTTGATATTAGATTACTTTCGATTACCTGCCATAAAACACAACCATAGACAAATGCTACCGAAATAATGACTTGTACCGTCAGCCACAACACAATATTGATAGCCTGCGTGCGTTCAAACAATTCCTTGCCATTTTTAATACACAGTATCGCCTCAGAGACCATGATGGCACAATAAACCCAACATTGAGTGCCAACGCGTTTACAACGCGTGTCTGTTACATATGTATAATATTGTCTGTAAGCGCAAGTATCGAATTAAATGTAAAGAATATTTAATTTTTATAATTCATATTACATGCTTACCTTACAGATGGCGCCACAAAAAGACCGATGAATATTAAACGCGCTATCACCACATAGTGATCGGGTGGCATTTCAAATATATGCTTTAAGAAGAAAGTATTCAGTTCGGTTATCTGTAAAGCACAATTTATGAAAAAGATTTTTAACGGCTACTGACTATCTCCGGTACACGTATTACAGACCCATGGAATTATATTTGTTCTGCTTACCTGCCAGAATATTACCAATTGTATAACAGCTGCAAATCTCATAGCTGTTGATTTCGGATCTAGCCATCTTATAGAAGTCCAGCTCTCGGGTGTAAATTGTAGCATGGCGCGCTTAATTTTACCACTGGTCGATGAAATGTCTTTGATACTGGCCCATTTGTATTCACGCATTTCTAGGATTTTGCATATTTTCAAGCCAACCCAAATGCCCAACCCATTACAAAGTAGAACATCTAAAATCAAGGCGTCCCACCAACATTCCACGAAATTGGGCAACAAATGAGCGAAAGTTATTTCCGTTATTTCCCACATTACCGATATCGCCCACAAAATGCCCATGTGACGAATTAGGATGGCTTTAAAAGCCCACCCTAAAAAATGGCCCCAAGCAAAGACGTCAAGATGACCTTTAATACGTTCTAATGTAATATCCGAACAATTGACACCATATTCCTGTGAAATTTTAAATGTAAAACATTTTAAATACGTAGTAATTATTTCTCACTCTTTCGCTTACCTTATCCATATTTATGTGGAAATCTTTTAACTTGGGATCTAGCCAGTACAAAATATTCATTATGGTTTTGAGGTTTTGAAACATTAAAAACTGTAGTGTCAACAAGTATAGGACCGAACAACCGAATAATATGCGCCATACAGCTGGATGCGGCCGTGTGAACGGACCGTTCGGGAACGCCAGCACCGATATGATTAGGAAAAAGAATACCACGCATAATATGCCAGCCCAGATATTATCCTCAAAATTTCCTTCGTCCCTGTTATTAATATAATTATAAACATTTATCGGTTGCCCCTCTGTGTTATGTGTTTTTTTAAACATAAGAAGCAAAAAATTGCGATTTTAATGAAACCATTCCTCCTTCTTCTTCTAAGAAACCCTTGATATTATGCTTTCCAATAAGTTAAATTTGAACAATTATAAATAAATATATACCTAAGGTAACGAAATTCAGTTTCTACATATTCAGAACCAACTGATTTGAAAACTTGAAATAAATAAGAGTTTGATTACAGAGCTCGTTGCGTTCACTTGATTTTGATTGTTTTATATCCTTTGTTTCGAAATATCCTAATTGTCAAGACAAATACATTGGCGATCTTACTAAAATGATTTTATTCAAAGTGCATACTAATGGCTGTCTAAGGCATTCAAGTCCATGTAAGTTCCGCGTATAGCAAGCAGGTTCAAAACTGATATTGCATTTCAACAGACATTTGCAAATTTTCCCTCAATTTTCAGATATACTTTAGTAAGCGTGAGAGAATTCAACGTTAGACAATGCACTGATTGAGTGACAGCTTTAATGCAAGGTCCATGTCTTGCATATGAACGCAACGGTATCATAATTGAAGAATGTAAATAATGTAAATAATATATTGTCGGTTGAAAGGAAAACCCCATTAAGTAGGTTAACGGCCAATTTAAGATAATGAAGTTTTAATTATTATAATTATCGATCTGATATATATTGGTTTTTTTTAGTGGCGCGACGATAAATTCCTGACAATAACGGAACTTTTAATTTTAAGTCATATGTACTGAACTGTCTTTCCTCTCAGTCGACGATGTAAACGCATCAGGTTTGGCAATTTCATCAGGTTTTCCTCAAAAGATGATTAGCTATATATGCTATATATGGCTGTATTAAAATCAGTTCTTGGAGCTATAGGTGAAAAACTCGAAGAGTCGTAATAATAATAAACACTCCTACGATTTCATTTTCTCTTTTTGAATATAGATATTGCGATTTACCTCGAGCCGTTTAGTGATTACAGATACTTGGGTAGATAACATAATAATTACAACGATTCTATGCGATGGTGGGCAGGAGAATTATGAACTTAGACGAGCAATAATATTTAGTAGTAATGTTTGAATAAAAGCCATTAAGTGGCACAAAAAAAAAAAGCATTTCCAGGAAATTTTCATATATTATTTTATTTTTAGTCATTTAATATATTTTATCTTTAAGTGACGTTATTAAACTCCGCTTAAACTTCGTTAAAAGTAAACTTTATTAAGCCTTTCAAACGTATAAAATTGCTCAAGTCTACCCTCAAAGCCGAATCCAAGTCTAAATGCTTTAATAAGTATTTGATATATAACGTGAAATGTGTGATGTGTTGTGGACTTTCTAGGACGAATAAAATTACTGATATTGACGGGTACAGATAAAGGCCAAAAATCATCGTAGTGTGTTCTGATATTAATTAAAACCTCTTAAGACGAACTTCGCGTCTTCAGATTGCCTTTCGTTCCGATGAAGAGCGGATATATTTTCTGGATAGTGGAAGCAGAAAGTTAAATAAATAGAATGTTGGATTTTTCATTGAATATGAATAATTTCTTTTGGAACACTATCCATAAATTATATGGAATATGAGGGAAATAATTTTTCAAAAATTCAGTTTCAAGATTCATTTTAAAACTAATGTGTTTTCTTTAATGGCAATATTTTGATTAATAAATGTCACTTCTTCTTTTAATTAAATGGAACACAATATAAGTGAGTTTTCAAATTATTACCAAGAACTGTTAACAATGAACTGACTCAAAATTCCACAGTTTCAAACAAGTGCCAAATTTATGGTTTGATTGCGAATAGTTGCAACTTTCTGTCGTTATATAAATGGAGATATTAATTTAAAAACTTTTTACACTCTCCGACGATAAGTTTATAAGCAAATTGCAAATGCTATCCTTTACACAAACTTGCGTGCATTCAGATTATATTATACAAAATGGTTGCATGAGCCTTGAGTAATCGCTAATTTTGTCCTAAAAAAATTTAATTTGATATTCCCACTAATCAATCAATATCTGAAAATCAAAACATTAAGTTTAAAACAATTCGTTTGTTAAACAAAACCGAAACTTACGGTTCCATTTTCGATATTCCGTATAATTATTCTCAAGCATTTGCTAGGCTGGTTATTAACAATTTTCTAATTTTGAAGATTTGAAAACTATTTATTTATTTATTAATTTTTTTTCTTATTAAATATTAATGTTATTCCTCGTACTGTAATTCATCATTTCTATTAGTTATAATTATTACTGTGTAATTTATCGTTTTTATATTAGTAACTGAGCGAATTAGATCCGTTCATAATGGGGAATATTAAATATGTTTTTTGTATTTACATCTAATAAATGAGTCGGAATTTGGAAAAAAATGACACAATTTTCAGTAGCAACACAAAACAGAACCGATGGGTGGAAAGTTTCGAATGTGTAGATTTAATTGCACCTAAAAGTAAGGGTTGGAAGCAAATTTAATATCAGAAGCGTAAGGAAGATATTTTTGTTTCGGAGTATGGATAAATTGTGGTAATTTTCTTTAAAATATATTCCAAATAAGTGTGTTTTACAGTATCTACCCTCTATAACATGGGATAAGGTGTAAAGTGCTTTTAACCTTTATGCAAATAAGTTGGGGAAATTATTTTGCGTTTTTGCTAATGTAATTCCACTTCAAATTCATCCCTACCTTCGAGTCTTATTTGATTCATAACTCTACGTCTCTGGTATATTATGCAAAATTATGTTTTCATCATCCTTTCCTTCTTGCAATTGCGCATTGGAAAAAAAATTGAAGTGAAGTTCTATGTGGCTTGGGCCGAATTTCATAATGCCCACCACAAGTTTACGTGCATATTTATAAATGCTATTATAGATTGCAAGATAGTGCGAAGATCAATTTGGTCGATATACATCTCATGTAGTTTTCGGCACCTGGTATATAATTCGATGTGAATTTTTATACAATTTGTCAGCATTTCACAAATTAATGTACAAATAGAAAAGTAACATTTATATGCGCATTGATTTTTATTGCAAACATTTCGATAATCTAAGGCACCACATCTGATGGCTATAAAAAGAAATTTTGAATAATCGTCATGTTTGTTTTGCTAGTTATTTTCTTTACAGACCTACCTTTTTTATTTTTTTTTTTTTATTTTTTTTTTTTATACCTTAGAAGCTTAGAAATTTTCTTACAACAGGGAAAGGCTTATTAACTTTGCTAAGCTAGTCGGCGTCTGTTTTCCTATCTTTTTAATTTATTTTTAGTGAACATACCTGACAAAGGCGAAATACATCACAGCTAATATGGAAACTGTCAGTAATGTTATAGTATGTGGCTTGTAAAAGAAATCCAAGGATATATCATCGACGGGACGCTCGTTGACTATAACAAAGGTTTTAGCAATTTCATCATGATTTCTTTCGGCGATACCACGTGCTTTAGTTGGTGTTGTTGGTACACTAGAGGCACCATACTTAATCGTTCCATACATATTAACACCGGAAGACGAATCAGAGGGATCGGGGCTATGTGCGCCGCGTGAGTTTGAACGTTTTTTCATAGTTCTATAGAATTTATAATCAATTCAATCGTTTTAAGTTTCTTTCTTTTAATGCGATTATCATCAAATGTATTTATAGATTTCTAAGATTTAAATAAATTTTGATTTAGTTGAGAGGCAGAGTTGCGCAACGTGCCTATTTTGGGTTTTTCTTTTTAATGTTTTTATAACTGCCTCAAATAATGCAACTAAAGTGCACCACTCTTTCAGATTTAAACGTATACTACGTAAATAAATTCTTGCAAATCGAAATGAAACACAATTTATTTCTTTATAAAATTAAAATTATACTGTGCTTAAAATTCTTAGTCTCTTTTTAAATAAAATTACAATATTTTGCATTATTTAAAGGCTGCCGGAAAGTATATGTGTGTGTATGAATACATGTGGGTATGCGTGAGCTAAAATTTACTTGCGTGTAGAGTTGCTGATGTACTAAAATCAGTCAAATTAAATACATATGAAAATTGCCGGAGTAATGAGAATATTTAACGAAATGAGTGCATAATCATCTTCCACATGTTATTCTTATTAAGAGAGTGAATTGGTGTTCGTCAAATTTTTTAATTAATTTTCTGAGTGACAGGAAAAATTAATATGATTAACTATTCAGAATATTGCATTTTCTCATAATTTGCCTTCGGGCATTAATAAAACGATATATAAATTTGTGATATCTCATATGATTATTTTCGGCATTTTTTAGCTCGTTTAGTGTAATAAAGTTTGGCATCACTGTTGTTTTACGAGAATTCAGAATTGCAAGGAAATAAAAACAAATACGAAGAAATCTGAAAGTCTATCTTAAGAAGATCTTTAAAAATGGGTAGCCCTCACTGTGCCAGTAGCACAAAAGGTAATAAAAATTCCTTGGATGTGGTAAGCGGGCTTTTTAAAGTATTATTTATTTGCATATGCCTTAGAATTTGAAGTAACGGGAGTGTCTCGTAGTGGCCGCGTTCGTAAAAAGTCATCTAAATTGTTAGATTTTCAGTCACCAGACGAAGTCGAGAAGAAACTGAAACGTTCTACACCGCGTTCAGTGGTAAAACACGGTGGAAGGGGACGTCCTAGTCTTGCTACTTTAAGAGCTCGTCGCATGAAAGAATCAAAAAATGAAAATGAGATCACCGATTGTAGAGATAACGGGCTTGACGACGATGACATTGATTTGGATTCAAATGCTAGTGACGACGACGATGTTTTATCCCCTAATATGGAGAATAGTAGCAGCTTAACGGTTGCAGCAGATTCGGATGATGATGGGTTTGGGGAATTGGTAGCTGATTTAGTGGGTGCGAACACTCAAAATCTTGAAATTAATTCTGGAAATCCCGAGTCCAAAGTTAGGCAATCTCTATATATGTCAGAAAATAATAATAAACGTAAAGACGGCCGTGTCGAACGTAAAGATAAGGGGAAAGCTCGATATACAGCTTACAGCTTATGGGCCCGGGAAATACGTAGGACATCAAAAATTGATTTAGATTTTTCGAACGCTGCGAAGCGATTAAGCGAATTGTGGGCTAATGTGTCCAATAAAGAGAAAAATTCATGGCGACGCAAAGCTAAAATGCAGGCCACTAAAGCCAAAGCTAGAGAAAAGGCTGGCATGCAAAATACGAGCAACTTTAGTCAAGGAGAAAAAATTCAACAACTACAGACTACTTCATTTATTAACAGACCTACAACTAACCGCACTAGAAAGTTAGCTGAAGATAAACGTAAGGCAAGAGATGCGACAAATATTGAAAACGTATCCAGTTCAACCAAACGTCAAAGAAATAATCCTTATAGAAAACATCAGAATTCTACTCCAAACAAGTCTAATTCAAACACCTTGACTAATGGGAAAGCTTCACCCAGTGGTTATGGAAATGGGGTATTAAATGCTGCGAAAGGGTTAAGTAGTATGAGAACTCCTTTGCCAGGCATAGAACCAATCGATGCTGCTGCTCATTTGAAGTTGTTAGGTGAAAGTTTAACAATTATCGGTGAACGTTTAAAAGAGCACGATGGCCAAATTGCTGTCTCAGCTAGTTTATCAGTATTGCTGGATAGTCTTTTATGTTCCTTGGGACCACTGCTCTGTCTCACTACACGTTTGCCTGGCCTGGACAAGAAACCGCAATTGAAAAACAATTTAGCCTTAACTTTGGATAATATTGCTTATGTTATGCCGGGGGTCTAGAATTTAGCACTTGCGATTTTAAATCAGTAGCAGAATAATATATTTTTTATGTATGTATTTTAAAGCGAATATGTATTTACATAAGCACGAATGTTTAGCTTTTTATTTGATTTGAGAAAAAAGTAATTTTTTTATTACAAATTTAACAAAAGATAAACAAACAAGTTTATAACTTTGAATTTTGTCGATTTTTAACACACTTACTGAACACATCATAAGAAACAGGAATGCATAAACATACACAACCCGAATTAGTATAAGAGGAAACTAAATTTAGATCAAAATGTACATAAAATAACAAGGACAAATGTTTAATTAATGAAAAAGAAATAAATAATTAAGTGAGTAAAGTAAAATAAATAATAATAAAACAAAAAATATTAATTAAAAAAAAAAAAAAAAAAAAAAAAAAAATATAGGTATGATTTATGTTGTCAGGTTATCAAATTTCCTTTTTGTTTTTGGAGAACTAATGTTAAAATTGCTGTGATAAGGCGGCAGCTGATATATTATCCCCTGCTCCTGCCGTTTTCTTAGCCACACGGCAGACTAAAACCGGAGAAACACAAATGTTTATTTCAATCGATCTTTTCATCTCTTCAATTTCTAATGTCTCCATCCAGCAGGCTACTGGATTTTGAGGATTAAAGTTGATACGTTGAGCTTTTGTTTTATTCAATGAAGTCGAAAAGCTATCATCCAATATTAGCGAAGAAGCCTCTGGATTAATCTGAGGGGGGAAGAAAAAATGGAAAATTTATTACTTTAATCCGTTCTCCTTCGTTTAATATTTGTTTTGAAATTGCTATTCTACAGGATTGTATATGATTGCAGGATTTTGTAACTTGATCGACTTAATATGTTGCTTTTAATCGTTCATTGAGCTTACGGAGTCTCAGACTCGTATTTGTAAACTTTATGAGCAGATTAAAAAAAAGCAGCATATACAGGTCGAATAGCTTAATAATTACTTACCGTGTCCATCTGACAAACGTAACGATTAGCCATTAATGCTGCTTTAGCTACTGCAAGACGTGTATTTTTCCAATTACTATTGCTTACGGTCATCAACGCTTGGTAAGCTAGTGTATGCAAATGTATGCGCGTCAGCAAACGTCTTTTCGTTTTATCTGTTTTCGTTGCATATTTGTAGTAATCGAAGGCCAACATACGCAATATTTTACGCATCTTATCTAGAGTCGGAGCTAATCGCGGGTTACAATCTGAGGCTAAAGTAGTTCTCCCAAATTCAAGGACTTGTGCTAAGTTTTCTAACTCCTGCTCATTCATACCTAAAGAATCTACATAAGGTAGAACATATCGCTTTAGTTGTTGTAGTAATTCGATTTCCACATAACTAGCCATTTCAAAATGTAATAATGTCTGTGATAAGGCATTAGTTAACTGCTGCATAACTTTCAATAAACGTGACTCTCGTACTCCTGCGACAAACGAACAAGGCAACGGCATATAAAGGCAATAAGGATTTTTCAATTGATAATAATGCATTTACCTTTTTCAAACTTGTAACTATCCATCATTTGCAGGCCGCTTATAACAATTAAATGAGGCTGATAATCTTTAATCGCTTTTTCCAAATTTTCTAAGGATTTCAAATAGGGATTGGTTTGATCGTTATGTAAGATGTAGCGATTGGCTCGAGGAGCGGTAAATGGTCCCCAAGTTTCGCCGGCTTTATACTCTAAGATTAAATGAATATCGTCTTCTGGTACTTCATCACCTGCAATTCGTATATCTTTAGGCACTAAACGGCGTAATCTGTATACAAATAAAAAATGAAAAATTTTTAAATATAATTCGTATCATTCTAATTACTTGTATGACATATGGGCTCCCAGCAGTACATCCCAACCCTCTTTCCGAAAACGTATGCCCATTAAAGGAGCATTTCCGCCTATTTGCCATTGTATGTTACCATGATGACCTCTTTTAGCTTTTCGTATAAGATTGCGGAATAAAGTTGAGTTTGGGATTGTTCTCCTAAACATTAAGGGAATTAATAAATTCAATTTTTGGATATTAATTTCTCATAGCTTACTCTGCAGCTGCCCCCTTTTGAAAGTAGTAAGCGAACGTCTCGAGCAATTCCGTTTCATCGTTGACTTCATCTACAGTAAATTCTTGATTCAATTGCTTTGGTATTTGATCTGTGTAATTTAGAAATTCCGTAGCATTTATAACCAGATCTGTGCACGCACCATAACCGATGGCTACTCTAAAATTCGGTGCAGACCAATCTCTATTTAAGCTTTTCTCAATAGCTAAAAGACCCGTCAATATTGTTGTCAACTTATTTAACTGCTTTAGCGACAGAAACGCCTGCCATACAATCGAGGTAAGAGCCGCAAATACGGAGCAAGTGGTCAAGAAGCCCATATATTTTAACATCGTAATATTCATTGTTTAAAACGCCGCAGTTTAAATTCCTTTATTTAACGATATAGATCCGGATTTGACGCAAAGATATGACAAGAAAATCGAAAGCAAAAAAACGAGAAATTGTCAGAGAAAATTTTTAAAAAAAACCAATACAAAAACCGGCTGCGGCTAGGTCGTATTGTGATAACAAGTGTCATAAACAATTTCCAACAAAAAAAAACTTAAAACGTGCATTAAGATAGCAACAGCAAGCAAGCGACAAAAAGCATCTCTGAATATACGAGAGAACGTGAAATTGATCAAAGTTACTGGGCCCAAGCGTAATCGTTAAATGGCATCACACTACTGCGCCCAATAGAATATTAACTTTGTATTCGGATCTAATTTTAGTCGAAATATTAAAAGTTAAATTTTATTGCCATATAAAAACCTACTAAAATGGGAGCATGCCCAAGAAATCGTATCGCAAATAGATTAAATCGCACAATTCCGTATGAGTAATTCATCAGATAACGACCTATTAATAAATACTGCGAAAATTGCGACCAATAAGGTGAATACCCTGTAGATGTGCATAGATACCAGATAGACAGATAAAGGGAGAGTTGTTCTCAAATCGACTTTAAAATTGTAGGTAAAAACATTACGAAATCTATGCAGAGGACACTGTGAAGGGAAACATACAAACATAATCCGTTTAATGAATTAATAAATTTAATGTTGCACTTGTGTGCACCAATTGCTCCGTTTGCACAAAAGAATGGATGAAAGCCACATATATGAGTACTCGACGACCAATCCTATTTCTATCGAAAGCAGTCTGATGGGCATCGGAAATCAATGCGAATAGCGCTATAGTACTTGTGACCTAGTACTAGGACCTATTAGTCCAACTATGAAAGAGCTTTTGAAAAATTGACCTCTAACTGATATTTGCAATGCCATAACGAATTCCTTGATTATGAAAGTTGATACGAAAGACTGAAAGTCAAAGTCAATTGTCAAAGTTAACATTCTCGAAATAACACTATGGGTCGGATGCACGTCTCTAGTTAAAGACGATGGCACTGACAACTCACAACGTTATGAATATAACTGATATGTGAATTTCTAATTGTGATCCGGCCGGCTTGCTTACTGTTTTTGCTAATGTTAAATCTGCAGATGGCTGTCGTGGCATTCAAAACCTTTATGTTTAAATGCAACATTCCTTGTTTAACTGTTCTGACACTTTTATGGTTAATTGCAAACAAGCTGGCATTTGCGAGAAGGATTTTATATATTGTTTAGGCAATTATTTGCATGGTCATATATATGTGTGTTTGTGTGCGCATCCGGTTTTTTTAACGAGCTTAGTGTAGGCATTTTTACTGGTCAATATAACACCAAATTATTGCCGTGGCCGCAGAAATAGAAAACGCGTGCTTGAATACCGATCAATTCCGTTCATATGGTTAAGTATCGCGTACGATTTGTAAATGCGGTCGGGTATGTGTCTTAGATGAAATGTGTTTACTATGCTTTATTTCATATTTCATTAGTTATGAATTATTATCCGCTGATTTACACTTGTGTGAAACTACTCGAACAGATATGATTATTATTCTATATATTATTGTATTAGCTTATAGTACAGTAAAACATATATATTCAGTTCTGAGGTAGTACAATCTTATAGACATGTATAATCTTATAGATATGTAACTAAACAAATATATAAGGAAAGATTGACATGAAAGCTTACATATCGAAACAATGAATGTGTTCTTACTCAAGTATACAAGAATGAGAAGAAATAAAAAATAAATAAGGAAATGATATTCAAAGGTGGTTGAATCAACAGGCTGAAGAAAGTTCAAATATTTATTGTTGTATGTGTTTTATGGGTGATCTTAATCGCTGTGGCCAGGACAATGCGTAACACACGCATCTACAAAGACCGACAGATGGAAGGACAGGCAGACATGCTTAGATGGACTTAAAATTTGATAGTAATCAAGAATATGTGTACTTTATAGGGTCTGTGGAGTCAACTGCAATTTCTAATAACGTTGCAGGTACTGAGTTTGAAAAGGCGAACGCAACGAATGCATTTGCATGGTGCATCATGCACTCAAATGTCAAAGTATTTGATGGTACAACTGTAACAGTGTTATATGAAAATCTTTTATTTATTTACCTAAACTAAGATGTAATGTAAAGATAACAATAATATAAAATAACATAATTTAAACTTAGATATAAGATAAATCAAGCCAATGTATTCCGTGTTATATTTAAATTCAAGTCTCAAGGTGTAAAATGTTATGATAGCCGAAGTTTCGTTACTAACGTACATATATCATATCGCTGCCATATGTTTCATGCCCAAAAGTTGCGAACCGAATTGCATCGCATAAGCACGCTGGCATTCTCAGTAACTTCTCTAATACTGACTCAACGGTTCCCCATAAAAATTCGTTTCACTGCTTAAACGTTCTTACCGTTTGTTTAAGTGCTCGGGCGTCCAACATTTTTTTGGCCTTCTGTACAGATCGTATACGGTTTATAAACATTTTTTTTCTTTTTGCTCAAAGCAGTCTGGCCAAATGCCACAGTGAACATTTTAAGTGAGTTGGAATACTTCATTTGATTTTTCACACAAAATTTAATCCAGATTCTTTGGTCCATGTTTTCCGATAGCAGAAAATCGTCAAGCATACCAAAATTCGTATAACCTTTATATCGATCGAAAACGAGTTAAAAACATAAAATGACTGATGATGTCAACATATGTTGGGGACATGTGTACCAACCTAACAACAAAAAAAGGAATCGCGTTTTTGGAACATACCTCGTATAAGCATAATTCAGAAAGCTATAAAATTCTTATCAAATTAATAAATTACTTTCACCCCCAGGCCTGGGAATACACGAGCGGTTCTTTTTTGTGTCAACCCCTCACTTAGTTTTTAAAAAATTTGATGCATATATTGATAAGCCTTAACAAAGGCACATAACTGCACTTCGATAATTATTTAAGGTTATGCTAGAAATATTAAAAAGTCACTGAAGCTTTCATACAAATAAATGCAAAATTGTTCATAATGCATAGTTTAACTAATGATAAAGCAAGAAGCAACATAAAGTTTCTATTCATATATATATTAGTTTGGGGAAAAAGAAATCCATTATTTTTTCGGTCGATGACTGCACTGATAGATTTCTCTTAAAGTATCGATCAAACAATTTCAGATTTATGCTCGTTGGAAAGGTGACATTTCGCAGTAAAAAAAATTCCTTTGCTGTTTTTTGTTTGGTGCATTCAGTTACAGCGAGTGAGTTACAGCGTGTTAAAAATGGAAGTGAACAAAGAGAAAATTCGGTACATTTTACAGTTTTTCTTTGACAAAGGCGAAAATCCAAGCCAGGCGGCTAAAATTGTGAATGGTGTTTATGGTTCCGATACTATAACAGGTAATTATGTGCAATTTTGGTTTCGTAGATTCCATTCAGGAATTTTTGATGTTAAAGATGCACTTCGCACAGGTAGGCCGGTCGTCGAAAATGTCGATAAAATCGGAGAAATGATCGAAGTTGACCGGCATGTTAGCAGTCGTAACATCGCCCAGGAGCTAAAAATCGACCATAAAACAGTTTTAAACCATTTACACAAAGCTGGACTCAAAAAGAAGCTCGATGTTTGGGTGCTACACCAATTAACAGAAAAAAACATGATGGATCGAATTTCCATCTGCGAAGCCTTGGCCAAACGGAATGAGATAAACCCATTTCTTAAACGGATGGTGACTGGAGATGAGAAATGGATCACATACGATAGCCCTGTGCGAAAACGATCGTGGTCAAAGAGCGGTGAAGCACCTCAAACGGCCAGGAAGGTTTTGCTATGCATTTGGTGGGACTGGAAGGGCATTATTTATTATGAGTTGCTTCCATATGGCCAAACGCTAAATTCTGATCTCTACTGTCAACAACTGGACCGTTTGAAGATAGCGATTGACCAGAAACGGCCAGAATTGGCCAACAGGAGAGGTGTCGTGTTCCACCAGGACAACGCTAGACCGCACACATCTACAGTGACTCGCCAGAAACTCCGGAAGCTTGGTTGGGAAGTTTTAATGCATCCGCCATACAGTCCGGACTTGGCACCAAGCGATTATCATCTTTTTCTTGCATTGCAAAATTTCTTTAATGATAAAAAATTGGAATCTAGGGAGGATTGTGAAAATCGACTACTAGAGTTTTTTGCAAATAGAGACCAGCACTTCTATGAGAGAGGCATTTTGAAGTTACCTTTAAAATGGCAACAAATCATACAACAAAACGGTGCATATTTGACCCAAATCGGACAATCCAAAGCATGTTAAATAAAGTCCTGAAGTTCATATAAAAATAATGGATTTCTTTTTCCCCAAACTAATATATATATATATATATATATATATAAAATATAGTGTGTATATGAATCCAACCCGGCTTATTGATCATGACAATGATATTCGGATAATTATTAATAAATGTAATGAAAGAGATTATTGTACAGGCGTTGCAAATATAGAGATCAATTTAAAATAATCACTTATGTCTAAGAATTTTTTAAAACTTGAGTGGTTTTCTGTTATATTTAATGCATTAAGCTGTTAATATCGTATATTTAATGGGGGTTTGGGGACTTAATCATTTGAATGATTTTATACTCGGTAAACAATTGAAATAAAGCGAACAAAAGCGACTGGGTTTAAAGGGCAGAAAACCGCATTCATTGAAACGATTATAATGTATAGGGTAACTAGCATTTCTACGATCCAGTACATGGCTATACTTTTGATTAACGTCATATTCTAAATGTCATCTGCTTGTCCGTCCATTATTCCTTGTTAAAGATGAGCTACAAGAGTACATCATGTACATACATATTTCCTTTGCTAGTTGCTAGCCCGAGCTCAAATAAGGTCTGACGCTTTCATCAACTCATCTATAATTAGTGGAAGTCTGCGGAAAATCTTAAAGAAATGAAATCCTTGGAATACCGTCGTCGTTAACTTACAACCTGCAGCTCACATTTCCTTCGGCAGTTAATACCAAACGTAGTCTTGGTTGTAATTCAAAATTTTTTAAATCTTTTCCATGTTGCATGTAATTTGTGTTTCTATAAATCGTTTACGGTAATCGTAC